CACAGGAAGCTCTGGGTGTCACAGGAAGCTCTGGGTGTCACAGGAAGCTCTGGCCCTGGGCGTCACAGGAAGCTCTGGGTGTCACAGGAAGCTCTGGCCTTGGGTATCACAGAAAGTTCTGGCTCTGGGTGTCACAGGAAGCTCTGGGTGTCACAGGAAGCCTGGCTCTGGGTGTGACTGCAGGTCCCCCAGTGTCCCCACACACCATGATGTGAAGGGGAACGAGGCAGCAGAGTGGGGCCAACTCATCTCTCACACTTCACTGTGTGACTCCAGGGATTTAAATCTGATAAACCTGATATACTTCCTTTAAATAACTAAGATTGAACTGCACATTCAGGATACGGCAGTGGGGGAGGGCCATATCAGCAGGTTGTGGGGTGGGGGACCTTTTTAACATGACCAATGTACAATCACATGATTAGAAATTAGCAGCCTGAAAATTAGGGGTTGAAACTGAGGTAAGACAAAGTCTGTCCCTTCTGTTACAAGGACTCTGTGCTGTGGCAGGACTGTTAGAAGCTGTATTGAAAGAGGAGCCATTGCTGATGAGAGCTCATGGCGTTTTGCTCTTCAATAATCACGGCTTTGCTGTGTGTCTGTCTGGCTGAGTGTCCCAGGCAGCAAGCAGCAGCGTGTGGGGCAAACAAGGAAAATGGGAAGTGGGCAACAAAAAAAATCAGGAATGGGTTGTTTCGTTCACTTCATTAGCTGAGATTACGAGTTTAACTTACAAACCAAGAGGTCAGGAATTCTCATTAAGAACGAGGCCATGTAGCGCTCCAGGGCTCGGTTCAAGAGGAGTCCAATTCTTATTACTAACTACACATTTCAATCTTTCTTTGATGTTTCTTTCTCTCCCCCCCTCCTTTTCTTTCTTTTGGTGAAGGAGCTGATTTTAATTGTAGCTACATGCTGCAGTCATCTTGCCTGAGAGTCAGCCTCCACATCTGCAGCTCCAGTGATATTGGGCGCAGTCCACAGCCCCGGGCAGGTTTTTTTAATGGCTCCCCTTTTCATTTGAGCCTCGGATTGTTTGCCACGTGACTACAGTTCAGTTTAGCTGCAGGAAAAGGGCATCAGTTTTCCCTCTGAGTGTTCCTGATCCAGACAAGGTATGCTGTGAGGTGGGGGGAGCAGCTGGAACAGATTCTCAGTCACTGATACCTTCCTATTAGTTCAGAAAATTTAATATAAAATATAGAGATCCTTTAAAATAGAAGACATGATTTTACAGCTGCGGGGGAAGGGTTGAGGGTGTAGATAGTCTGTCCCCCATTGTAACTGTGTTTGTGACTGACTAGCCAACTCTTAACGCCCGCCACAAAGCAACAACATAAATCCGCATACCCCTCCACCAAGACTTGCAATCGACTCAAGGAGCTTATGGACATTTGTTGTACCAGAAAGGCACTGTGTAAGTGCAAGTTCTCCACTCCTGACACTGCTCAGCTAATCCCAACAATAACCTTCCAAAGCATTGAATGTTCAAAGCACAGTTTTCAGCCATTGTTATCCACACAGAATCAGTGTAGCCAGCAGTCTGGCTTGGCGCTGTACCAGAGTGACACAGAACCTCTGCTCTGTACCTAATCCATGTTATACATGGCCTGGGAGAGACTGATCCTGTCTCTAGGTGCACCTGGGTGATAGAAAGGAACTGGCTTCTGCAGTGGGTTAACACACAGCCCTGCACCCCAGATTTCAGGATCAAATTCTCTCCTTGCTGGCTACTGAGGTTCTTATGTGACAGGTGACAGAAAGACAGAAATTAGAAACTAAAGGACCTGCAGTTACCTAGCCTGATATTGTTACACTATTGTCAAAATACTTCAAGAATAATCACCTTCAAGTGTAGTGACTGTTTCTGTGGTAAACAGCAGCCACTTACACCAACAAGATCTGATTAAGTTGTGAGCAATTTATGTGGATGATTGTTGACCAGAACTCCTGGAGAAATACTCCCAATGGTGTCACCGGATCTCTAATATCCACTCATATGGGTAGATGGGACCTCAAGTTAACGTCTCATCCAAATGATAGAGTACACCCCCTACCACCCCCAAAACTGGAACACGTCAGCCTGGAATGTGAGTTCAACAGCTGACATGGGCTGTGATGCCACAATGTCTTTAACTAACCAATAAATTCACCTTTGGAAGAGTAACGTTAACAGATTTCCACAGAGAGCATGCAGGTGTCAGAGAAAATCAGATTTCCCCCCAAGAGAATGTTTTAAGACTGCGTCAAGATCTTCCCCTAGTCTGTGCAGGGACCAGCTCTCTCCTTCACCACAGAACAACTGCACTGCGCCCTCTTTATTAAAACCAGCCGTCAGCTCACACCCAGGACTTTAAATACAGAGGAGCTCACTGATCTCATCCCTTCCCTCGCCCCAGTTAAAACGTCCCATCGGCGCTGTGTCAACTAATCTTCCTGCGGGAGCTCTCAGGGCCTTTGTCTGCCTCTGGAGCTGAGATCAAGTCAGAGAGACTTGATGGGCTCGGATTGCTATCAGTTTCATCCCCTGAAGCGACTCCAGGTCACAGTCCTCCATGTGCCGTGCATTCACCCTTGCAAATCAGCCCATGCTGAGGCCATATCTGATCTACAAGAGGTAGCAATCACTGACTCTATGTCTGAGAGAGGTCATCCCCACGGCCAGATGCCAGGCAAAGGTCATTATCCATTTAATTTCAACTTGGTACGGATCTGAGAGACGCCTTTGTCTCAGACTCATTTGCAAAGGCAGAGATTTACTGTCAGTGGGAATGAATCAGCGTTGAGAGTCCTCATCAAACTGCCAGTGCCCGCTCCCGGCCTCTGCCCGGGGCTCATTGCTGAGGAGATGAAAACTTCAGTTTAGCTGAAAGCCAGCGAGAGCGAGCGCAGCCACAGCCACAGGGCTTGGACATATCCTGTGACCCTCCCCCTCCCCCGCTCTCTTTCTGGATAAAAAGTCACATTCATTTTGCTCTTGAGAAAGCCAGACGACAGCCAGAGGCACACAATCCATGTGAAACCAAGAAAACGCGAGGTGAAAATGAAGTGAAAATAGGTTAAAATTACATTCCTCTTGCAGTGAGTGCGAGGTCTCCATTTTGATTCTGAAAGCAGAATACATCGCATCGGCATCACCTCCATAGGTCTCAGTGCAATCACAGCTCTCAACACGCAACATGACTCCTTCATCTCAAACCAACCTTACATCACTTTACACGCAGTATATACATTGGCAGTACACATAGCTGGCATCAGTCAGTAAAGAAACACATTTAAATGATAAGCTCCACTTTTAAAATTGCCCAAATATAACTAGGAATGGAGAATGCATCTCAGGCTGGTGATCGAGGTTTCAGTGCACAGTAAAGCTTGCATAAATCTTACAAATCACCTAAGTCATACATGTACCTGAGTCCCATTGACTTTCCTATGAAAATCACTTAATTTCTTTGAACTACTCGTATTTATAAAAGGAGTCATCTCCTAACTCATAACGCTGCTCCCCTATCCTCCATTGCTCCTCATTTACTGGCTGCACTGAATTGCGGGAAATGTAATCTTGACCCATCACCTCATGTGCACTTACCAACTACATTGAATTACACATGCGCAGTGTGGATTGATTAAATCAGATTTTATACAACTTATACAAGTTTGCCTGTAACTCGGACTTGATGTAAGTCACACTAAATATTATGGTCCCGACCAACATGATTTATAATAATAATAGATACGACTTATGTGAGCTTTATGCACAATGTCAGGGTTGTGAGAGTGTGTGAGTGTCTCACGTGTGTGTATGTACATGAGCCCACATGGTCATGGGTGTGAGTGTATAAATAAGTGTGAAAAAACTGCAGGACCAGTGGAGTGACCTGAAGTGCTGCAGTACCCATTTGATGCCACATGATGGAGCTTTCTTACACTTTCTATGGAGCTCTGACAATGTCCCCAGTGCCCAGCGACCAGCAAAGTCCCTGGGACGTAGAGAGTCTCCTCCAGGGAATCACTCACCTCTGTATCACACAGACTGGAGAGCTCTCGGCTCCAACCAGCACCTCATCACACCTGAACCCTTTCAACTGTATGACGAACAGGGGATTCCGCCCCGAGCCACTGGGAATGACAGGAATAAACTTTTCAATCCAACAATGGCACCTCAGAAATAGCCAAAGATTGTTTTCTGGATACAAGCATTCTGTCACCAAAGTGGCTGAGAATTGGTTCAAAGCCCATCTAGTGATGTTTCGCTTCTAAGCCTCCAACAGTTCTCAAAGGAACAGGATGAGTAATGTTCTGGTGTCTGGCTGGTCATGTTGCGGGCAGCTCATTCTTAGACTGTCCTCCATAGATAGCTCAGTGTCAGGAACATCAAGCAGGCCCCCAACCAATGTTTACACACTCACACACATGTTCAACAGCCCTCACACACACACAACCAACCAGTGTTTACGCATACACACTCACACCCCCAATCAGTGTTTACTTACACATGTGTGTTCAACAGTCCTCACACACACACACAACCAGTGTTTACACACACACACACACACAGGTGCTCAACAATTCAGGATATTAGTTATACCAATGTAGTTTCGGGGGCGGTGTGGGGAAGGGGAAGATGAGGGGCTCTCATTTCAACTTGTCTTCTACAATTACTGATTAACTTTCCATTTTCTACTAAAAAACTTAGTGAAAATGCTGCAGTCACCTCAAAAGAGGCTGTGTGACAAGCACCCAACTAACTACTCCTCACACAGTAAAAATAATCCAAGGCTTTGCAGCAGCATAAACCCATTAACACAAGGAATTCATTCACATCAATAAAAGGTTCCTGTGATCTGCCACTAGCTGTCTCCGTATTTAGATTTCACAAGACAACGCGTATGGCATCAATTAAAACAAGAAAACTGAATATTTAATACATCCTCCAACCACCCCCGGCCCGAGCACACCCAGGACATAGCGAGAGTGAATGACTAAACACGACCACTCACCTCACTCTCTGTGGTCACCCCAGCACCCGCCTGGCCAGGGAAGTCCAGCTTACGTTTCTTGCGTGGCCCAATGGCAGCGAGTGCAGTCACGTTGGCATCTCGTTGCCTCATCTGTGCCAGCTCCTGTTGCTGCATCTACCGGGAGGGAGAACAGCGTGTATCAGTACAGAGAGTTCCAGAGGGCAGAGTGTGGCGAGATCTCAGCCCTGAGGGTGGGAAGTGAAAAAGAGTTGAGTTGGAAGAGCAGAGGGTATATACTGGAACACAGGTGTGGAGTTGACAGAGGTAGAGTGTGGTAATACCATGGAAGGATTTGAAGATCAGAACAAGAATAAACATCTAAAGCCAATCAACCCCTCAGACAGACACTGATGGGTACTCACAGAGGGCAGACAGATCAATATTTATTTTCCACATCCAGTGTAGTATTGCCAGCTCCATTACTCTCCGTATCTGATCACTAAAGCACATTCTTCCAGAAGCATTTCAACAGACAATTAAATGCCTGAGATTTGGCTAGTCCATCACACACCATTACAGGACCTCTAGCTCTAACACTGGCTTTCCACCATCCCTGGCTTCCCAAGATTATCAAGGAAACTTTAGGGACTGTCAGGATAAACCGCCACTCCAACCCCCCCACTTCCTTTTTCATTCAACAGATTCACAGCACTTACAAGTTCCGACACCTCCCCTGTAAGCCCCCACCCCCCCACCGGTCTTTTCGCCTGCAGACACTCCTGTAACAGAATGAAGATGCCTGGTGCATCCAGCACAATCATTTTCTTAATATCCCATTAAAGAGCTGCTTTGGGGAAAAGCCAGCTTTGCTTGACCTTTCTTAAATGCTCAACACAGTGACGCCCTGAGTGAAGATTTAGTGACAGGCACTGGGTACATTCTTCACAAACTGCATGACAAATGAAAGGAACGTTGACTAAGGAAACCTTGCATTAATACTAAACCTCTCATTGTACTGTACACAGCTCCAGGGGACTCCATCAGAACTTGCCACATGACCTTTTGGGTCGTTTCCTATAAGCTGCTCTTTACATATCCATCAATATACCAAATACAACACAAGATCCACAATCACTGATGCTTTGCTTTCTTACACCCCCACCACTGGTTACAGGGGCTGTGCCACACTACCACTGGGGACAGAGGGATGTCATCTTAAAATCAGAACTGAGTTGATTCGAAATCAGATCAGAAAACCTTTCTCCACACAAGGACATGGGTAACACAATATGAATTGTGATGTTTAACAGTCACCCAAAGTTAAATACTTGGGAAGGAAAAGGCAGTATGGAGAAATGAAAGATTTGATCGAAAAGAGTGTTCTGGTCGACAATCCCCAAGGTAAAATTGGGCACTTACTTCATTGCTGTTTGTGAAACATTAATATGTGTAAATTGGCTTCAACATTTGCCTACAACAACTGAGGATTCTGACTGATCTGAATTTGTTTTCTCCAAACGAGCAGGTCCTAGTGACAGTGAAAACTCCACCTGTCGAGAGAAATCTTTCCCCCTGAGCGGACAATGCAGAGTAGGGAAGTCTGTCTGTGGCTCTGTACATCACCAGTGCTGATGGACACATCCTGTCAGCTAGGATTTAGTGATTAGTAAGAAAGGGGTAATGGTGCGGGGATCCTGGGTTTGCAAAGTACAATGTGACAAGGATTTGACCGCTCTGTCATCTCAAGGAAGCTCCCTCACCGGCACAGGCTTTCTTCCCAGCACAGCTGAGATTCTTCTATTGTGAACTGATCTGTAAAGGCTCCACATTAGACCCTGCCTTTCCCTCCCCAACAATCTTGGAGCCCCAGCTGAAAGCGGACTGCTTATCGTCCTGAGGTCCATTCCCTTACGCCAATGCTGCCCACGAGCTAATGCATAAATGTCAACTGCCTAATAGATGTAGACACGTCAAGCAGATGGGTAGATCTCAGAGTCGCTTGGGTGAAGATGCCCGAGGGCTGACTCCAGGCCAGAGAGCAGCACATTGTATTACTGCCATTTGTCTGCCACCTGGAGCGCACACCCTGCCTGGGGCACTCTCTAATGTGGCCGATACCCAAAGCTGCCAACCGTGAAGCTTGTGAGGAGCTTGGAGGCCAGGTGCAGAGCTGACACCCTTTCAATTCTTTCAATCAAACTGGAAACTCTTTTAAATAAAAAAGTTTGTTAAAAGATGGAGAGTTTTGTGAATACCATCGAAAAAAGCAAACTAAGAAGTAATAAAGAATGATTAAGACTTTCCTACTGTAGCCAGTCCTTATCCTCGGCTTCTTCACTCACATAGGTCACTGGGTAACCATAAGAAGGGACAGTCCAGGCAGATTTCTCCTGTAGCTGCTGCCCTGGCCGTGATCAGCTAATTCAGCACAGAACAAGGTTAGTCTCGGGATTTGTATGTAGCAAGTTCAGAGCAGAGGCATCGAGAGTCTAACCCAGACCTTCTGCGCATGTCCTTCCGTTTTTTTCTTGCACAGATGTCAGCCTGGCTCAGGTAGTAACTAAATTGCTATCATCAGCAGTGCTCTGGAGTACTTGGCTCAGTAGCTGACTTTCTGTTGCCAAACATATCACCTTGGAGTCAGTTCAGCTCCAGGACGACCCTGCTTACCTCCCCACCAACTAATGTGTGAGTGGGAGAAAAACAGGTAGGAGATGGCTGAAAGGAAAGCCTTGGGTCGGGTCCCACTGCATTGAGAAAGGAAGCAAACCATTTGCTAAACTGCTGACTTTGCTGCTGATGAGAGATGAGAACGTTCAGGGAGCTTTGCCTCTTCACTGGCCTCCCTTCTCACAGCTCTGATTGAATGTAAATGGCAAAGTTTAGCCTGGACCTTCCCACGTGCCCTTTGGAAGCTACATGGAGGGTGGTTAACACTCTAATCATTTACAAAGGTCAGATAGAGCAGCAAGCCTTTGAGCAGTCATTTAAAATTCGATTGATCCCTATTTGTAGTCAGGCCAAAGAGTATAAAAGACATTTCAGCTATATTGTAATTCTAAAGCTCTAAGGCAACAGTAAATACAAGTGTAGACATCAGGATGTGGCAATGCTCACACTCAGGTCTGCCGCTCGCCTCGGCCTCATTACTGTCTATACGTGAGGTGAGACCACTGCTGATGGAACAGGGAACAAGCAGATGGGCGGCAAAAAAGAGAACAGATGCTCGTGCTGAATACTTTTTTTAAAAAAAACTTGGACAGACACAAAGCTCATGTTGTGGTTTCAGGAAAATTGAAATGTTACTGGAATCCCTGAGAATGATCTGCCAGAGCTGTGACCATCAGCACCACAACTGATAAACCACCATAGATCAGTTTCTGTAAATCACACATTCTCTGTATGAAGAAAGTACTGCTTGGATTTAACAGTAATGGCGGCACAAGCTTGTTTATCTCCAGCCGCTCAGCGGGTTGGTGCTGAGGCTCACAGAGCTTGGACGTGGCGACACTTCCAGATCTCAATGATGAGATAGACGTTTGGTGAACTACCACCAATGGCTCAAGGTATTAAGGTTCTGTTGTTTATTCTCAGAATCCGGTGGTTCCACTTTTGGTGCATCATTAGCTTTCACCTCAGGGAGGAATGTCACATCTTCAATTCATCTCTCCCTTGTTGAGTTCCCTTCGTAAATCAGGTGGACAGGTAAGGTCAGATACCTTTGGAAAATATCACAGAGACTTCAAGTCAGCTGAGTGCACTTCACAGTATGTGGTTACCAAAGCACAGGAGTAGGTCACACTTTACTCCTTGAGTCAGGAAATGGCAATTTGAAGAGAAAAAGACAAAGCGTGGCTGGGCTAAGAGGTGAGCTGCAGAATGTATCAAAGATCATGAGAAAATTGCCATTTCCTGGCTCAAGACGTGGAGTGTGACCTGCTCCTGCGAATGAGAAGTGGAGAGGTAAACCCACGGTTTCACTTTAACGTCAATGAATTATTGGTGAGTCTGAACTCTTTGATAGAAAGATGGTTCTTCTCCGCACACACGAGCACCTGGATCTGGTAGGTCGGGTCAGCTTTTCATCATGGCCTCTGCCAACAGATGCTGAATGTTGCTCACAGCAATGATGCCATCTCGGAGCTTGGGTATGTGCCAGTTACCATGGTAGCCAGTCAGCCACGACACCCCGGATGCTCAGCTGGAAATTGGCCACATTTTGTTTGTTTGTGATCCACCAATCTCAGAGCAGCAGAGAAGACAATGTTCTCTCTCTCCAATTTCAGCAAAACCGCCAGTGAAAATAAACCATCTACATTCCCCCTGGGATAGATTTGAGCTTTAATTCTATAGGTGATGTCTACCACCTTGTTTGTCTACCAATACACAGTCACTACACTTTACAGTAAATCATGTGAAGCACTTTGAAATATCTTGACAACAGGATAAAGCACTACATCAAATGCAAAGATTATTATTATTACTAAAATCTAGCTCAAGGCCTTGTGAGCACTTTCTGTTATGTGGAAGTGTGAGTTTTTTTCTCTGAGATATTCTCACCCTAACCGTGTCAATTAACCCGCCGGCTGAGACATAGCTGGATCAATGAGGAGTTTGCCCCCAACTCCTGAAGATAAATCTGCCTCGCCTCCACATCACCACTTTATATACCATCTGAACTGAGACATGAGAAATATTGAGAGCTCAAGACAAGGACTGCTAACACTAGGCTGTGAGTACAGACTGTTACAGAGCTAACACTAGGCTGTGAGTACAGACTGTTACAGAGCTAACACTAGTGTTTGCGGACAGACTGTTACGACTCAATCTCTCTGTTCCATGCATGGTGTCTTGTGGAACTGATGCTGATTATAATACAATTCTTTCTTCACAATTTAGTCTATATGTTAATTGGCTGCTAGTGAGATGCCCACGGAACATCCTTCAGCAAGTGACAATATCCCAACCCTGGCTCTGCCTGGGAGCCAGAAGTGCCATCGGATCCCACAACAGCTCTGTTATTCTGAGGACCAGCAGATCTGGCCTGGAGATTGCGACTTTGGAGTGTGGAGCCTGGCACTGACCTGCACCCTGAGCTGGAATAATTTCTTCCAATTAACACTGACACCGTGAAGCATTTAAGATTAAGAAAGCTTTTTTTCTTCCTCTTCTCAACTCAGACAAGGGACGTCAGCCACTCTGCACGCACGCACGCACGCACGCACACACACTGACTGAGAGAAAGTGATGGAGAAAGAAACAAACAAATATATAAACAGGCTGAGGGAGAGAAACATACAGACATGCTCGCAGCCAAACCAAGGATCACGTGAGACAGAAAAACACAAGCTGAAATTCAGTCTGTGCAGCATTTGCTGTGAGGAAACGTGGAGATGGCTTAGAGTTGAAAGACCCTGTGCTGCCATCGTTTCCGGGACATGGTTGGCAGGTAAGAAAACAGCAGCAGCTCTTCCAACACTGAGTTATGAAGCTCACAGTGCGCCTGGAGCAGGGAGGCTTGACTCAGGGAGTGAGCAGCCAGTGGCTGCCCGCAGTACAGAGACGGCTGAAGTAGTAACAGGTGCCAGAGAGCAGACAGACTGCACAGCTCCTCTGTATAGTACTGGCAATATCTAACTAAGGCTAGTTATTGCTTACTCGATTGCCATTAAATAAACCAGAGGTCTCTGAACTGGAGGCAGAGTGAGCTTGTACAGTTAGTGCCAGCTATGAGCAGGGAAGGAAGCGGAGGATCGGGGTGGATGGAGGAAGAGGAGCTAGGGGGAATGGAGAGGAAGAGACAAGTGGGGGAGAGGCCATCGGAGACAAGGCTCTTGCTGAAGGGACAACGAGAGGTTATTTAAAAAATAATTACAGGACTAGTCAGCCACAGTCGCCTCCTACCAGCCGCTCCCACAGTGTCAGCACAGCCTGAGAGGAGGTACTGGCGTGACTGCCCTGGGGGAAATTGCACAGCTCCCTCACCCCCGTCTCTATAAGGAGAATACACTCGTCCTCATCTTCAATTGATCAGAATCTCATTTACACCTGGCTGATGTGAAGCCGCTCGTACATTCACAGTCAAAGAGGGGAACTGCCATGATTTATTCATTTCAAATCTAAAAAATCCCAAGTTAGATGAGAAGAAATGACTTCACAGACTGAACCTTTCTCAGGACATCAATGTGTGTGTGAGAGAGAGAGGCTTGTTTTGCGATGCCCAGGGGGCTCACTGCGTGCCAGTCCTTTTAATTAACAAGGTGAATCATGCAGCCGATCCCTAATTAGAGAACATGACAACGTAAATGGAAACATGTAGACAAACCTGGTGCAGGGCGACAGCAGATACACGGACAAACAGCCAGAAAGCTCTTTGTGTTCTCAACAAACTGCGCTTGGAGAGTGACGTTTCACTTTAATGATAATGATTTAATGAGCGGCTCTGTGGTTACACCAGAGATCAGCATTGCGCATTGTAATCCCCACCAGTTTGTACTTAGGGTTGTGCTGTGGCTGTGTGTGGGTGTGGTGGGGTTGGGGGGTAGAAGAGAGGAGAAAGGTATCAATCAGTATTGATTTATATGGATTTGTGGCCAGTAACCATTAAATCACGGGATAAAATAACTACACTAATAATAACACTCAGTGACAGCTCCAGCGCGGTCACACTGTGGGTTCTCAACACAGACATTCTGCAGGTATCCGGCTCTGTCTGAGGTCAAAGCTCTCCCGAAATATTGCTCTAACACTGATTTCATTCTCACTTCCGTGAACTTACACTAAACTGAGGCTCGGGAGGAAGAGAGAGAAAGAGAGAGGAGGGGAGAGAGTGGGGGGGGGGGGGCTAGAGAGAGAGGGGGGAGAGAGAGAGAGATAGTAACATTTTGCTTGTTAAGCTGTAACTGGGCAGGATGATCAGCAGTGTGATCAGGAGCTGCCTCACCCGTCTCCAAGTGTCAAACTCTGCGACGTGTTCCTAGAGTGAAAGCAGGTCTCCTTCAAATTCAATTTACAAGGACTGCATGCCCAGGAGGCAGAGGACAGGCAGCAGCGCAGCGCCAGCGTGTGAAATGCCAATTCTCACTATCCCGGCACCAGCTGTTACCGTATTAAACCCTCAATCGCTTCTAAAGGCCGTATATCTATTCCTGGACCCAAACTTGTTTGTGCCATCACATGACATGTTCACACCTCCAGTACTGAGAACCTACACAGACACTCCACTGAGCAACAGGCTGTGTCCATCCCTCCCCTTCCCAACAGCAGAAATATGCTTCCAATTTAAGATATTGTTTTGAAAGAATAAAGACCAACAGGAAGAGCAGGAGGACCTGTGCTGGTAGTGAAGTCAGGGCAAGACAGGACAGAGAGGGCAGTATTGCCGGGACTGCCATCCTTTGGGTGAGTTGTCAATCTAAGGTCCTGAGCTTTTGTTTTTTTGGTGGATGTTAAAGATCCGTGAATACTATTGGAAAAGAGAAGGGAGCTTGTCCCAATAGCCTGGCCAATAACCCCACAGAGAAATTTACAATTTGCAATTCATCTGTTCACGGGACAGAACTCAGAAGTCGTTAAAATAACATTACGTTTCTCATGACCCCCGAACAACAAACGCACCATCAATGGTTGACAACTTTATCCTCATGCTTATTCCCTTCCTTTGAGTAAGTACTGCCCCCTCCCACACACAATACCGATGTTGTTACCCTCCGTACAGGATTGACACTGACTATCCCCCCCCACCATGGGCCCGGAACACATGCCATTGATTAGTGAAGAACTTGAGCTGTTCACATGTCATGAAGGGAAATGCTGCCAGTCACAGCTTACAGATAAATGAGGAGCCTGAGACTAGAGCAGAGGCTCTGTGCAGGCCTCTCACCTCTGGGGCCTGGGTTCAGGCTGGCTGGCCGGCCAGCAAAATACTGTGCTGCTCTATTTGAGGCTATTCACTTCTGCTGCAAAATCAGTTTTCAACCCACCTGTAGATGGTTATGAATCTGTAATTCCTCACTGGCTGGCAGCTTCACTGGTGCAGGCACACTGGCCTGAAAAACACCATCTTGGCATAGTGTGGAGTGCGCTTCCTGGGTTAGAGGTTAGGGCACACTATGCTGGCAATGGGTAAGGAGTTTTATTCCCCATCCTGGGAGTGCTCAGCCTTGGACATCACTGAAGCAGTGGAATTCAACAGAGACTCATCTCGAGACATTCACTGAGGAAGTAGATTGCAAACACTGTGTGCAAATTACACAAGGAGTCTTACTTGGGTAAACAAAAGTCACATTCCAAGGAGGGAAACAAACAGATTTAAATAAACTGACATGAGAATCAGCAGAATGCCCACTGCCCAGGATTCAGCTCATAGGAAACCCCGCGGCTCAGCCAGCAAACATCACACCAACTGCCCAGAGTCAGCATTACCTCAGCACTCTGATGTCCAACACGTAAAGCTAAAGGCTTTTGTATGTGGAAACTTCCTGATCCTATCCTCCCCAAAACATTGAGAATAGACTGCAACAACAACAACAACAACAATAAGATTCCATTTATAAGAGCGCCTTTCACATCGGGAGGACGTCTCAAGGCGCTGTACAGTTGGGTCAGGACCCGAACATTGGGGGAAATGGTCAGGGGGAGGGAAGGGAGGGAGCGAGGAGGGGGTAGAGAGTTGAGAGGGGAGCTGAAGGCACGGTCAAAGAGAAAGGTCTTGAGACCAGCCTTGAAGGAGGAAAGGGAGGAGGCAAGGCGAAGGCGCTGGGGGATAGAGTTCCAGAGCCTGCAGAGTCCAGACTACAAGGATCTGGGAAGAATCCCTTTCGGGTCCGAAACACAGACTGTCCAGGGCCTTGGGACGTCCTCCCGACGTGAAAGGCTGTATACAAATATAATTTTGTTGTTGTTGTTCCATCAGCACTGAGAGTTACCAGCTTTTGCCACGTTAACCTTGTGGAGCAGATTGGAAAGCTAAAGACAAGTCAAGGATGAGATGGGAAGGGATGGGAAGCACATTCCTGGGTTGGATCATTATTAGTGAGATACATGCATTAGGACGTGAAAAATTAAACGCTGAAACATGGACCACAATGTTGTGCAGCTTCCCTTACCTCCTTCGCTTTCTGCTTCAGCCGGGCCTGCTCAGGGTCTTCTTGCCTGGAGCGGCTCTGAGTAGTTAAAGAAAGAAAAAAACACTGTTTAACAGCTGGGTTTTTAAAGGGACCTGCATCCCTGTCACAGCGAGTAAGTTACACACACCCACAAACACAGTCATTTACACTCTGAGAATTAATGAAAAGTCTGTTCCTGTTACTGGAGTCCTGTAGCATTGCGGTTAGAGCACTCGCCTCACAAGCAAGAGGACATGTGTTCAATTCCTGGGCAGGGCAAAACATTGAGCAAGTTTCCTTACTCCACATGCCTCTATTTCCCTAGCAGTAAGTAGGAACTCTGTTAGTCGATTGGCGGATCGCTTTTCTAGGGATAATAATCCCTTCAAAGAAATGTTTTTAATAATAATTGGGGTCACTCAATCCACATTGTACGCAATTGATTGCTGCATTCGCCCACAAAATATACAGTCAATTCACTTTATCTGAAATCTGAAATGAAGACAAGATTAACGTGAAGACCAGGAGAAATTCCAAGCCTCAGAGCAGGATTTTGACTGATGTTAATCTCAAAGCTCTGGCCTTTTCATTACATTCCCTAATATCTCTATTAACTACTTCAAACATCCCTATTGATTACACCTCTGCAGTTCTGGGGGAACTTGAAAATGAATAGCACAGCACAGAGTGGAAGTGCACAAGTTATAAGGAGCTGAGCCACACAGACCCAGAGGTAGACAACGGTTCCCACCGACTGTTTTTCTGTACCTTGGCTGCCTTTAATAGGATCTCCCGCTCCAGATCATCCTTCCTTTGCTTTTCGAGCCGCTCCAGCTGTTCAAAGAATTTCAGCTGTGTCCGAACATCTGTCGCTTGTTCATACCATTCCTCGTCCTGTAGCTCAGGGAAAAAGAGAAAATGTGGCTTGTGTTCTGCTATCCATTCTTATTCAATAAGAATTTTCCTTCCCTCAGACAGACACACAGACACACTCACTAGTGCCCAAGCTCCTACCCGTGCAGAGATGTCTAAGTTTATGAATAATGAACTCAATCACTGGATAAACATTATAAAACCTCTGTAACGATGGAGACTTTGCTTTCAATCTACAGGATACTGTGCCGTTGGCTGGTCCAACGTCTTCCTGACAAGTTAGAAATGAAAAGCCAACTTCTGCATCATCTCGGAAGTCAGTTCTGAATTTTTCTAGCAAGTTTCGCACGGACAACAAAGCTTTCACGAGGGCTGCAGCGCAGGAGAGGGATGGTGGACAGACGGTGCAGTGACTGACGTTACACACTTGAATGAGTGGACTTGATGACCTAGGAAGGTGATGGGAGACAGATTGTGTCAGCAAATTCAAGAGGAAAGGAGTTGGACATAGAGAGAGGAATGAATTGAGAGAGTGAGAGACAGAGCTGCAGAGGATTATGACGTTTCCCTCTGGGAATGTCGGGCTCAGCCCCTAGTACCTTGTGCACTTCCATCCTGTGCTGTGCAATTGATGTTAATTTTCCGATGACCGTTTTTAACCGTTCCTGCGTTGCGTGAGAGACCGTGTTCACTATGTCGACTGGAATGTCTGAGATCCCAAACCTTTTAGCTGTAAAACATTTAAAAAGAAATCATTCTCTGACCTTGGATCTGGAAACTTTTTTTTTTTTAAAAATCGCTAAACTCTTCTCCTGATCCCACAAAACCAAAGTTTGCAATTCCAGTGGATTCCTCCAGTGCCCTCGTCTACCCTCGTTACTGAAAGCCTGAGCTGGAAGGACAATGGCTGCTCACCCGTTTCCAGCATGCGTCTATGCAGGGGCCCACTGGCTAGAAAGGCCTCGTCCTTGCAGGAGTGGACGCACGCTCCCACCAAGCTGGAGTTGGTGACCAGGATCCGGGCGCTCTCCTCACTGAGATTAACACCGGCCATCGAGGCAACATCGTTAATGTCATCGTCGTCCCTGCAGTCAGAGAAATAGTCCACATGTCAAACTCCTGGTCGACACAGCACACTGGTGTACACAGTACATAATACAGTAACCTCTGGTGTACTGAGCTCCATATACCAACACTCATCAGTTAGTGCTAACGGCGACGATTATTTTGGGGACAGTCGGGTATGTAAACCCATCACAGTGCTTATGAATATCCAACCCAAACCAAGAGTTCAATGTATCCCACCTACACATGGAAATTTGACAAGAAATCGATTTATTTTTCTTAATCATTCATCAAGCTTTTCCTCCAATTTCTCCTACTTTGAAAACAGCAAGTGTAGCGAGGTACAGCTCTACATCAATCATCCTGCCTCACCTACACCTTCACTTCCACCCATTCCCTTCATGTGTCACCTTTACCAACAGTGTGCGTCAAGCGTGCATTCAATGGCAGAGTGAGTCTGGAAAGAAGAAAGTGCATGACATACATGTAGGGAAAGGTAGACAATTGAGAGACTCAAAGCAAGAGAGGAACAAGACCCAGACAGAAAGAAATGATAGAAACACATACAGAAGAAGAGAAGAAAAAGCGAGAAGACACACAGGAGAGAAAAACACAGAGCAGAGAAAATAAATAAAATGCTGGTTGAATGCTGCAGTTCTGAACACTCACAGAGCACTCAGAGCAGATGGAAAACATCCAGAAACAGGGAGAGGAAATGAGGATAACATGGGGGGAAATGTGGCTGAAATGTTTGCAGCTCATTAAATCCACCAGAAAATCAGAATCATCCAACATGCCAATTACTTTCAGAGTCAGAGGCTGATGCCTGGGAATGATCTATCTTCTCGTTGAGGAACACTGGACTGGGTTATACTGCAATTTAAGTGCGGATAAACAAGAGAACAGGCAAGAAGTACAAGTCAACAAGCTGTATGAAAGGCAGGTCATGTCTGTCTAATTTACTGGATACCTTGGAGACTGTAACAGATCTGGTAGATTTGTTGGCTCTCAGGGCTTGTGGCTGAAAACAGACTTTCCCACAGAACAGGCTGAGAAATGACTAGATCGGACAACATGTTATGCCTAAGCAGAGAAGAGATAGCCGGGCTCTGTAAGCCAGACATTGACCGCACACAAACCTAGCGTTGTATTTAACAGTTTAGCTCCTGCTCCCGAGAACCCAGAAGCAGAGCTTGTTGGGCAGTTCTGGAATCTCTCTCCAGGGATACAGTCAGGACACTAACCATTAGGGCATTGGCTGGCAGGATGAGTGGTAACATGTATCCCCACAGCAGCCTCTGGCACATCCTCAACATGTCGCCCACATCCGCATACAGCCACAATGGGCACCATTGTGTGGGTGCCAGCATGAGTGAGATGCATGTGTGCAAAAGTGTGAGTATACATTTAAGTGTTTGTGAGTTGCTGAGTGTGCGTGAGTGTGTATGAGTTTAGATGTGTGAGTATGAATGTGAGTGTTAATGTCTGAATGCGATTGTGGACTAGGGAGTGTGAGTCTACACACATGATGGTGTGAGGGGGAAAGTATGTGTGTGCGTCTCACAGATCAGGTGTGTAGGGTTGCTGTGCCATGTGTAGTCCTAACAATCTGGCACACAAACACCCACAAGTATCAATAACAGGTCTGCAGCAATATAACATTAAGGACAACTTAATAACACAACCATTACCGCCTTTGGTTTCTGGAGTTTCACCACTGCAGCAGCAAATTTGCCTTGAAGCCACTCACAAATTCTGCACACATGCTGTGAATGTCCAGGAACCAGTCAGTGTTCAGAGATTAATACAGGTTACTGGCTCTTGCCTTCAGGCCCAACACACACACAGACGCTTTTTTCTGGCCGTAGGAGAGGGTAAAGGTTCAAATGCAGATGAGTAGATACTGCAAATCCTTTGTTAAAAGCAGTCATTTTCCAGTAGCAAATTTCCATTTTGTTATAATTGAAGCTTTTTTTTAATATTGATAGAAAAATACATTTATTTTAATTCAAACCGGCATCGTCTCCTCTTTGGCACATCTGTAAAAACAGAACGTTCACAAAGGGAGTCAAAGAGCAGAGCTGATGGTGCAGAGTGCGTGACATTTGCCCAGGACAGATTAATTACTGACTCACCAATGATTTATTGATTTATCAGATAATGCCTCGAGTGTACTTTCCCTTTAGGAGACATTAGCAATACCAAGTGAGCGTCTTCATATCAATATACAGTATTCCAAGCATCAACTTGGTGTGATGTGAAGATTGCTACAACCTCATCTCGTGCTGCCCCCTTGTGTTCAATTTTCCCCTTTCGCACTCCCTCACACCACGAGCGACTCTCTCCTCTCACACAGTGAAACAACAGCTTGCATTTACACAGCGCCTCTCACGCAGGGTAGTGCCCCACAGTGCTTGACAGTGGTGGAGCACAATGCTGAGCCGGGGGAGAGGACAGCAGGCACGGTCGAAGAGGAAGGTCTTCAGGCACGGAAGGTACAAGGTGGAGGTATTGAATCATAGAACCATAGAATTACACAGCACAGAAGGAGGCCATTCAGCCCAACATGTCTGTGCCGGCTCTTTTAAATGAGCTCCCAAATCAATCCCACCCCCCATCCCGCTCTCTCCCCATAGCCCTTCCAAACTTGTCCTCCCCAAATAATTATGTACTTCTCTCTTAAAAGTTGTTATGGAATCGGCTTCCACCGGCCTTTCAGGCAACACATTCCAGATCCCAACAACTTGCTGTGTGAAAACATTTCTCCTCACCTCCCCTCTGTTTCTTTTAACAACTATTTTAAATCAGTGTTCTCGGGTTACCAACCCACCCGCCAGTGGGAATAGTTTCTCCTGTTCACCCTATCGAATCCCTTCATCATTTTGAAAACTTCTATTAAGTCTCCTCTTAACCTTCTCTGCTCCAAGGAGAATAATCCCGGCTTCTCTCGCCTCTCCTGATAACTGAAGTCCCTCATTCCTGGTACCATCCTGGTCAATCTCCTTTGCACCCTCTCTAGTGCCTTGACATCCTTCCTAAAGTGTGGGGCCCAGAACTGAACACAGTCTCTCGCTGAGGCCTAACCAGTGTTTTATAAAAAGGTTCATCATAACTTTCTGACTTGTGTATTCTATGCCCTATTTATAAAGCCTAGTATTCCATATGCTTTTTTAACAGCTTTATCTATCTGTCCTGCCATCTTCAAGGATTTATTTATATGAACCCCCAGGTCTCTCTATTCCTGGTCCCCTTTAAGATTATACCATCTAGCTTAAATTGTCTCTCCTCATTCTTCCTACCAAAATGCATCACTTTGCATTTCTCCACGTTAAACCTCATCTGCCACTTGTCTGCCCATTTTTCAGTCTGTCTATCCAGGATAGAGGGAGCGTGTTCCAGTTGCGTAGTGGCTGAAACTCTCTTACTTGAAGGCGCCACCTCCAGGGTCGGTGTGTTTGATCCTCTGAGTCGCCGAGACAGCAAGCGTGACACTTGCTGTGCTCTTGCTCCCCGGCCATGTCTTCCCCACTACCCGAGAAACATAAAGAAACACAGTCACCAATGGCACGTCAGCCAACACCTCATGCCTCTCACACGGAGCTAATTAGCCAAGCCTCCTCTTCATTAACGCATGGACATCTTCCTTACTTCCCCAGGGGTGACTGAAAACAGGGCTGATCGCAGGTCACTTTGATCCCAGTGCATACAAGACAGACAGACATGTACACAGTGACACACCCACACACACGAGGTATGCGCATGCACTCTCTCACACACAAAGGCACACGTATGCACACACACACATACACAAGGTGATGTTGCATAAGCGCACATGCACACGCACACAAAACCACGAGGCGAAAGACCACATGCGTGCGCACATGCCTGCGTGCGTGCACACACACACAGACAGACAAAGTAACACTGATTGTTAGGAGTCAGTGATGTTACTGATCGCCAGTTGGATGTGGCTTCCTCTCGTACCTGGTCTGATGGACGGCGTAATCATCATTGGCATCCTGACCTGAGCCCCAGGACTAACACTTTGCCTCTTTACTGTCTGGGTTGGGGATTGCACAATCTGTTAAGAAAAGATGGGTCGTCAGCTTGTGCATTGAAACAACCCCATCCACAGCAGCACACTGTTTACACTGCCCGAATCAGGGCACCACAAGCAACCTTCTCTGTGTGCACCACTCATCAGTACTCTCTGGGTGAGTGGGTAACTCATTCACGCCTGTTCCTTGAAGGCTTCATGTGGTTTTGACTCTCAGCCCCTGCACGTAAAGCGAGCTACACATCCATGGCAGTCTGGGACCCTATCGCTCGACCCCGGGACACATTGTGTTGGGTCATCCAGGAGCCGCGATGTTTCCCACGTCTCAGAAAAGCACGTCCGTTGCACACTCCCTACAAGTGGTTACACGTCCGGTCCAAACACACCATACACCCCCTGCTGCAGGTCAGTGTCCCTCTTCAGTCAAAATCCAACTGTCCCTCCAAACCAACTCCCACTGTTGCCTACAGGCTGATTCTTGCCTCAATTAAGTAACTGGTTGTTGGGCCTAGTTTTGGCCAACACTGTTGAATGAACTATAGGCTATGGTTGGTTCCTTTAACAACTGCCTCGCCACCAGTGCCACATTAAAGGAGGAAGTCTCAACACCAGAGTCCTCCTTCTCAATACAGAACGGTAAGGAAGGAAGGCTCATTTGTCTATTCCTAATGGGATTGATTTAAATGCTGGTGGAGACCACATCAGGGGAACTGTCCTGGAGAGTTTACTGAGCCCAACAGTCCGATGATCGGTATTAATGTACAAACCTGGAAAGGACAAGATCGCTGAAGTAGCCCTGGGTTAATGACTGTAAATCAACAGAAAGAAAAAAGATGTTTAAGTGACTAGCAATTACTTTGCTAAATGTAAATGGAGTACTGGTGGCAAGACTCCTTCTTTAAGCTTCTCTTGTGTAAAAAGGATGAATATCCTACCAGCTCTCACATCAAACCTACTCACTCAGATCCCATCTGATGTTGAAAGATCCATGGTACTATTCGAAAAGAGAAGGGAGTTTCTCTCTCTCCTGATGTTCTGGTCAACAATCCCCCAATAAAATTCACCATTCACTTCATGGGTGTTTGTGGGTCTTTGCTGTGTGCAACATGGCTACCACATTCGCCCACAAAATATCCAGTCAAACCACCTTACAGTATATCCTGTGATGAGCTTTGGGACGTCCTCCTGACGAGAAGGCTAGTTATACCAAATGTGAGGATTATTATTATCAAATCTGCTCAACTTCCAATGTCGCTTCACAAGCTCTCCCATCGAGACACCGGAGCGATTCCATGGCAGGAATTGAACAATAGGCTAAAAGCAAGCTACCCACAACCTCCAGCCATGTGTCTTCCCTACCCCACCCATCCGCATAACCACCAGGGATGTTATGTGAACCCTCACCTCCCGGTAATTGGTTTTGATGCAAACTACCTCCCCCCAAGACTCAAAGTAACAGTTTAATATAGTAATGATATTGTAATGATGGCTCATTCCTCACTCCCTCTTCTCTGTCCATCATTGGTGGCTGAGCTTTCAGCTACCAAGCTCTGGGACTTTCTCCCCAAATCCTCTTCCAATTTGCTCTCTCCCTGCCTTTCAAACCCTTCTCGGACACGCTTGCGGTCAAGAACCTGAATTCTCCTTTCCTATTCCCTGCTCGTTACTCCATACCTTCACTTTGAGAAGTTGATTCTGAAAGTTACTGCTGTAGATACAACTCACCTTGCTGATTGCGGGTAGATTTTACATGAATGAAATGTTAGATTTATTCAGCAAGATTTCTGCCACAATAAGAGGTCCAGGTGCAGTGCTAATCAAGTGCTGGATTAGATATACAATGGGCTCCTAAGCTGTTGTAAATGCTGATTATAGAAGACCAAGGCTTACAAGAAGCCCTCAGGAACGTGCACAGTATGAAGGGTATCGTATACACAGCTTTCCCTGCCTGAGGTGGTTGCTCGGACAGACCCTGTATCTCTGGAGAGAAGATCATAAAGTGCAAGTAGAGCCTGCACACACCACATGGATGCACACCAACCCAACCAGTGCCCCAGTCGAGGGCCGATGCCAGCTGCCACAGTACGCACCAGATGTGAGCTCCGTCCTGGTGTCAGGCTGATCTGGGTGGGAGTCACGGCCACGGTGGTAGGTTGCCGCAGACGCACGGTGGGTCCGGCCACAATAGCGGTGATGGTTCCTGTGGACAGCGGGGTGGACGTGGCCTGTGAGGGAGCTGTGGCCGGTGTATGCACTTGGAGGATAGACTGCTGGTTGTGAGCAAGAGATTGCCTCAAGGCTGGTAAACTTTTCTGGGTGGAAAACAATAAGCAGGTAACACCGAAGTGAGCTCGATTAATAATGGAATCATAAAGCATTTGTTTTAAACCTTTTCAGATTTAAGAAAAACTGTTGTTGAGAGCTTACTCCGTCTGTAACTCACACTGTCACTGACGTGGGAGTGTGGACAGACAGTGTAGAGGGAGCTTTACACTGTCTCTAACCCACACTGTCACTAACGTGGGAGTATGGACAGACAGTGCAGAGGGAGCTTTACTGTGTTTGTAACCCTTGATGTTAGGACAGGGAGCAGTAGGACAGTGTAGAGGGAATTTGAATTTCCGAATAGGATTTGGAAAACATTGAATATGAATGCAGTGGATGAGAGTGTGAGGAGCCGTGTACTATAGTAGCAACGCAGTTGTATCGTTTCTAAGCAAACCTTCAGAAAAGGCACCAAGTATGGCTGTGGGGATGACTTGAGCTCAGACTGAAGCCTGTTTGTAAATTCCTCCGGTTCAATCTTGGCATCCTTCAAAGCAAGGAGAAATGTGACATTTAACATGTTTTCCTAAAGTTTCCTCTCTCGTCTATTCCCCACCCCCGTCAGCACTGTGTCTGTGTATGTGTACGCGCGTGTGTGTGTATGTGTACGCGTGTGTGTGTGTGTGTATATGTGTACGCGTGTGTGTGTGTGTGCACGCGTACGTATATATATATGTGTGTGTGCTGGGCGGGGGGGTGGAGGAAGAGCTCTGTGCTGTGGTTGGGAGCCACCCCCAAAGCAATCTTAAACATCACCCCCGCGCTGCCCGCAAACACAGCGGGAAGACTAGGCACTTGCCAACAGGTCCTGGACAAGGCCCTTGACGTTGCGGGAGGTATCAGCCGATTGGCCACTGTGTGATGCCAGCTTGATCAGGGTGGCCAGGAAGTTCTTGCATTTCTTCACGTTCTCCTGAATCTCCTGCGATTAAACACAGCAGTATTAACACAAGGCATGCACTTTAGTACACAACAGTTCAAACTGTGGGCAGTGAACAATCGCTAACTGTAGCTGGAATGTGGAGTGCCCTGACCTGTCAGTGAGGCTTTCCAGTGTGTCTGACACAGCAAGACTTTCCCAGGTTCCAATTCAGGCCCGGACTGATTTACTGATCCCAGCTGGGACAGCAGTCAGGGCTCAACCTGCACTCAGTGCTGCTCCTGACCACTGTCTAGACACCCAGTGCAGGAAGGTGTGTGTGTGTTGTGAAAGGTGAGGAGAGGACTGGGCTCAGGTGTGAGGGCTTTATGCTTGGTGCTCACAGCCAGAGGGAACCCGGCATTTCTGCCAATGATGTCTGTGGCCAGCGGGCAGTCAGGAGAGATTAGATCAGCCACTCCTGTTTGGATGTTTCCTCGGGCAGGTGGTTAGAACAGGTGTATTGGTGACCTGATGCCAACGTGATGAACCATCCTGCTGGTAAGTGCAACAATAACAAGCAAGTGAGTGAGGTCCGAGCAGCAGGTCAGAGGGTCTGAGTAGAAGACAAGCAGTAGATTGTATATGATGGTCAGAAAGTGGCCGGGAGGAGTGATAGCCTGACAGGGCCAGGGAACTGGAGACAGTTAGTGAGACAGGGCACTGAGCCAAACAGTGCAAGTGGGTTTAGAGTAATATGCAAATCCTCTACTGAGGCTAATCAAGCTTCCTCACTGCCAGCATCTGAGCAAGCAGTCAGAGAATAAGACAAAAGAAGGCTGAGTTACCTGCCCTCCTCGCACCAGAGGAAGAGACTGCGACACTGACGGGATCTAGAGAGGAGGAAACACAGAGAGAATATGGGAAATGGTATTTTTTGTTGGTAAGATTTAAGAACAAGTGAACTTCAATCTTCAATGCACTGACCTGTGCTACAGCAGCTGTTCCTGCCAGTGGGGAGCTTGGGACCACCTGGGGTTGTAGGTGGACCTGTGTGTGTAGTTTGGTTGCAGGCTGGGGCTGAAGCGGAGTCCGAGGTGAAGCCTGGGGTTGGCCTCCAGCGATGCTGGGCTGCTGTGCTGGAGTCTGCTGGACAGACATGTGGTGGCCAGTGACACCTGCCACGGCCGTGGTGTATACTGTCTGTGGGCTGCTGCTGCTAACACAAATCTGCAGGAAACAAAAGAGCAACAGAAAGTAGATGGTAGACACTCTCTGTGTGATCGATGGCCTAAACCTCAGAACGTCCTCACTTACACTGCAGGGCCCAATGGTTAGACACAGTGGGTGACTTCGATCGATATGACCGCTGGACATTAAAGTTAGAATCAGAGAATTATACAGAGCAGAACACGACCATTTGACCTTTCACACCTCGGGGTATCCCTCAGGTGATCCGGGTGGAGACGGGAGGAAAATACAAGCCTTTAATACAAGCCTGAAATCCCTAATTCGCATACAGAGCACAAACATTCCCTGAACCGGGAAAACTCAGAACCACCGAACATCACACGAGAGAAACCACATGCTCAGAGCATCAGGTTTGAGCTGATGTTTGTCTCCAAATCAGCCAATTAAACTCCACTCACCTGAACACTCCCTCCCACACCCTTCATATTGTTCCTCAACAATCTGCACAATTATCTTTGTAAAACATTGACAGACAAGCTACATCTCTGCTTTGACCGAGAGTTACACGTGCCCCCACTTTGCCCAAGAACCTTTCTCTTATTGATATCATCTTAAATTGGAGGATGAGAATTCCCCAGAGGGGAGTAGGCACATCACCTCCAGGCTGTTTTTGACAAAGAATGAACCCACGTTGATGACAACCACAAGCTGTACTTACGGGGGAGCGTGTCACCATGGTAACGGTGGCGGAGCCGGCACTGAGGGGGGTGGCAGTGGGTGTGATGAGCTTGGCTTGCACTGGGGCTGCTGGCCGGATTGAGGAGAGCGTCATGGATTGCTATAACAAAACCAGAGACTGATTAACATCAGCGCCATCGGCAGCAAACACTGCGCGCCTGGGCTGTGTGTAACAACAACAATAATCATAACCCTCGCATTTGGTGCAGCACCTTTCATGTCGGGATGGCGTCTCAAAGTGCTTCACAGGATTTACTGTGAAAAGGAGTGACTGCGAATCTGTAGATGGACAGAACAGCTGATTTGCCCACAACAAAGACCTAAAACAGCCATGAGGTGGAATAACCAATTTGATTTGGGGGATTGTTGGCCAGGAAATCGGGAGAAACTCTCGTCTTTTCGAGCAGTGACATGGGACCTTTAACCCAATAGGCAAACAGGATCTTGGTTTTACGCCTCGTCTGAAGGATAGCATCTCCAACAATGCAGCTCACACCCAACACTACACTGGAGAGTCAGTGTAGACTGTGAGTTCACAAAATCCAGACATGGGGCTTGAACCCACAACCTTCTGACTCCGAGGTACAGGTACTACTATCTGATCTAGTCTGACACACAATGGCTGATCGGTACTTTCAGTCAGGAACAAGAAGCCAAGGCTGAAAGACGTGCTCCAGTAACCATCTCCAGAACAATGCAGAATCCTGAAGGCAGATTTTCTACCTGCGGCACTGGATACAAATAGCAAAGACAGGCGAGCCGTGCGCTCCTGAATCAAATGCCAATCAGCTTTGCAGAAATAACAAGTGGCATCTCCACACATCTGATCTGCTGTGAACCCTTCTCAGGATTCTTCAAACTCAGCGTTGAGATGCTTTCATCACCTGAGTTCAAAGCTGGCAGCCTGGAGGTAACTCAGCCAGTACCAGCAGTTAGAAACAAAAGAATCATTATGGCAGGAAGCTTCAATACAAAGCTCTAAACAGCTCATAATAAATTTACAGAAACAATGAAGCACGATATCACAATGAGGATTCTGGTAACGGCAGACTCCAGAGGAGGGCTCACCTACATCACCAGCAGCACACAGAACAATCCACACAGTTTATTCCAGGGCTTCAGAGAGTAGAGACACCCACAATTAATGTGAGACTGAGCAAGAGACAAACAGACATAGAGTGCTCTCTCCCACTACAATACAGAGTCAACCCAGACTGCAAGCTCAAGTCCTGACATGGGGGTTGAACCCTCAATTTTCTGACGCAGAGGGCTACAAACTGAGCCAAGCTAAACTGCTCACAAACTATTACAGTGCCAAGTAACATTTATACACAACTGCTGACGTGAATTGTCAGGCTATTCGGCCACCAAGATAACAAGCTCACAGAGGCATTGGTCTGAATTGCACAAGTTTTCTGGCAGTATTAATTTGTATGGAATGGCATAGTTACTGATCTGGAGAACAAAATCAGCAGTTGCCGAAGTTTCCTCGTTTAAATGGTGACTTCTTCTCTTCTTTTCTAGGTCCGTTCTAAAAAGAAACTTGGCTACATTTATACCTAACGCGTTTACTTAGCCTTTCTTTCAATTCTAACTACAAGACCATCTGGTTTGTTTGTCTCGCAGATAAGTTTTTTTCGCTTTTACTCCTCACCTAACAAAGACCATTTCGTGCAAAAAAAATTTTGATCACGACTGCAAGGCCAGCGAGTTATCACGCACAGACACCGCTTCTTTGTCTTACTTCTGCTTGCATGTCCCTGTTTCTTCATTATCTTACTAAACCGAGCAAGGACGTTAGATAAGGAAAAGACAAGATATTACTCATTTCTAGCAAGGTTGCAAAAGTTACACAAGTATAATCATCAACAAAATTCACTTAAAATTACAGCAGTACAGATGTTCAGTAATTTTCCATTAAAAGCAAAATGCACAGTAGTACATCAGCATAGCAGTCAACTTAACAAAGTTTCACTGGTCATAGGCAACGGAGACACACTAGAGACTGCACTCTGTAAAGTTAATGCTGACGTGACAGATCATTGGGTAAGTTTGGACTTGTTGTGAATACATAAGAACATAAGAAATAGGAGCAGGAGTAGGCCATTTGACCCCTCGAGCCTGTGCCCCGCCATTTAATAAGATCATGGTTGATCTACTAACCTAATTCCATTTACACACCCTATCCCTATATCCCTTAATCCTTTCAGTTTTTAAAAATCTATCTATCTCAGTCTTGAACATGTTCAATGACTGAGCATCCACAGTCATTACACTTTACAGTCCATCTTGTGAAGCGCTTTGAGATGTCTTGATAACGTGATAAGGTGCTATATAAAAGGCAAGCATTTTGTTTGTCCAGCTGGGGTCCGACACATGCAGAAACCCATCAACATGCTTAAGAGTATCCAAACCAATCAGGAGTTCCATGCATCCCACCTATAAGTGGAAATTTCCCGAGATGTTTATTGGAATACATTGTCTGCACTATCACACAGAATTGGTCCTCGGCTTTATGGTCAGCAAAAACCCTTGTGGGACAAATCACCTCGGTACCATCACTCGCAGCATAAGCAGATCCCTGATCTGGCAGTTAGCCTGTGTCACAGCTTTAACATCAGCGCTAGACAAGGGCTGCCCTCTTGACACACAAGGTGACTGGCCAATAATCACTGCTTTCTCACTGAAGGTATATTAATATTAAAAGCTTACACACAGCATTGCATTGTCACTTTGTGTGCAGCTGGTGGCGCTGCTGAGCAGCGATGCCTGAACGGCGCTGCAGCACCATCTGCAGGCGGACTGCAGGACTGCATGTCAGGCACATTCAGGTCAACCACACACTGCACCTGCATTTACACACGAGGCTCGACCCCACACCCAACATGAAGTCAATGGTGAAAAAATGCTCAGGCAAAGAGGTAGGAGGGGTCAGATAGAGAGGGAAGGGAGTTCCTCAATAAACAGACACTCCATGCCATCTCCAAAAATGGAAACTGTGTACAATACAAGTTACATCTGAATAGCGCCTTTCATGTCGGGAGGACGTCCCAAAGCGCTGTGTACCTCAATAATCAGAGAGACTGTGTACCTCAATAATGGGAGATCTGTGTTCTGGCCACTTTATGCAGCTTGTCTTATTTCTTTTGAAATTGTTGGTAACCAGTCAATAATCTGGGGAAAATCAGCCAGTCTATTGACTGCCCTTAAAGTGATGCTCCCCCACCAGTTGGGTCCATTATCATGAGATGTAGCACACAACAGCTGATAATATGGCATCCTATTGTTGAGTACTTTGAAAGAAACAGGAAGGGTTTGAGCCAATGGATACCAGAGGACAGAATGGAGGACAGAGCAAAGGGTGAGAAGTGGAATCAGAGCCATCAAGCAAAGCTGAGGAAAATGAACGTAGGATATGGAGACAGTGTCTGGGCAGTGATCATACCTGAGTTGATGTCAGGCGGAACGTAGGCCCACTTGTGGGAGCACAAGGCCTCGGAGAGATGTTTCCTGGTCTTTGAGCCTGAGCCTGGGCTAAAGCTTGCTGGGGAACCATGACAAGCTGCCCACTTTCTGTGCGAACCAGAATCATACCTGGAAGAGAGAGAGGAGGTTGGCGATTGAAGAAAGGTTAGAAGTTTATTGGAACATTTTCAGGATCAAAACATACAGTATTTCTAAAAGTTACAAAAACAATATAAAAAGTGTTTAGGGAAAGAACAAGGGAATGGGATTACAGAAGAGAGCTCCAATGGGGGAGCGAGCACCAGCACAGACACAATGGGACAAATGTCCAGGTCTTGGGCTGTAAACTCGCTATGATTGTGAATTAGTTGGTGGCAAATCTCCTACTCTCTCCCCACGAAGCAGCTCGATTCCCAGCTCTTCAGCGAGTCAGATTCCCAGGTTCATCACTGTTCATTGGTTTACCTCAGTCAGGACTGCAGCAGCAACATCAACACCACCACAATAAGCCTCTTCACCCAGGTGAGAGAGAGGGGGGAGGGGAAGCATCATTCAGCCTGGGATAAAACTCCAGACACACCACTACCTTTGCAAGAAAATGTGTGTGGACTGACATCAGTTAGCAGAATTGGGCCCCCATTGTCCACTCACTGTGAACACATACATTCACACTCACTGTCAATACGCACTGTCAATACACACACATTCACACTCACTGTCAATACACACACATTCACTCTCTCTATCAATGGCCACTTGGACAAGGAAACCATAGGAAAGGAGAGTGGGCAATATAATAGTAATCCTTGCATTTGATATAGCGATTTCACGTCTTCTAAACGTCTCAAAGCACTTCACAGAAATACCTTGTAAAGTGAATTAATTGTATATTTGTGGGCCAATGGTGAAAATTCAAGAGAAACTCAGCAGAAATATTGTTGCAAGGCTCAAACTGTACTAAATGCTAACCAGCACCGGAGGGAGCTACAGTCCAGACTGTCCCTGGAACTGAATATCTCAAAGCCCCAACTGTCAACATGTGCAGAAGTCACTTCACCTAAACCGTCACTGTGAGGATGACACCAAAGACACGACACAAACATTGGGTATTAACCTGTGAAGATCACAATGAGGTTAATGTATATATGTTTATTAACCATTTGAGGATCTCATAATGTCACAATGCTTATTAATCCTTTGATGGACACGTGGTCTGCAGGTACAGATATATATATAACTTACATTTTTATAGCATGATATCATGTCTGAAAGCGCTCACAGGTAAAAACTGTCATGCAGAGTAACCGAGTCTAGGCAAACATTACAGCCGTTTGCACCATTAAAGTCCCGCCTATAGGATTTACAATTCCACAAACATCGAGATGAGCACAATACAATACAACATTAAATTTACATTTAGACAGCGCCTCTCACATCAAGAGGATGTTCCTCAGCATTTAACAGTACAAGCTTGGCACCCGTGTGGGAGCTGAGTGGGGTGAGGAAGGGAATGATGAGCAAAAGCAAGGCTGAAGAGGTTGGTCTTGATATGGACCTTGATTGAGGTGAGAGATGAGGTACTTGGGATGGAGTTCCAGCGAGATGAGTGGAAAGGTTGAGAGCCAATCAATTAATTAGAATTTCTGAGATAATTTTGGATTAAGAGGGAATATTAATCCAGAAAGCAACGAGAAAGACTCCACTTTCCTTCAAAAAGCGGCAGATGGTTGGTTAATATTCACCCAGATCACAGATGACCTAAATTAATGATCATGTTAAGAGGGGACATTGTGGAAATAAATAATAAGCTTTATTTAACATCAAGCAAGCCATCGCCAATCACACTTACATAGCAAGCAATCGTCCTGCTGCTGCCAACAGCCTCCTGTGCAGTCATTTCTGACTGTAAAGCTCGAACGAGGAACATGCAGATCAGCTCTGAGTGCAGCAACCTCTACCTCACCCTCAACACAATTTGAATCCTGCCTCAGACAGCACACCCGAAATCCATCACCACCAACAACAATTTGCATTTACACAGCGCCCTTCACACAGGATAGCGCCCCAAAGCGTTTGACAGTGAGAGAGCATGACACTGAGCCACCTGTTATTTCAACAATTGTGCGACTCAGACAAGTGAAACGAAAACGGAATAATCTATCATAATACAGTCCTTCCATCACTGCACTGTGCTGAATAAGTTATACCAAACATTGGACATTAGCAGCCGCATGAAACAGACATAGCAGATCCCTTTACATCTTTTCAACAATCCCCATCGAATCACAGAGTTACATAACATCACCTTGTAAAGACTCATGCATGCATTTCTGTAAACGTTTCATAAATTAATTAACAGCTAAAACAGGCAATTAGCTTCAGGTGGATTGCTTCCACTGTATATCGAGATTGAACATGAGCCACAGATCATTCAGTACAGGATCGGGCTGGCTTTGACACACTTTGCTGAGCAGCTTGCTGTGTTCCATGTTAATACAGCACACTGATGATCACTGTCACAAGGGGATCCCCTTTGCTAGTCCTAAAGTATTCAGCAAACATTAAGACAGAGGAATAATAATAATAATCCTTGCATTTCAAATAGCACCTTATCACGTTGCTGAAGCATTTCAAAGCACTTCAAAGCTACATTCACACTGTAGAGTGTTGTGACTATATATTTTGTAGGCAAACACGGCAGCCAATTTGCACGCAGCACTATCCCACAAGCAACCATGCAGTGAATAATAATAATAATCCTTGCATTTGATATAGCCTTATCACGTCTTTGCGATGTCTCAAAGTGCTTCACAGAATATACTGTATAGTGAATTCACTGTGGGCAAAATGCGGCAGCCAATTGCGCACAGCAGTGTCCCACAAACAGTCGTGGATTGAGTGACCAAATTATTATTATTTTTTTGAAGAATTATTGCCCCCAGAAAATAACTAAGTCTATCTGGAAGATTGTTGGCTAGGACACCCAGCAAAAATCTCTTCTCTTTCTGAATAGTACCGTGGGACTTTTAACATCCACCTAAACAGTCAGGCATCCTGGGACCTCAGTTTAACACCCCATCCCAAGGACGGCAGCTTTCAACAATACAGTGCACTCTCAATATTGCATTGGAGCATCAGCCTAGTAAGTTCAAAGTCCCAATGTGGGGCTTGAACCGACAACCTTCTAACTCAGAGCAGTGTAGAGGAGTGAGAAAGATCACTGCGATCCAAGTGATACCGGTCACAAAGTACACATACCTCATACACGACTTACACCTTTCATATCCCTTGAAAGATTTCTTTGCTAAACTATTATCTTGTCTCACATTTACCGACACGCTCTTCTGTTATGTGGTGAGCCAGCTGCACACGAAGTGTAAACATTGAGTTCAAATGGTTCAATAAAAATCAAGCTGCCATGGTTGATAAAAATGATAATCCTGAAATCAGATACTGTAACTGCTGCAGATCTTTCACAACACTCTGCATCCTGTGAAGTTCTTGATGTGTGATTTTTCTAACTGCTCTTTAGTTGCAGCACATTGCTAAACTGAATATAAATGCTCCGAGACGTTACCCCATGTGAAGGACACTATGTAAATGCAAGTTGTTGCTGTTGTACTGAACAGAGTTTTCAACATTATGGGATGTTTTTGTCCACAACACAATCCGTCACCAATCCACAAGATTCACACTGATGGAAACATTTAGAAAACTTTCAAGAGAAGCTGAAAGTTGCTGAACCTTGCCTGCAGATACAGTTACTACATTTGACAATTCCCTGTGAGGATAGCTTTGAGAACTTTTGACATTATAGGCACTGAATTAAATTCCAGGGTTATGATTAACATTACAGCTCTCCTCACACAAGTCAACAGAAGTCCTGGTGTAAATTGCCTCATAACAACATTCACTTCACCTTTCATTACTCTCCCTGTGATGCACTTTGAGACGTTTACTTTACATGAAAGATGCAAAATAAATGTTGACTGTTATAAATTAGCTTTTAGATTTATAATAAAATAAATAATAATAATCCTTCAATTTGGTATAGTACCTTTTCAGGCTCTGGAACTCCATCCCCAGTGCCTTCGCCGCTTCTTCCCTTTCCTCCTTCAAGGCCGGTCTCAAAACCTTTCTCTTTGACCGAGCCTTCAGCTCCCCTCTCGACTCTCTTCCCCCTCCTCGCTCCCTCCCTCCCTTCCCTCCCCTCACCCTGACCATTTCCCCCCTCCTCGCTCCCTCCCTTCCCTCCCCTCACCCTGACCATTTCCCCCCCTCCTCCTCCTCCCTCCCTCCCTCCCTCCCCTCCCCTCACCCTGACCATTTTCCCCCTCCTCGCTCCCTCCCTCCCCTCACCCTGACCATTTCCCCCCTCCTCGCTCCCTCCCCTCCCCTCACCCTGACCATTTCCCCCCTCCTCGCTCCCTCCCCTCCCCTCACCCTGACCATTTCCCCAGTGCTCGGGTCATGACCCAACTGTGCAGCGCCTTGGGACGTCCTCCTGACGTGAAAGGCGCTTTATAAATGGAATCTTGTTGTTGTTGTTGTTTTCACATCTTTGAGACGTCTCAAAATGAACCGACTGTATATTTTATGGGTGAAATGCGGCAGCCAATTATACACACCAGTGTTCCACAAACAGTCGTGGATTGAGTGACCAAATTATTGATAGCTTTTTTTAAAGGATTATTACCCGCAGAAAAGCAATTCGCCAATTGACTAACAACCGGGTTCCGACTTTCCGCTTGGTAACCAGAGGCGTGTGGAGCAAAGAAACTGGCCTAATGTTTCGCCCTGTCCGGGTACGAGTATCAAACCCAGGTCCTCTCACTTGCAAGGTGAGTGCTCTAACCATTACGCTTCAGGACTCCATGAGCAATGTTCATTGGTATAAAAAGTTTTAGGCAGTACTCACCTGGTGGGATGGTAAACCCAGGAGCCAGCTGGACTGTTGGCTGTTGCTGAGGCCTGACTATGAGCTGTTGGGTGAGGACACGCTGAGGTGCTGCTATCCCAGGACGAGAAGGCTGTGACTGAGAGGCTGTTATGGGGGCAGCCGTCCCCGCCTTAGTCACTCCGGCATGAGGCTGTGTGATCACAGTGATTGCGGGCTTGACCATAGCATTGATAGAAACAGGACTGCTCGCTGCCAGGATGGAGCTGGTAACTGTACAGTGGGGCTGGTTATTGGAAGGGTTCATCACAGGAGCAGTAAAGGTTGGGTTGTTTAATACACTGATTGCCACGGGCTGAGACTGACTGTGTAATACTATCTTGGACTGTGATATGGAGTCTGTTTTAGTGGTTGAGGGGGTGCAAGTTGAACTACTGATGACAGTTGGCTGATGGGTGACCAGTTGTGTGACTGTGGCTGTCCCGGGTTTGGCCTGAGGACCGGTCCCATTCTGTGACGTCGGTACAATGTTCAACAACACGTTACTGTTTACAATGTGTACGGGAGGAGGAGGTGTTTGGAGAGCCCCAGTGGGAGTGTTGGCGGCTGCCGGCGCCGGGCTGTCCGGGGAGGCGGGGAGGCTGGCGCTGGGCGCGGGGCTGCCGGCGGCGGGCACGGCAGACAGCCCGGGCTCGGCGCTGAGCGGGGCGGCGCTGGCCGGCTCGGTGCTGTGGCTGAAGGCGGGACCGGCGGCGGGGGGAGCCGGGGAGCCGGCGGCGGGGGCAGCCGCTCCGTTCACCACCTGGAGCCGGACAGCGGCCGCCGGGAGGTGGTTGCCGAGCGGAGCGGCGGCTGCCGCCGAGGGAGCGGGGACCAGGCCCGGCCGCGAGCCGCCCGCTGGAGCTCCCGCCCCGCCCGGAGAAGGCGCCATCCCGGCGGGTTGCTGCTGGTCCCCGGCCGCCGCCGCCGGGCCGCCGCTCCCCGCGGGCCCTGACCCCGGCTCTCCCCGCCGAGCAGCACTCCCGCCGCGGCCGCCCAGCTGCGACTCGAGCGAACCCACCAGGTCGCTGACGGCTTTCTCGTCCACCTCCGACGAGAGGAGGTCTTCCAGCGGGTCCGACCCCGCCGCCATCTTCCCTCAGCGCTGCCCCGCACTGCGCACGCGCGCCAATGGCGTGTGACGTAGGGCACGGGATTCCGAGCTGGAGCGGCGCAGCGGTCACCACCAGAGGGCAGCACCACCACACACACACACACATCCTGCTCACCACCAGGGGGCAGCACCACCACACACACACATCCTGCTCACCACCAGGGGGCAGCACCACCACACACACACATCCTGCTCACCACCAGGGGGCAGCACCACCACACACACACATCCTGCTCACCACCAGAGGGCAGCACCACCACACACACATCCTGCTCACCACCAGGGGGCAGCACCACCACACACACATCCTGCTCACCACCAGGGGGCAGCACCACCACACACACATCCTGCTCACCACCGGGGGGCAGCACCACCACACACACATCCTGCTCACCACCAGGGGGCAGCACCACCACACACACACACACACACATCCTGCTCACCACCAGGGGGCAGCACCACCACACACACACACACATCCTGCTCACCACCAGGGGGCAGCACCACCACACACACACGCACACATCCTGCTCACCACCAGGGGGCAGCACCACATCCCCCATTGTCAGGGGCATCTCCCCCCCCCACCCCAGGCCTTACTCACCACCCCCACCCCAGGTACCCTGCTCACCACTGATGGGGGCAACTCAGCCTCAGGCCTCCTACTCTCTGTTACTCCGGGGGCATTACCCTGGGGCAGCTTCTGGGTGTTGTCGCTGAGGATGGTTTTGGGGGAGGAGGGAAGCCGACACTATTTCCAAAGAGAAGGGAGTTTCTCCTGGTGTCGTGGCCGACAATCACCAGAGAAAAAAAATGCTTATTCAGTTCAAGGCTGTTTGTTGGATATTGGCGGCTCTGCGCAATCGGCTGCTGCGTTCCACCCGCAAACTATACAGTGAATTCACTTTACATTATCTTCTGCGAAGCGCTCTGAGACGTCTCGAAGACGTGGTGAGGCGCTGTATCAAATGCAAGGATTATTATTGTATTGTTGAGCACAGATTGCAAATATAGCGTTCGAAAAACATTGTGAAGCGTTCGAAACCATTCTTGATGTTATATTAAATGAAAACATTATTATTACTAAACCCGTTTTTGTATTAAATGGGGTATATATATAAATGACACGAAGCAAAACCCATTTCTTTCAATGAGATGCAATTGACTGGATTCCCATTAAAGTCAAATCACTGTTATTTGTCTTAACATTTCAGAAAAGTCCTTCAAAAGTACGTACGTCAACGATGTAAATGTGTGTAATACACGAGACCGATGGAAGGAATACAGAGGAGTGTGTGGTTTCATACGGTGTAACCGTTTGGACGCGTTAACAATAGAGTTTGGGTGAAGTTGGCAGCTGTGCGGCGGGAGGAGGGAGGAGGAGGAACATGAAGGCGGCCATGTTGGAGAGGCGCTGAGCGCGAACGTCAGAGCCGAACAGAGAGTCTCCACAATCGTCGTCCATCCTCAGCTCCGCCGCCTCCCGGGGAGCGGGAGCCCGCGGGCAGCACCATGAGCGGCGGCACTCCCTACATCGGCAGTAAGATCAGCCTCATCTCGAAGGCGGAGATACGATACGAAGGGATTCTGTACACCATCGACACCGAGAACTCCACGGTCGCTTTAGCTAAAGGTACGGAGCGGGTGGGCCTCCTCCCGCCGCCGCCCCCGGGCCTCCCGCCCCCGGGCCTCCCGCCCCCGGGCCTCCCGCCGCCGCCCTCTCCGCACTCCCAGTTTGGCTGTGAAGCGCCGTTCACCTTCCCTGTGCCCCGCGGCCCCCCGCGGCCCCCCGCGGCCCGCGGGCCGTCTCTGCTTTTGACCCATATTATTTTTCAAAATGGCGCGGTTGACAACAGGAGCCGCCGCCTCCCGGGAGTTTGCCTTCAGACCCGCGGTCTGTCCGCACTGACAGTGAGGGGCGGGAGAGCTGAGGGGGAGACATCACAGCACATCACAGGGCCCACAGCACAGAAACACAATCAGCGAATGTTTAGCGTCTGTTTCCTCTCAGTGGATCCCACAGCGGATTTATTGTCGGTTTGCGGCAGTTTACAAACATAACGGCAACGTTCAGACCGACCCCGAATCTTACATTGTGATAATAATTGAGTTTCCTGTGCAAACTATTTCACTTAGTGATCAGATTCTCGGTGCAAACTACTTTTGTACCGCCCCCCACTGCACTAATACACTGATGTGCCAATGTTTCTAACCGCATATGACCGGTTGGTTGACCTGCTCGGGATTGGCATTGATCAGTGTTTGTAAACAAGGACAGTAGATTTGTATTTTGTTGGTGAAATGATTACCAGATCTGCCTTTCCCACTGTTGTTTTTGTATAAATAAATGTGGTGTGAAATCCAAGGGGTTTCAACAAAAAAGTATTAAATCTCTTGAGGGAAATAATCTGTCTGAAGGCTTCAATGGTGATCCTCTTAAAGGCTGCCCAAGACACTTCAGTTTGTAAGTTATTTTCCAGGATTAATGGTAAGACCCAAAATACTCTGAAGGCATCAATACATTGACAACAGAATTCAATTTTTGATTAAAAGTCAACGTGTCTCTTGGATTATGTTCCACAGTGAAGTGTGATTGCCTCAGTTCTCCAGGTGTGAGCGGTCAGTTTAAATGGAGGTTAATAGAAGGTGCATAAGAGGAACTTACAAGGTGCCTCTCTTAATGAGAATTATTACATCAATTGTTTGTTGTAAATGCTGTTTTTTCACGTTTATCACTTAATTTGGCCAGCGTATTATATAAATACAAGTTGTTGTTTTCCTCCTGGCACAAGCAATTCATAAAATGTCGCTTGATAATTAACTGCTCAGAAGTTAGTGACTATCTTGATCCCAATCTACCTGGGATGAGGTGTGAAGGAGATTTTCTGCCTGATCAGTGGCCCCAAATGACCTGTGCTGAGTTTGGGAGACTATCATCTTGTAGTGCATCGTACTGTCCAGTTGTTGTGTTGAAGCTCTGAATGGATTTCAATTCTAGTTGTTTGGCTTTGACTGAATTTAAAGAGCCGAATATTATTGGATATAGCTTCTAAATTTTCTTTCTCTATCTTTTGAAGACATTGACTGTTATTGGGTAGTTTACATGGGTACCCTCTGGTACCTCCCCAAATGGTCATTAATGATGTGCCGACCCAGACGGTGAATATTTTAACATGCTGTAACAGTGCTTATACTTTACTTCAAGAATTTAGGTTTGGGTTTAAGTACTCTAAATAATACAAACTTTCACTTCCACATATATCACTTGTCTCTGCCTCTTTCCTCTGGAGATTACAAGCAAAAATGGCTTCACTATAGAGCTTCATCAGCTTATCATTTGGTGTGCAATGACGTGTTTTAGTTGCTTTTTTCTCTGGTATCTTGCTGTGATCATTCTTCACATGTCAGCTTAGAAACTGACAGTTCTGCCCAATGCTCATTCCAGCAAGGAGCATTGAATGGTATCACGGGACCTGAGTGACACAGAGGGCTCTGGGACTAATTCTGGCCTGGATGGCTGACTGGCCGAATTGGAACCCTTTACATTGCAAATTGGAAGCTCCTTTCAGTGTTGCTCATTACTGAAAATGGGGCAGTGGGAAACAGACCAACCTCCTGACAGACGAGTTAGTACTGTCAGTGTAAAGACAAGTTCACGTTTTCAGAATGAATATGCTGTCACATTAGCAACTATTGTGGGATAGAAGGTACCTGGTGCCAGGGCAGCTCTATTGCACAGTGAGTCAGGGGGTGAGGGTGTCTTACTGTTGTGAATTTATTTTTAAAATTGTGATGTTGCTATTAGTTTATAGTAGAGTCACAAACTGGATCGATCTTACATCTGAAAATCAACTGGCTTGTCAGCAGGACTTGGAAGGGCAGATCAGTTCCGTTAACCATGCAAACCAAAATCCTAATGGGTAGGGTGGTCCTAGCTGAACAAGCAACAGTACCCTCAGGCAGTGTCTTCATTCCAGCAAGGTGGGAAGCGTGGAACTCCCGGCTGACTCAAAAAAAGGCTGAAAATCAGTTTAAAGCTGGGAAACAGGTGGTGCCTATGGAGGGACTCAGCCTCAGAAACCAGGAGCAGTAAAGACATGCAGAACAGTACAAATCCAAGAGAGGCCTTATACCTCCACGGGCCTTAAGTCTGGTCTGTTGTTGGCTGAGCATTGAGGACTCTATCGGTTTGTACTACATTTATTGCTTTGATTTGAAGATGTCAATGATTTGAGAAGCCTGATTTGTAGTTTCTGTCTGCTGATAGTCGAAAGGTTTCTGTGCACTGTTGTGAAGAATGCTCTATAAATGAAAGTTGTCAATTGCACAACTTCTATTTTGAATTACAGTCCAATAATTCCACAAAATGTGCTTTTCTACATTAGAATACTACAGTAAATCAACTATGATCCATAATAAAACCAGAAGTCACTGGGAACTCAGCAGGTTAGGCAGCATCTATGGAGAGAGGAGAATGAGCTAACGTTTCAGCTTGATGACTTTTCTTCAGAATTATGATTCATTCCAAGCTCTGACTTGAGGATGGGGAGAATGAGGCTTGTTTTTGAATGAGAAGTTTTACTGATCTTGCTGCCAGAAATAAATATTCCCTCGACTTTGGCTTGTTGTTTGGAGGATTATCTGACACCTCGTGGTACGATGCCTATCAGTGATTTGATCAATTGCTTGTTAGAACTATCTCTGTGGCTTATTTTAAACCTGTACGGTTAAGTGCATTATGTTTTTCATGATTTTGCTGTATCGTTGTATATGTTTGGTATTTGACATTGTACGTCGGTGACGTGTGAACTTTGCTTAACTCATTTGGAAGCGTAGAGATCCTGGAAATATTAACAGGCTTCCATCACAGCCACGATAGAATAAAAAAAAGTTGGAATGTTCAGGAACTGGTTGGTTGTTGTTGAGGACAAATGGTTGTTTTGTTGATAGCATCACGTGATGATGTGTGGTTTGTGAACGGTGGCCCTGTGTGCAGCTGCAGCAATGGGTTTTCTAAATGTGATGCAAATGTTTCTGGAGAATGGAAATTTGTGCAGAGATTCTCTGTCACTGCCTCTTCACAGGGACTTTATACCCCTTATCCAGATGTGTGCAAGAGCACGCTCACTCACAGTGGGGAAAAGGGAAATATTTCTTCCTCGACTGTGACAGTTGATGTCAATGATATTCAGTAAGTTTGAAGTTAGCTTTACTCAGTCCCTGTTGTGTTTGTGTATAAAAGATTATTTAGGTGACTGCTGGAGTTTAACAGTTCACATTCCAGTTTCTGAAGTACATTTAACCTGATTCGGAAGAATTTAGACTCCGTTCAGGTGAAATTCTATTTTCACATTGCAATTAGTGATGCTGTGCTGCTTCTGGGCAGTGCTAAACTCCAGCTTTGTGTTTGATGCACTAAGTTCCTGTTACAGAGCTGCACTGAAGGAGGGACAGATCACTGTAAAAGGTCAGTGTTCGCTGTGTTTAACCAGCCTCCAGGAGGGATTGGTATGCACCGGCTCTTGTTGAGATGGACTTCACAGCATGCCCAGGGTGAAGGCTTTGGCTATTGTTTGGAGGCTTTGACTGGGGGATGGAATGGCCTTTTGTCCTGAGGAGCAGTTCAAATAGTAAATTACAGTTTGCTGAAGCCTGGTCTCCCTCAGTTTGATGTAATAAGGAAGAGAACAGAATGTAACTGCACTACACTTTGTCCTGACTCAGCTTCACACTGGAGCCTTTCCCAAATAAACGTCAGAGATCTAGCACGTTCTCAGAGTGACGGTGAAGATGCTCGCTGTCAGGATTAGCTGGCTTCTTTGATTTATCCCAGCTCAGGGGTGGGAGTTTGGGGTTGGGCGGAGAGAGTGTTGAAGATGGAAGCGGTATCGAGATTCAGGCACAATGCGTGTAGGATACAATAGTTCATATAAGCTGACGAGACAGCATTTTGATCTGTAAATAGAGAATTGCCTCCCTTTAGTGAGTTCTTCCTTGTCCCTGATCGATCCCCTGTTTGTTTGGATGATTGACAAGTAACTTGCTTCAGGTCAGATGCAGCACCTCAGTTTACTGGTAATTTTCCAGTTCAAGCTCTTTGTAAAGCTCTTGGCCTTCACCTCCCCTGATCTCAAATCCCCCCCACTCCAGCTTGTTGCGTTTGCATAATTAACAACCTTGCTTTGAGTCTGTGAATCTAACCACTTTAAAGCAGGGTGCTAGCTTGTGTTTTGGTGTAACACAGTCCAATAATTTGCTGCAATGTGTGTGCTGTGCAGCACCGGCAGTTAATGGAAAAGAAGTGGATAGAGAGATAGGAGCAGAAGTTTCCTCTTTAAACAGTGCCACCTGCTGAAGAAGGTTCCGTGTTTCACACTTGCTTCCTGAAGAGACAGGAGAATAATAATAATCTTTGTATCTATCAGATCATCGGCAGGAAAACAGTAAATCTTTCCCACATAGGTCACATATAGGTTTACAAGACTTAATGGCAAAGCATTGCTTTGTGTGGGCTGTTCTAAGCGCTCTGAGACGCTACCCTGGGTGGAGGACACTATATAAGTGTAAGTTGTTGAAGTTGTTGTAATGCGCTGCTGTTTTCTTGCAGTTCGTTCGTTCGGGACTGAGGACCGGCCCACGGACAGGCCAATACCACCGCGAGATGAAGTATTTGAGTACATCATATTCCGTGGCAGTGATATTAAGGATCTCACTGTGTGTGAGCCGCCAAAGCCCCAGTGCTCTCTGCCTCAGGATCCTGCCATTGTCCAGGTAAAGTGAGGGGATTCTGTGCCTGGTGTGACATTGCTCCAATAATCCTCCTGATAGGGAAACCACAGTCTTTTCAACGGCATTTTAGCCATTTTCCCCATTACATTCCGAGACGTGTGATTGAATGTTGGTATTTCTGAACTATAACACCCCAAATCAAGCCAGATGGCACTTGTGCAGGTTTGATAGATTCCTGCTTCAATGCCATTTTTGACATTGGAGGGATTTCGCTGCCGACCTCGATTAGCCATCCACTGGCAGGAGGTAATGTAGTGATTGGGAGGAAGAACTGGCCAGTAATCAAACTTTGGATTTTCTTGTGGGGAGAGAGAGTGGGATGGGTGGGGAGGGGTGGTTGCACAGTGAGAGCTGCAGCAGACTGCTGTCCAAAACTAAATGTTGCAAAAGTTATTTTTTCTCGTTTCCTCCACAGTCTTCACTGGGTTCATCCTCCAGCTCTTTTCAGTCCATGGTGTCTTACGCACCATTCGGCAGAATGCCAGCCTACAGTCAATTTGGGCCGAGTCCTTTAGTTCCCCAGCCGTACAGTGCTGTGGGCCTCGGTAAGTTTAATCCCTCTTCAAGTTTAGTGAACAGATGAACATTGCAATTGAATCCATGTCCGTGCAGGTTGCAAGTTGTGCATTGACATTATAACCAAATCTGACCCTTTTTCAGTTCTGGTTGTCCTATCACAACATAGTTTTCCAGGCCGACCTAACACTCTTGTTTGTTCAGTATTAATCTTCAGGTACTTCCCACGTTTCATGTAAATTAAACGTTTCACACTTTACTATCTATACTCGGTGCGAACTGAAAGTTTGCAGCATGTCCTCTTAACTCTTACCCAGTAATGTCTTTGGTTAGACAGTTAGCCAGTATCAATATTAACTCCACATTGCATCTTGTCTGGGTGACTTTCCTGGGGGTAAACTGTGTGCTTGTGGATTTGTTTCTTCTCTAGGTCGATCAAGTCCCAAGATGGATTCCCTGAGAAAAAGTCCCACCATGGAACAGGCGGTGCAAACCATTCCCCAGGCTCCAGTGGGTAGACGGAGCCCTGTGCCTGTCCGGCCTGTGCCCTCCATCAGCCACAAGCCAGTCGACACTCACGATCCAAGAAGAGGTAAGATTTGCTGTGTAGGTTGACATTCAGCGCTGAGTTACCCAGAAGGTTTGTGCCTGAAGTTGGTAATTGGTGTGATTTAATCTGCTTACTCGTCTCTTTAAGGTCGACTGGCCATGTCATTTGCTGATCTTTTAAATTGAACATTTTAAATTTCAACAGGAATTAGTTTTGCTTTTGTAAGTCAGTTGTAGTTTGGGTGTAGCGGGTATCCTAAGTGTTGAATTCGCCTCCACTGCAAGCTGGATTTCCAAGCATGGCTTCTGTATGTTAGTTGCATGCGAATAGAATCGAGGTAGTGTCTCCCCAGAAGTCGCTGTAGTTTGCTGGAGGATCATGCTGTGAGGACTGTAATGATGTCCGCCCTTGGTTATCGCGACCAGGGTAAATGCTGACACTGATCCGAAGAAAGGCTAAAGCTTGAACAAAATACTGCAGATGCTAGAAATCTGAAATAAAAACAGAAGTGACTGGGAACACTCAGCAGGTCAGGCAACAGTGAGTTAACATTTCAGGTCAATGACCTTTTGTCAAAGACATCAGAGACAAAAGGTCATCGACCTGAAACGTTAATTCACTTTCCTCTCTCCATAGATGCTGCCTGACCTGCTGAGTGTTCCCAGTGACTTCTGTTTTTCACATTTCCAGCAGCTGCAGCATTTTGCCGAAAGGCTAACTCTTGCATTGATCGTTTGCAGGAATTTTAGTTGTTTTTTTTAATATACAGTTTTCGAGTCACAGAAAACTTTACGGCCAGAGAACGACTTGGTCAAGAATGAAAACCGGGAGGCGAACCGGAGGCCATCGGGTACGTCAGCTTCTCGTACACAAATATAACCAGTTTCTTACTCTCTCCACGTAGTGATGTTTTCTTCATTAGCACTGATGGAAGAAAATAGCAGAGTCTATTATAAGTCGACCAATCGCCCTCCATACCATCACAGACTAGTTGGGCCAAATGGTCTGGTTGCGGTCAATATCATTCTACGATGTAAGGGTTTTGGCGGCTGAGCCCCAAACACAACGAGCCTGACAAATTAAATTCCTGCAGTACCATTGTTTGAGAGGGTGGCATGTGACGTGAGAAATGGTCTGCGCGAGAGCTGTAGGATGCGGCCCAATGCTGAGCCAGACTCGCACTCCACAGAACAATCCAATTCCCGGTGCACGCTAGATGGGCAGATTGGCTTCAGTCCGTGCTATAATGTTTGAGGTAAAATGTATGTACTTTCCAACTGTCCATCCTGGTAAATATCTAAATGCATTCTGCAGCAATGGTGAGATAACCAGTACATTCTCACGGCCCTCTGTAAGCAGAAATGTTTTTTCTTGGCCAATGGACTTCTTCAACCTTCTTGCTAAGAGGAGACTTGAGGCCTGTAAATGCCCAGTAGAGAAGAGTGCGAGAGGCACAGGTCTGGTTTCAGGCCGTATCTCAGACATTGCTGTTATTTGCTGACAAGCATTTGTTCCTTCTCTCAGGCGGCCCTGCGGTCAGGAGGGGAGGTCGTGGGGGAAACCGAGGGAGAGGCAGGTTTGGAGTTCGGAGAGATGGCCCGATGAAATTTGAAAAAGACTTTGACTTTGAGACTGCTAATGCACAATTCAATAAAGAAGACATTCATCGGGAGTTTCAGAATAAGCTGAAATTGAAAGGTAATTGTATGTTTCTTCTTTCCCTCTTTAAAAGTAAAAAGACACTTTCAGGCACCTCCTCCACTCCTATCTGTAGCTACTGTGAGGATGGAATTGCGCTACTGAAGTCAAGTAGAGGCGGCTGTCACTGGGAGCAAGTGGTGGGCCGGTCACAGACACTGTCCAAGTTGTTTTGTCCAGTTTGACTCAAAGCCCCGAGCACCCAGCAGCTAGGTCTCTAACCTACAACCTATACTTTCTTGCCACCCAAACAGCCCGGTAAACGTGTTGATGTCCTCACAAAGGAACGGCATCATATAAATTGTATTATTCCATTAGTTTTTTTGGGGTCAGCTGCGTGTCTGACACCTGCAGAAACTCATTATCATACTTAAGAGTATTCAAACCAGATTGAGAGCCACTCTGAAACCTGTAGCCTTAAAATCTTGTATCTTTTAAGTTATTAAAATTTGGCAGAGAAATCTTTTATACTCGTCATTAATGGTAATTACTGGTGAAGTGATTGAGAAGCTGCTTTTCTCGCTCATTCTTTCCCATCAATACTGCACCAATTTCTAATAATAATAATCCTTGCATTTGATATAGCGCCTTATCATGTCTTTGAAAAAAGTCTGAAAAGCTTCACAGAATATACTGTAAAATGAAACCCGGCAGCCAACTGCACACAACAGTGTCTCACAAACAGTTGTGGATTGAGTCACCATATTACTATTTTTTTGGAGGGATTATTACACCCGGAAAAGTGATCCGCCAATCAACCAACTGGGTTCCTACTTACTGCTAGGTAAACAGAGGCGTGTGCCTAACATTTTGTGCTGTCCGGGAATTAGACCCAGTTCCTCTCGCTTGCGAGCTGAGCGCTCTAACCACTAAGCTACAGGACTCCATATCTAATAAATCTTCATCTTTCTGCAGATGACAAGCCAGAAAAAACAGAGAAGGTTGTCGTTGAAGAAGACAAAGGAGACTCTGGGATTGAAACACAAAACAGTGAAGGGAATGCTGATGAGGAGGAAGCTCTGGGACCCCACTGCTATTACGACAAAACCAAATCTTTCTTTGACAACATCTCCTGTGACAGTGAGAACAGGTATTACTCACCACCACAGTTCACACACAGATTGTAGTAAAAAGTCTTATTTTTGTGGCCTGAACAAGTTTTTTTCCTTAAATCCATCTTAGTCTGGCCCAGTTAGGAGCCAGAAGGTTGTGATGTTTGAGCGCAGTGTCAGTTGGCTCCCAAGGGCTGTGCTGGGGGAGCACTGAATTTGTTGGAGATGCCATCCTGAGGTGTTAAACCAAGGTCCCATGTCTGGCTGTTCAGGTGGATGTTAAATATCCCGTGGCACTACTCATAAAAGAAAAAGAGAAGAGAGTTCCTCTTTCCCAGTGTACTGACCAACAATCTCCCAAATAAAATTAGTCACTGACTCCATGGCTGCCACGTTGGTTGCATACATGTACTTGTAGGGCTTTCTGCTACCTGACCCTGGGCACGATTGTCGCTGATGTGGGTCTGGTGAGGAACTTGCACTATAACTCCCTGCAGCTATTTCTCCTCCAGAGACCGGAGACCGACCTGGGCTGAGGAGAGGCGGCTGAACGCAGAGACCTTCGGAATCCCACTGCGCCCCATGCGAGGCCGCGGGGGCTACAGGGGGAGAGGAGGCTTTTACCGAGGTGGAAGAGCCCGTGGGGGAAGAGGAAGCTTCGGGCCTCCTCGGGGAAATTTCCGCGGGGGCTTCAGAGGCAGCCGGGGGGGCGGCAGAGAGTTCTCAGACTTCGAATACAGGGTAAGTATCTGAGTGTTTGTGTAGATTTCCTGTTTCAGACACTTTCTTTAGTTTTGTTCTGATTCTAACTCGGGATTTGTAAACTAAACAAAACCTCTCTACGTGTGTTTATTTACAGAAGGACAATAAAGTGGCTGCATAGTATACAAGCTGGATATCAAACCGGACTTTAGATCTACCAGGTCCAGAGAATTTGTTTAGTTGAACCTTTTTTTTTTGACAGCGAGAATGAAGAAGTTTAATTTCCTGTATATCGGTCACCAGCACTGGGGGAACGAGCAGCTTGACTTCAAAGGGGGTAAAACACACACAATGATTGTTGTGGAGAAGGGCCATCTTTGAGATGTTGAGCATTAAATACTTGTCTTTGAGTTTATCAGCAGAAGGACGATTCAAAAGAAAATTCTATCGTATGGTTTGGACGCGATGAAAACAAATACTTCATTGGAGTTCTTGGGTATTTTTGCATTGCTGTGAAAGGGTTTCTTACTGCAGAGATTTGCTGAGGCTGGAGGGTAATGCTGTACACTCACTGCAGGGCCATCACTGTGACCTCGTTCAGACCCACTGACATTCACCTTGAAGGTCTGCAGTGTTATTTTCTCTGTGGAACTCTAAAACTTAGCTTTACTATAGTAGAAAAATACTACGTTACTTGTGGTTGTATTTTTTTTAGAAAAGGGATCAGAAAATAGTTTTCCTGATGAAGGCGACTGAAAGGCTCCCCTCCTGCCGCTGTGAAGGCCTCTCGCTCGCCAACTTTTACCATTAATTACTCAGCTGGTCCTAGTCCTAGAAATTTTTTTTTGCTTTTGAACAAACTGCAGAGAGGAAAGTACAAGGTTTGTAGGTATCTTTTTTTAAAAAAATAAATAATTGTAGTAGAATTTAGGTGAAGACGTACAAATTTAAAATGATCCAAAGAGAAAGAATCAAAATTTCTAGCCATTTGTTGAACTCCGTTCACTGCTGAACTGTACTGTGTGTAGTTGTGTCCTGATAACATTGTTACCAGAACGCAACTACAAAAAAAATAAATTGGTCACTTCAATCCACGATTGTATGTGGGACGCTGCTGTGCGCAATTCGCTGCCGCGTTTCGCCCACAAATATACAGTCAATTCACTTTACAGTGTATCCTGTGAAGCGCTTTGAAACGTCTCGAAGACGTGATAAGGCGCTGTATCAAATGCCAGGATTATTGTTGTTGTCTGAGCTCCTTCCATGCACTGTGCTACCAATCGCACTGCTTTCTCTTAGCACTTCCCAAATCACTGAGCTTTCACCATTAATCAGTTGTTAGTCAATTGGCGGATCACTTTTCCGGGACTAAAAATCCCTTCAATAAGTAAATAAATATAATAATAATAATTTGGTCACTCAATCCACAGCTGTTTGTGGGACACTGCCCTGCGCAATCGGCTGCTGTGTTTCGCCCACAAAATTCACTTTACAGTATAGGCTGTGGAGCGTTTTGAGATGGCTTGAAGATGTTATGGTGCTGTATCAAACAAAGGATTATCATTAGCCACAGCACTCAGCACACTCACCAGCTAATGTAGCTCTAAAATATTATCATTAGAAGAAAACTGCACACTAAATATTCAATCAGGAAGTCTGGCAGAAGGTTTGAGGCAGTGTTAGCATCTAGCGTGTGCTGACGATTATACAAAAGCCGAGCTGCTCGGTTTGAATTGCAGGCTCCGAACTTTCTACAGAAGATTATTCTGCTTATTGACCGTATTAAACGGTGTGTGGGGGTTGTTGTGTCCGTGACCTGATAACCTGGATGAACACAACTAGCTGTTAGCATTGAATTATTAAAGCGTTGCCACGGGCTGGAGCATTCCAACTGAAAATAAACACAAAGGTTGATTAAAATGAGTGAACAGGAAAACTCAGGATGAGGACAGTTGCTTGCAGAGAGAGTGTTAGTAACTGGCCTACTAATAGTGCTTTCACCACGTTTTAGCACCTGAACATTTGGTAAGCACTTCCGTGGCATTGTGAAGATGTTGGTGTTCTGTGTGAATTTGTGATGGAGACAGCAAACCTCTGGTCCAGGAGCTGAGCCTCTGATCTCTGTGTAATGGGGAACAACATTTGCCAAAAGAGATTGTGTTGCGATGACCAGATCCTGATTTCTGTTTCCATCCTTATCCTGAAGCTTCAGTGACAAAGGAAGCTGATTAGTATGGGGAGAGGGACGAGCTATTAATACAGTATCAGCACGTGAGCTATAAACCCCAGCTGTTGAGCTGATATCCCACTGCTGCACTGTTACACCTGCACGTGGGATGCAATGGGTCAACTGTTGCTGTAAATGGAGAGTTGCACACATTTTAAACTCCCTCACCCTTGCACTTGTTCCAGCTATTGCCTTTCCCAATAGCACAGAAAGGGGCCCTGTACAGTGACACGATTACAATGTTTCAACCAGCACACATATGTTTTGTTATTACATGCTAACAGCAGCCTGAGGAGCCCACACAATCATAAAGGGGTGAGCGAGGGGTGGGGGGAGGTATGTATAAAAGCTGCTGATTGTAGCAATAAAGTGTGAACTGGTTACTGGGAGTGAATGTCCCATAAGCAGAATTTGTGTAAATACAGAGACTGTATGCCATGAAGTATAAAGTTGCTTTCTTTTTTTCGTTTTCTCTTCTCCCCCCTCCCACCCCCCATTCCGCTCTCCCCAAAAGCTCTGGCTATCAACCTGATTTGTTGGTGTTTCTTCAACCCAGAGATTTACAGCATGGTGTACCTTCTGTATGCCTCACTGTCCTGCCGTGAGGTTTTTATTTAGTAATGAGAATAAACCATTGTTCAGTAAATGCCACTGTTCTTTGGGTCTGTCTATTAAGTAATGGTTGCAACAAAATATTGTGCATAACCCACCCACTCCACAGAAATGTTCACTGTTACCATTTATAACCTGATTATCATTGCTCCATATAAACAGTCGTTGCATTTTAGCTTTGAAGCTCTTTGAGACATTTCAACATTATAGGCTCTGTATTTATCACATCTAGGCTCAACTTCGCAAACTCCCTCCTCGTCGACCTTCCCAACTCTTCCCTCCACAAGCTGCAGATCATCCAGATCTCTGCAGCTCGTGTCCTCTCCTGCACCAGGCTCCATGACCCCAACTTCCCCAGCTCGGGTCCAAATCCCTGACTCCTGCACCTTGGGACATCCTCTTGACATGAAAGGCGCTATACAAATGTAATAAAGTATTCTATCAAACACGTGGATTATTATGAACACCCCATGGGATTACCAGGTTTTAAATCTTTTTGCTTCATGTTGAAAACAAAGGGAATACTCAACAGCAGAGTTAAAATCTTCAACCATGATTTGTAATCTCTTCTAACTGGAATGAGGATGACTGAATGGCAGAGCAGATTGCTGTTTTTGAAAGAAAACACAAGATCTTGCTATTATTTGGGTGGGGGGGGCGACAGTAATGAAGCAAACCTTTCAATGACCATTGCTAGTACAGAAAGTCACATTTCTCAAAGCTTTTGTAAGTACCCGGCTTGAGATTGTAGAAATTGGAACAGGAAATATTTGGCCCAAGGAAGTTTCATAGTACAACCAACAACAAAATTACATTTGTATAGCGCCTTTCACGTCGGGAGGACATCCCAAGGTCCTGGACAGGCATTGTTTCAGACCCAAACTGGGGTGAGGGAGGGTGGAGGGCGGGCGGTGGAGGAAAGGAGGGTGATCGAAAGCACTGTTGAAGAGGAGGGTCTTGAGATGAGTCTTGAGGACGGAAGGGAGGGGGGGGGTGAGGCAGAGGGACTGTGGGATGGAGTACCAGAGGGTGGGGGCAGAGTGGCAGAAGGTGGGGGAGGGGTGGAGGGGGCGGGGGGGGGGGGGATGTAGCTACTCACTCCCCAAATCCCACTGGCTCGCCTTCTCATGGGACCCTTTGATATTTCTACTTCCCAAGTATCCATCGCCTGTTTCAACTGTTTACGGCGGGAAAAACGCACAATTGCATTACTCTTTTCCATCCTCCAAACCAACAGTCTGTACAGTAACAAATGACAGTAAGAATTTACAGGAAGTTTGCAGAGCTCAGAGTGTTCAAACTTGTGAATTTTTAAAAAATTCCCTTAATAGTAATGAATGACCCTTAAAAAAGGGTCTTGAGCTCTCTGGGACGCCACCCAAGTGAGGGGGGACTATATAAATGCAAGTTGTTGTCAAAGATCAAGGGAATATAATGGGGAAACTGTACAGGCACAGACCCCGAGGGAAGAAAGGGCAGGAGATTGGGATTAGATGCAGAGGGCAGACTGAGCAGATAGTAATAATAATAATAATAATAATCCTTGCATTTGATATAGCGCTTTTCACGTCGGGAGGACGTCCCAAAGCGCTTCACAGAGTACACTGTAAAGTGAATTGACTGTATATTTGTGGGCGAACGCGGCAGCCAATCGCGCACAGCAATGTCCCACAAACAGATTGAAAATGACCAATTTATTATTGTATTGTTTTGGAGGATTATTATTAGGCTCTGTGTGGAGTAAGGAAACTTGCCCGAGGTTTCGCCCTCTGCCTGGAATTGAACTCAGGTCTCTCGCTTGCAAAGCGAGTGCTCTAACCACTGAGCTACAGGACTCCACGAGTACAGCAGATAAACAACACCTCCTGTTACACACACAGAAATATACACACACACAATACACACACAATACACACATAATATACACACAAACCCACCGGTGCAGTGTCGGTGTTCCCCGCCAGGAGGCGCCGCTGCAGCGGGAAGCGGGAGTGGCGGTTGGGGCCGCCATGTCTGTGGTTTTCGTGCCTCCGAGACTCCGGGGAAAGTATGAGATTAACCCGTCCACCATCCAGCGGGTGAGTCCGAGGCCCGGAGTCGGGTCGCGAGGCGCCGGTCTGAGAATGTGCGGCAGCGCCGGGCCTGACCCCCGGGCCCAGCGCCGGGCCTGACCCCCGGGCCGGACCCCCGGGCCGGACCCCCGGGCCCAGCGCCGGGCCGGACCCCCGGGCCCAGCGCCGGGCCTGACCCCCGGGCCTGACCCCCGGGCCTGACCCCCGGGCCCAGCGCCGGGCCTGACCCGCGCTCCCGTCACCGTTCAGGGCCTCAGACATCCGGACTTCTCCCTCAGCGGCCGAGACCGGAGAGGCGGCTCCGGCCCCGGGGTCTGAGCAGCTAAACCACACCACCCGCCCCTGAAACACCGCCTGACGGCAGCGCCCCCCCGGGCAGCCCCCCCCCCCCCGGGCAGCCCCCCCCCCCGGGCAGCGCCCCGGAGGGTCAGTGTGTGGGGTGTAACCCCCCCCAGGGTCAGTGTGTGGGGTGTAACCCCCCCCAGGGTCAGTGTGTGGGGTGTAACCCCCCCCAGGGTCAGTGTGTGGGGTGTAACCCCCCCCAGGGTCAGTGTGTGGGGTGTAACCCCCCCCCAGGGTCAGTGTGTGGGGTGTAACCCCCCCCCAGGGTCAGTGTGTGGGGTGTAACCCCCCCCAGGGTCAGTGTGTGGGGTGTAACCCCCCCCAGGGTCAGTGTGTGGGGTGTAACCCCCCCCAGGGTCAGTGTGTGGGGTGTAACCCCCCCCAGGGTCAGTGTGTGGGGTGTAACCCCCCCCAGGGTCAGTGTGTGGGGTGTAACCCCCCCCAGGGTCAGTGTGTGGGGTGTAACCCCCCCCAGGGTCAGTGTGTGGGGTGTAACCCCCCTCCCGGGTTTCTCTGTTGTCAGTTACTGGATGAGAACAATCAGCTGATTCAGTGCATTGTGGAGTATCAGAACAAAGGGAAGGCGGCCGAGTGCACACAGTGAGTACTTCGGTTCATTATCTCACGTTGGGAGGTGGCGTTCTGGTACCTGTCTGAATGGGTTAGAAGTTGACTTAAGGCAAAAAGCAACCTGACGAGGTAGACCACCACAACAAAGAAACAAGGCCTTCGGTCCAACTAGTCCGTGCCGGTGTTTATATTACCCCCCTCCCCCTCTATTCCCAGATCAGCAGGCAGGTGAGTGGGAGAGAGTCAGGTAATACTGGAGGATCAAATGGGGGAAAAGATTCTTTTTACTTTAATCTCTCCTCGTCCCCCTTCAAGTCCATGAACCAAATTATGACTGGAGAGAGTGGGGACAGCCATGAGGAACAGGTAGCTTCCACCCTCCCCCCAACTGTGGGCAGAAGAAAATCAGCTAATGCAGACTAAAGATCAAGCCTGGGACCTTCCAGCTCTGTAAGTCTTAACGCCCACACAGCGCAGTGGCTTTATTTGAGGGACTGTTGTTCTCTGCTGCAGCACCGTGCTCTGAGCATAACGATTCAGATTAAGATTCTGACCAGTTCTGTTGTAAAGTATTTCTGTAATGGGACGTTAATGTCTGCTCTGCCACTTGCCTTTTGCCCAGGTACCAGCAGATTCTACACAGGAACCTCATCTACTTAGCCACCATCGCAGACTCCAGCCAGAATGCACCAAGTCCTCAGCCCGTGGTGAGTGTGGCTCTGGGAGAACAGACTCTGTGAGGAAGGAATATTCCAGATTGTCCAGAAGAGATCAGGAAATCCTTTTCTCTTACTTTCAGCTTCTAATAATTCACCATTGCATCCTATCTTGGTCTCTTATTTCCATCGATACTCTGGTCATTGCTGTTTGTGAACCTTCTTCTCTTGTTCCTCCCAAATTCTGTCAACTCTTCAACCGAGCCTTCAGCTCCCCTCTCAACTCTCTACCCCCTCCTCGCTCCCTCCCTTCCCTCCTCTCGCCCTGACCATTTCCCCCCTGCTCGGGTCCCAACTCAACTGTCCAGCGCCTTTTGGACGTCCTCCCGACGTGAAAGGCTCTCTATAAATGAAATCTTGTTGTTCTCTCTCGTCATCCTCACTGAGAATCCAAACTCATCGCAGCATCTCCTCTGCTTTTCTAACACTTCAAGTCTACGAAACTGATTTCCTCTTCTCTCTCTGACCCTCGGCTTTCTCAATTTAAAAAGAACTTATTGACTCGATGTGTTTGCTTGTGATCTAATGGAAAAATTGAGTGAGTAGGGAACCCACAGAAACTTAGTAAGATTTGTTTACAATGTTTGTGTTGGACAACCGTTGGCATCTGTTTGCCGTCCTATGTGCATGTGACAGTGGCGTGTGCTAGCTGTGTGACGGTGGCATGTGCTGGTTGCGTGTGGTTGCTGTGTGTGTGCATGTGACAGTGGCTGCATGAACGGCAGAATATGATGACTTGGGTTTGTAATTTGGGTTTTCTTCTCTTCAGGGATTGGGTCAGGCGATGCCCACAGGCTCCGGGGGGAGTGTAGACCCCATGGGGAGTGGGACCCCCCCCCCTGGACCACACACTAATCTAATGCCTGGTAAGGGTCAGCTCCCACAGCCTCAAGACTGCGAGTGAATCCCTAAACCTACATCCCGACCGGGGGGTGGGGGCGGTGGGGAGTGTGAATGGACAGCATCACAGAGTGAGGCCAGGAAGATGCAGAGATCTAGTCAGAGGAACAGAGGACAAACAGAGAAATAATAATAATCCTTGCATTTGATATAGCACTTTTCACGTCTTCGGGACATCTCAAAGCGCTTCACAGAATAGACTGTAAAGTGAATTGATTGTATATTTTGTGGGCAAAACATGCAGCGAATTGCGCACAGCAGCGTCCCCACAAACAGTCGTGGATTGAAGTGACCAATTTATTAATGTTATATTATATAACCCTTTGCAGACCAATTTGAAGTATTGTGTAAGCTCTGATTGCCACATTACGGGAAGGAGAGAAGCATTAGAGAGAGAAAAAGGACAGTGTAGATTTACCAGGTATCAGTGGATACAGCTATCAGGAAAGAATGGACTTGTTGGAGATTTCCTCTCTGGAGTTGAGATGATCGAGAGGGGACCTGATTGAGGGGTTTAAGGGTCGGTGTTGTTAGGTTATTATTATTTGTTGGTGAGTCCAGAACAAGGGGCATAAATATAAGAGGCAATAACATACAGAAGAGGGTTTAGGTCTAGGAGAGAGGGTTAGGAGAGGTGGGGGCTGGTGTGGAGTATAAATATTGACAGGAACTAGCTGGGTCAAATGGCCTATTTCAATGCAGCAATTCCTGTAACATACATAAGGGTCAGATATACAGTGAAGCTCCTTCCACATTGTCTCATCAGGTCCTATAACACTGCGTGGGTTTTTGGGAGGGTAGCAGACAAGATGCCATATTGGGCACACTGAGAGGGTGGGGGAAACCGCTGGGAAACGGGAAAGCCTAACTCTGAGTTTGCTCTGCGCTCAGGCACCAGTGACCTGCTGCCTCACAACCAGCTGATGGTGGGCAATGCCGGCTGCCATGTCAACGTGGGAGGCTTCAGCCAAGCTGTCGCCATATCACAAAACCTGCAGCCTGCGGAACAGGGAGGGAATCCAGGACAGCCACTGGGCAGCCTCACACAGCCAGCGGGGCAGCCAGGCCCAGGTATTACTGCCCCGCACACCCTCTCCTGTGCAACACATCCCCCCCCCACCCCACACAAAGGCATAATATGAACAGCTGTTGTTTGTGGACAGTGATGTCTATCCTGTTTGCTGTAAGTTCCTGACTCTCTCTATTCCTGGCAGTTCCTAGCCAGCAGCGAGGACCACAGGGAGATTTCTTTAACGGCCAGTACAACCAGGTTCCCGCGGTGGCAGAGGGAATGAACCGACCGCTTTATAACGAAGGTAATGTGACCGCGGGATCCAGAGCCGGCTTTAATGGTCATACCTTGCACATGCTTACTGGGACACCAGCCCTGCCATCCAGGGTGGCTCTGCCCACCAACTGTCCCTCTGAACAGTCACCTGTGTGTTTGTGTGTGTGTTGCTGATTATCCCTCTTGGTGTGGGTGTGCTGAGCCTGACATCAGGCTGTTTGTTTGTGTGTTACAGGGGTGAGCTGGTATGGAGCGCCGCAGGGCCAGTCACAGCAGATGCCCAGTTACCAGCAGTACAGTGTACAGCAGCAGTTTGCTGGCACTCCACAGGAATTCAGTGAGTTCTAGACCTTTCTTTCTGTTGTGTAGAAGTGCAAAAATGACTAAATGAGCTGGTGAAATTGTTGACATTTGTCTTTTGGCTGAATGTCGCCAGTTGTAAGGGCCAGGCTGGTGTCAGGTCACTGATCATTAACTTAAGAGTCCACACTTTCTGTAGGTTTGGCACAAAGCGCTCAGGGACAATACCTGAACATGCAGCAGCCGCAGGAAGCCGGGCAGCAGTACGTGGTGTTCAGGCCTCAGAACACAGGGCAACAGCCGCAGATGTTCCAGTACAGCCAGGTACAGAGCGCTGGGCCTTACACCAGCTGTAATCAGGCAGTTCAATTCTATTACCCAGTCACTGAGATGGTACGTGGACAAATCGGGGGGTGGGGGGTGATTTCACAAGGGCAACCCCGATAACCGGACACTGGGGTCTACACCCTCTCTGGGATCTGACATTTGAAGGGACTTTATTAAACTCTTGCCCCAATCTTCAGGTGAGATGTTAAACCACAGTCCACCTGCCTATTCTTAAGGTGGACTTAGACTGGCACGATTGGAAAAGAGAAGGGAAATTTCCCCAGTGTCTTGGCTGACTGTCGTGTATTCACCTCATGGCTTGTGGAACTGGTTCAGCACAAACAGCTGCCAGGTTTTCCTACAAAAGTCATCGACATTAATTACTGTTGTGATGCAAGAGAAACACAAGTTCTTTTCCATCTCAATCAAGTACATGGCAAGTGTGCCTGTGTGTGTGTTGGGAGGGTGGGGTGAGGGAGTCTCTCTGTGTGTGGATGGGGGTGAGAAAGTGTGTGGGTGAATGGGGGGCGTTAAGAGAAAGTGTGTGTGTGGGGTTAGAGTGAGAATGTGTGGGTGAGTGGGCGGCATTAAGAAAGTGTGTGTGTGTGGTTAGAGTGAGAGTGTGTATGTGGGGGGTGAGTGTGTGGGGGGGGTTAGAGTGAGCGTGTGTATGTGCATGAGTGTGTGTGTGGTGGGGGGGGACTTTAGTGTGTGTGTGGGGGTGCAGCGTGTGTTAGAGTGAGAGCGTGAGTCGGGGGGTGGGGGCGTGTGTTACAGTGAGACTATGTGTAATGAGGTTTCCCCTGCAGGGTGGGCAGTACGGGAGCCATCAGTAAAGCCTCGCAGCCCCAGCCATGGCTGCTTTTGCACTGAAGACGGATTGAATGAATGGACGGACGAATTTCACACTAGTCGCTGTGGGATGATATTAAATGTTTGTCAGAAAACTGAATTTATAATAGTTTGTTCGTTTTGCCATGTCACTCCCCACAGTGACAAGGTCCATAGACGTACCTTGGGCTAAGTGGGAGTAGTGGCCCTCACATTCCCTCCTCACCATGCTACAGCACTCGTCACTCCTGACAGCTATCAGCTAACCCAGCACATAGCTGAGCTTCAGTCTGTGTGGCAGTGCAGGGACCATAGTTTTCCTCCTTTCTAACCTGTAAAGAGGGAAAAGGAGAGGAAGCGATTCTCTCCCTTTATAAAATCTACATTAGGCAGGTCCTGGTCTTAAACCAATGACACCCTCCCTACCCCCAGCACAGAACTTTACCTTCAAATCCCAACCCCCTAAATCTGCCAATTTCTCTCTCTTCACCTCCCATCCACCCCCCCCCCAAACAAATCTTCCATCTTCAAGCAGAAACACAAATTGGGAACCCATTTGCCATGTGCTTGTTTTTAATGTTGACGGTTAAAGGTCTATTGGAAAAGAGGACTATTGGCCGATAATCCTTCAGATAACTTGCTCATTCACCTCCTGGTTGTTTGTGGAACCTTTTGTGTGCAAACTGGCTGCCAAATAGTCACTACACTGGACAACAATTCCATGTTAAGCACTTTGAAATGTTTTGACTTGCAAGGCTTTCAACTGCAGCAAGCTGATCATACCTCAGGACAACTCGACCCATCACCTCAACTGATGTGTCCTGGAAAGGCACGCACTGAGTGACCAGGGTTCGAAGCAGGGTGTTCGGTGACTTCACAAGTTATTTACTGTTGTGGAATAGATAATTCTAAATAAATACTGACTTTAGAACTCAATTCATCAGTCTTTATGTGAATATCCCTTTCCCAGCGCATGACAGCAAGTGCTGATTAATCTCTCGGCAATTTACAGAAATAGCACAATCCAGGCTCCTCCGCTGGTGTCTGGAAGAGAGCGGCAAGGAACAGCTGGCAAAACCAAAGTACAGAAAATATGTTAAATGTACATCTTTAATAAAGCAATTCTTAATTACAGAAGCCATAAATGATAATACAAAAATTACAATTCCAGTTTGGGGTTTGCTCTCCACACCCAGCGAGTGCATTGGGGACGAGGGAAGCCACGCCCTGGGCACCTGCAGAGCGAGCAAAGGAACTTCAAAGTGTAATAATGGCAAGACTCGTCTGTGCACCAAGTGCCTTACAGCATTGGTGGAGGAAAAACGACACTTTGTGGGGATCTGAAGAATATCAACACATTTACAGCATCTACCAAGGTCAACATTGAAAGGGCACGACAGGATGGCTCTGATAAAATCCCCCCCTCCCCTCGCTTCTGGATGATTGCCACAGACTGGGGTCCGCAACCCGCTTGGCAATGTCGGGGAGAGGCAAAGTTGTGGCTTCCAGCACCATTTACTCCATTAACACCTCCAAAACTAAACAGTTCTCTTCCACACATAGATTCCCAGCTAGCAGAACCCCTTACCCCCCATACACACTTTGGAGAATGTAGGTATATCTAGGACTGAATGGTGTTACTAGGTGTGATGGCACCAGTAACCAGATCACTGGACACCTAGCATTGGGGATTGAGAAACAAAACCATCCGTCAAGCCCAAGCAGGGACAGTTATAGGGTTTAAAGCCTTCAGATTGAAAAAGAATTTGAAGATACAATGCAACCAATACTATCTGATTGTGCAAAGCACTTAACTATAAAAAGTGTCTGTACAGCAAAAAGGTTTCTGTAAACAAGGTAAGTAGTTCATTTTTAAAAAATTCTCTTACTAAAATGGTGTCAATGTATTACAACATAAATACAGGCAACATCGGCGTCTGAAACAGCACAAACACAGACTGCTACCTGACACTTCCAAGGCCCACATTGGCCTGTGTTCTGTGGCCAGGTGTTTGTAGGACTCATTACTTTAAGATCGGGGTCGCTCTACTGTGCTCCCTGTCCTGTTGGCCTTTGAACCAGTCATTTCAGCCAGCTTGAAAAGTGGATTCAGGTGCACATAACCAACAGCAGGCAATCTAAGGTTTGTTTATGAAATCATGCTCCAGCCCCGGGCTCCAGGCCCCAGCCCCGGACTCCAGCCTCTAGCCAGTCAATGCCTGGAACCAAGCAGCATACACCTCCCTGTGCAGGTACTGTGCCCTCCAAACAATGGCACAAACCACTATGCTACACAGAAGCCCCCCCACCCAAAGAAAGGGTGTGGGGGAGAGGGTGTTGGATGGTGGATAAACAAAAAAAGTTTGCGTTTTTCCCAATAAAAGAACTACTCAAACTACTTGGTTTGATCACAGGTTTGGTCACTTGGCAAGTGATTTTATAAAAAGATGTAATGCCCTCTTCCCCCTCCAGAATCCCCCCAACCCACAACACACATTGGTAATGAACAGTGGAGAACAGTTTGACTGATTTACTATAAATAATGAAGAACAACGGCAACTGTGCATGGAGAGCGAGAGTCCAGGTGGATTTTGGAAGCACAGAGTAGCAGCCCTACACAAGGAGATAACATTCCGGACTTGAGGAGCAAGCGGTTTACTACAGGAAAGCTCCCCATCGCCAGCTCCAGAGACCCATTATTTCCAGGATTTGATTAGGATTCTGCACAGCTTTTTGGTAAGTTAACTTGTTGGTAGGATTTGTAGACACATGGACTAGCATGTGCTTTCAGTTATCTTCATTGTAAAACAGGATTGAACAGTATAACCAAGTTAGTCAAATGCACTTTTTAAACCCATGTTTACTAAAAATGTTTTAAAATATACAGTGATGTAATATGACTTTAGAAAATACAAAAATAAGATTAATACTGTTGATGTATTTATACAAGAAATATCAACGCTATGTTTAAGTAAGTGTTAGTCCCTCTAATTGGAAAAGTCATTCTGCACAACACATGCCAATTAGACGTAGGATTTTTTATTTAATATTTAAAGTGTAAAAATACCCTCCAGTCCTCAATGGAATAACTATCCACTACACCCATGCACTTCATTGCAGACTCATTTCCTACAGCCGCTCCTCCCCCACTTTACACTGATCCACAGGGCCCCTGGTCAGGAGGGGAATCTGCTCCACACTCTCCACTGTTGTCAAGGGCAGAGCCACACTGTGGCTCCTTTCCCTGGGGAGATAATGGACAACATTGTGATGGGCAATGGGGAGATCTGATTCCCCAGCCCTGCAGTGAACAAGGCTCACCATGGAGGAAGGGTGGGGGAGTGGGAGAGAAACAGTTCTCATTGGCATCCTGACGAGTACTTACTCTGACAGTGGGCAAGATACTCTCAGCAGCGAAGACCAGAATAATGTATAAAGTGGTAGAAAGGTGAAAGAATCTCAGCAAAAAGTTACAAATCTAAGTTCCCGTTCCACATCCAAACAACCAGACCCAGATCAGAGTGCCATCTCTCTCTGTAGTTTTTAACATCAATTGTGGATGTGAATGAACATACTAAAATATGAAATAGGTACAGGAATGAGGCTAACAGTGCCAAGGTTTACACCCCGAGCTGAGGCCAACCAAGGGCAGAGCGTTCCCTACAAATCCACTGATCACAAGCATTTGAGTGATTAAATCTGACGTGCTCAGCTCAGGGCACAGAGATTAACAGCAGCACTGGAGAAATCTGATAAACCTCCACACTCCCTCCTCCCCAAAAAAGAAAGGTAAATGGATGTGAAAAGGTTTGAAAAATGACTGAAAAGATGCGTTAATAAGTGGAAGTAAACCGTACTCAGGAAAAACTGCAGTTTATGGACCTGTAACAGAAACGTGTTTAAACGCAAAGCAATTACTCATGCCAGACTATTCTTCTGCTAAACTATTCTCCCAAACTCAGCCGTATCTTTCCACAACCCCTAAAGAAAAGGTCATCTTGGGAACAACCCTAATTTACCTTAGAGAGATGGATCAGCATTCTCCACCTAAACTCACTTGCCTGTGATCCATACCCACACTCCTTTAAAGCGGTGAACGTTCAAAGTGGTGAACAAAGCGAAAGACCAGCAGGTCTGATTGCAACAGTGAATACAGCTGCAATACACCAACAGTGAAACACTAGCAATGTGCAAATTCACAACTGCAAACAGAAACGTGAAGAAACACCCCACAACCAAACTCCAAACCCTGTTTCATTGGCACAGCTGTAGCTATAGGCACAGCTATAGGAATAGCTGTAGGAATAGGTATAGGAGGCCACTTTGCAATGTGTAGGGAATAAATATTGAAAAAGTAATTTTTGTCCAGATTGTTTAAAGATATAAGTTTGTCCACATTATTGTCTGAGGGGAACAGAGGCCAGATCTGCAACACAAGGTCGCCCTTCACAGTGGACTCGGGGATGGTGGGGGGGTGGGGGTTGCAGCTTCATGGAACAGGAACATCTGTTGATGACTGAGACCAAACACCTCACTGGCTGTGGATGAAATCAGGTTAAGGAGGAACCAAAATAATCTGATAAAAAATATAAAAGCAGCTGAGCTCAGACAGGAGGTGTAGTTTGACGTTGTTATCGCAGGCTCCATCACTCGGGTCAGAGCCGGCAGATTCAGGAGAAGAATTCAAGACTTGAGCTTAGTGACAGATCTGAGAACAGCTGCTGGCTCCTTCCCACTGACTGAGGTTCCTCGCTGGCTTCTTACTAGCCAGAGCTGAGGCACGACATCAGCTTGTTCAGGGGAAATGTGTAACTTTTCTTTCTTTCCCAACTCTCAAACTGGAACTTAGCTGCAAGCGAGTAACTAGGTAAACATACCGAGTGCTCAGCCAGGTCCCAATGGAGCTTAACCTGTTGTGTTATTATTTGGCAGCTGTGGACACTTCATGGAGAGAAAGTGATTCATTGACCTGACCCACTGAACTTGCACCCCCAGCCCCATTCTCTTTTGCTCGAGTCCCTACAGACCACGATTAACTATTTATAAAAATAAAATTAAAAAAGTACAAAAAAATTAGATGGTTTTTTAAACAGGTTTTCAATACAAGTATAAACAGTTTGAGCAGCTCTCATATTTAAATAATCTTTTGTAGCTTAATCTTGAGTCATTTATACAACTGTATTCAAGCACAGTGCCAGGGTACTGCCCAGAGTCAGGTTATAGAGATAGGTGCAAAGTATTATTTCTCCAGAAACAACGGTCTGTAAGCAGCGACACACTGAACATCCTGGTCTGCTTCTAAAACAGGAAAAGCCCAGAACAATAAAGTGAAAACCTCAAACCTCAGGACACAAATCCAGCAACTCACAATGAACAATGATTAATTACGCTGTCCTTCCAGGGAACTCATTTGGCTCATCCTTTTTGCACATGTTGGATCGAATGCTGGAATGAGATTCCACATAACCTCCTCATGCTGCCAGGTGCCACTGTTTATCACGTTCTGCCTTTAACCTGCTGCCCAGAGGAGCCCTGCGGTGTGCCACTGCAGACTGGCTGGGATTCCCGCTTGGGAGCTAGGGCCTCACTAACTTACTGATATTGGGGGAAATCCTACAACTGGTGAGTTACCAAGTGTTTCCAACCAGCAACTTAAAAGCATAGAACACATAACGAGGGGCTACGCATGGAAGCACTGACCAGCATGTGACTATCTGTTTCTCAGCATCAGGGAAACGCCTAGATCCCCTTCCCAATTCATTCTGAAAGCTCAATACTGGTGCAGATAGGACTGCCTCCGCTCCTGTTTGACAGGGTAAGATTTGAAGCCTTTGTTCATGGCTTTGTGCTGGGAAGCCTGTTGCTGCTGTGAGTAGGAGAAGCTGGAAGAGATCCCTGTAGAAGGAGAGCCATCGCTGGCAGTGGACCACACAGGAGGCTGGAGAATCTGCATGGAGTCGTTCCACTGACTGACTGGGTTATTCATCTGGTACAAAGAGGTACTCTGGCTGCTCAGAGGGGCTGAGTGTTGCCACGGTGCTTTAGGAGGCCAAGTTTTGGTTTTGTTATCCTGTCAAAGAAATTGCTGTAATTGGTGTAATACAGTGATAGATAACCTAGATAACATGCACATCCCTTAGCCACATCCCCCTCTCCCGCTCCCTCCCAAAGGCAATAGAAATCACACAATCATCACTCAATAGCAAACAGTTATAAACCCCAATGCTCTACAGAAAGAGGGTCTTGTTACTGTACCTGGCTAAGATCATCGAGTGTGGATAAGAGAGGAGGAGATGGTAAAGTGGAAGTCTCGTGTTCGCCACTGCTGTGTTTCCTGAGCACAAGGAAAGAATGGTAAGTTGCATAAACACTTGTGCACACACACACAATACTCACATACACACTTAAACATTATCCATTCCAAATCCAACCCTCTGCGCTTTCCACATACACTTTTACACGGTTTCTCTTCAAATACTTATCCAATTCCCTTTCAAATATCTCAGCCTCACTGACGCTTCCCCCCTTGTATACAGTGATTACCTCAGTTACCTCAGTGTCTGCTTCACAATTAAGAGTGTCTTACCTCCTCTGTTTGACAGCAGCAACAAGGTCAGGCCCTGAGAACATGGAGAACAAACTATCCCCATTAACAGAGGAGGTCTCATCGCTGGAGCTGGCAGAGTCCCCCTGGGTCCCAGACCAGCTCACCACATCCCTGTAAAAATCAGAAGAACATCCACCTGTTCAGATTCAGACTACAATGTGAGCAGTGTCTCAGCCTGGAGGCTGCTGGAAGTTAGTGTATGAGCTCTGGTGTTTTTGGAGAGGGTGGGGAAAAAGAGAAATGGGAAAATGATGCTTGTGTTCCATCTACTGGATGTGAGTGTAACCCTGAAGAGAATTCATTGACCAGGTACAAGCAATAGTGAGGATAGAGAGATAAACTTGTAATGACATAACTGTCCAATCATCTCAAAGTACTTCAGGGATAATTGCTGCCAAGTGTAATGACTGTTTGTAGGCAAAACAGCTCCACCGGACTGTAACATTAACAATAACAAGGCAAAAGCAAAGATGCTGAACGTGAGGTGATCTAGTCTACGGTGCCCCAGCGCCATCCCACTGGTGACAATGATGATGCAATAATGATGACACATGCTCCTCGCTGAGCTTGCAAATGGGCAGCATTTCAACAAGGTCCAAGTGTTGCTGGACTGGCAATATGTGAATTATTAGTCACGGCCTTGCGCACACCTCGAGCACTGCTGCACAAACGTACCCCTCTGTGAAGTACTCGGGAGGCTGCCAAGTCCTGTGAGGCTCGTCAGACACCGGCCAGTTGGTGCGAGCGGTGCTGTGACGCCGCACGTGCTGTGCTTGCCGTTTCTGCTGCATCACCTGGTTCACCCCGGCCACGTACCGGGCAAACTCTGGGTCAGAGCCAACTGAGTGTGCAACAAATAAATTCCATCAGTCAGTCAAGCTTCCCACATAATCAACTCTTTCCAAAGTAATTATAATCCGTGTAATTCTTTAAGCTCAACAGTTTACTTCAGTGACAAAGAGCTAATTTAACAGCCGTCAGTTTTTGATAATCATCTTTGTTGAGAGGAAAATATCCTGTGATAGATTAAGTTTGAAAATTACATACAGTGATGGACTGAGAGGAGAGAAGCGTAGACAGGCGAGAGGGAGGGAGGCATGCACACACAAGTTTATACTTTTGTCTTGAATCTTAGTGAAGATCAGAAGATTTAGACCAGGGCCTTCCTGGCCTTAAAGCTCAGCATCATAAGCCACAGTGCATTTGCCCAAAGAATTATTGGGAAGCCTGAAGCAGATGACATATTTAAAAACCTGCCTGATGTAAACACTGTACCTGCAGGATCAAAGGGAAGGATGTCTCCCAGCATTCCGAACACTCCGTCGCTCTGGACCCGGTTTGGCCAGGTGTTGTTCCTAGTGTTTCCTGCTTTCGGGCCCAACATATCAGCCATGACATTGTCCATGATACTGTCCATGTAATTCCCCACGAGACCCAGGCTGTACAGGTCTGAGCTCAGGTCATTGTGAACAGGGCTGTTCCATTGGCCCACAGGGCCGAGGGGGGACACACCAGCTGCACTCTGTGGTGGCTGCTGGGAGGGACTATTTGGCCATTTCCCGGGTACTCGAGGAGTCTGTGGTCGGGGTGCGGGGGGCTGCTGTGGTGGGGGTGGGGGGAGGGGCGGTGGTTGACCAATGGGCTGGAGGAGATGTTGATAATATTGCAATTGCTGCTGCTTTTGTGCAGAGTGCGGGTGATGTAGGACGTGCTGGGAGGGGTGGAGTGGAGCGTGACATGCTGCCGGTGGTGGTGGCTGCTGCAGTGCGGCTGCTTTCTGCTCTGGGGCCCCGGCCGATGCACTCGAATTCCTCCTGTTGGTGAGCGGTGACGCCTGCTGCGATTTGCCCATGTTAAAGCCAGAGAGGAAATCAATGACGTCTTGCATCTCCTGGTCACTGGGCAGCTTGATGCCTTGCTCTTCCTTGCCCTCAATCCCCTTAAAAAAGCTTTCCCTTTTGTCCAGTGAAAAGCCATTGACCATGGGACTGGAGGCCCCCTGTGCCACTAAGCACGAATCTCCGCTCTTGGGGAAACTGCCGATGTTCAGGATGCTCTGCAGCCTGAGATCGGTCTGGCTGGAGCCCTTGGCTTTCCTGTCTTCCTCTGAGCTGCCGATGGAGAAGCCGCCTTTGGAAGGAGTGCTGGGGATGGAGAAGCTGCCACTGCTGCTAGTGCTGGCACTGCTGCTGCACGATCCTCGCTTGGTAAAACGAGACGTCAGCTTCGCAAAGGTCTTCTGTAGCCCGCCAGAGGCCTTCACAACAGTTCCGTTCCCGGAGGGCAGGTCAATGTGACCCCCAAAGTCAGGGCTCTCTCGTCGCAGCTGGATTTGAATGCTCGGCAAAACTTGCTCTCTGTGACATTAACAACAAAATCATAATAACCCAAGAGAATGAGACAAATAGTTGGAAGAGAAATATGAAAGTGTGTGTGTGTGTGGGGGGGGGGTATGAGTATTGGGGAGTGGGAGTAAATGGGCAGTTGTTCCAGAGAACTGGCACAGACACAAGGGGTCAAAATAACCTCTTTCTATGATTCTGTCAAACAATGACTAGATATCTTCTGTGAGGACATCATAGAGTCCAACCCTGAGACCAATCCTTTCCCCCATTGTGGCAGGTACCAGAAACGGCAAACAGCCTGTGTTCAGGGCATGTCAGATCAACTCCTTACCCAGCACCAATTAGTGACAAACTTTATGTTGCTACATACAAGGGGGATAAACACATCTAATCTAAAATGATTCTCCCCCACACCAATTTTCTCCTCTCCATTTCTTCCTTTTCCCTGACAGAAAGGGTTCATGATATCAAATTGATTAATTTTCCTCTCCTTAGCTCAGAGGAAACCAACACAGCCCTGGCTGAGCTCACTGATTAGCTTGGCACACAGCTTACATTCCTCACAGCTATTTAGGGGGCTGTTTTTCACACATCTCTCCCCTCTCCCACCCCCCATTTAAACGCAGACTGTACATACTGGTTACCACCAGAAGGTGGCCTCACAAGCTCACATCCTTATGTCCAGTACAAGGGAACATTTCAGTCAGGCTGCCACAGCAGACATGACATGAATGACACTTACTCCGCAGCTATAACTGGACCCTGCATCAAGCTGGAGTTTCTGGCTAACTGCTAATCATTACATTGTTACGTTTAAAATGAATGCAATAAAATTAAATCCTACCTAAAATTTAAAATGAATTAAAATGAATTTCAGTGGTGGGGGCAGACTGGATAATTCAGAGTACATGCGTCTGGACAGCCAAGATTCACTGCATTTAGAAAACTTTCCGGACACCCCTCAGTCTCTCACAGTACACTACATCGGAGTGAAAAACAGCAGACACAATGGCCCATCACCTCGCAATACTGTACCTTCGTTCCTTCCACCTGGCCAGGTCAAAAATTGCAGTGTACAAAACGTCCACCAGCCCCAGGGTTTTCTCTGGATCCAGACACCTCTGCAGCAGTGACATGGTGGCAGGATCCTCCTTCAAACACCTGGAGAAAAAAACACAACACAAGCTTGACACGTTAGCCTGGCTCTGTCGGTAGTGTGCTCACCTCGAGGTTTCAGGCTGAGACTTTGAGCTGGCACTGAAGTGCGGAACTGCATTGTCGAAGTTGGAACCTTCTGATGTTTCAGCTGAATGTCAATGATCCCAATGAATCCCAACTCCAGTCTCGACAATATTCCTCCCTCAACCAAAACACATCCATTGGTCATTCACCTCACTGTTGTACATAGATAGCTAGTACAGATTAGCTACCATGTTTGCCATCATTAACAGCCACTACACTGCAGGAAAATGCCTATGGGATGCCCTTGGAGATTTATTTATTTATATAAAACACGTTTCCCCTCAGCATTTAAACACTTTACACAAAATGCTGGCTAATAATCAGAACAGCTGTCGCGTCCGGGGAGAGCACACATGCTCCCAGATACAACAGGTTATTTTGAAACCTAGAGCTGATGTCACATAGGCAGCGCTAATTATAGTCACCTTTGGCCGCTGGAATACCACAAAATATTCAGGTTACGATCAGAGCACCTGGGCACAGCACCACTAACGGCTCATCGTGGCAGGATTATATTCTCTACTCCAGTAGGAAGGCCTGAGTGAGGGAGTGTTCTGCTACCAAAGTACTGAAAAGGTCAACATTGCTATTTTTAAGAGCGTTCTCAGCCCCCAAAGACTGGCTGAGGAGCTCAACAAACCTAGTGTACAATACTGAGCAAGGAAGGCCTCAATGGGTCCGTGCTGACTTCATCAATCAGAGGCTGGGTAGAAGCTCAGCCAATGGACAAGGTGAACAAACCATGTCTGTGAAGCCCATGTACCAGGCGAGCGCAAGGTTTCTCTCTAAAACCCAAGAGGCCATCATATCTCACAGCCCACAGACACACAGACAGATATGTAAGTAAAGCCACTTCTACAGGTACTTGATCACAACTGAACTGGCAGGAGTATTACTCCCACACATGAATCAGGTAACTAGATTACCATTAATAGTATCCCCCAAGGTAAGCTTACGAGTTAAAGCTCAATATTTGAATAAATATCAGCAATTAATAGTGAATCATATAACGATGGTGATCATGTGAAGCATGTATGTGTGTATACTGTTAATAGGGTGCTGTTGTTGGGTAATATTAGATAGTGTTTCTATCTTGCGAATTTCTGTTTCTTGTCCAAGGCTGGGGGACCCCAGAGGTTACCTTGCGGATGGAGTACTGCTGGATTTAATCAGCTCAAAGTAAAATTTCTTCTTAAAAAAGAGTAAAATTTAAATCTTTGAAAGAGGAGAAATCTTTATAATATAAGACCCAAACCCCTGCATTATTCCATGTCACTGCTCTCCTACCATGTTTTATTTGTGTAAAGAGGACACTCTGAGCTCCAATTCAATTGAGAGACCCCATTAACACTAAAAAAGGCAACATGACCACATAACCTGAACCCCAAACCAACACACATCAATAGGAGATCAATCAGTAGCCCTGTTTATACAGCATGAATGCCATGTGCAACCTATCAAATGGTCTATTTATACCCTCCTGACACCAGCCCAGGCTCAGGAACTCTCCAACCCAACTCCTTCATCATGTCACTCTAACCATGGGAGAGAAGAGATATCAGACTAAAGCTGGCATAATGCATCACTTCCGTCACAAAAAAACAACTTACCACGTTGAAGGGACTTGAACGATGATTCTGGAACCTTCCAGACTGATCTGTGGAGCATAGGCCTCTTTGTTCTCGATTTGTGCTGTATCTACCACAACCTGTTAGTTTATAAAAACACAGTTCAGTCTAACGCTGCTCCATTCCCAGAATTATTTTTTTCTTGGGGTGGTGGGGGGAAGAGAGAGTAGGAGATGCTCAGATGGGTTATACTTTCCATAAAGCAACATTGGGATTACAGGAAGAATAAGTGTAAAGGCAAGTCTCCACATTTCCAGTAGTTTTATAAAGTGCAAAGAGAAAAAGATACATAAATATTAGAAAGAGTTCAGTGAAAAAGTCAGTGTGGAAATTAATCACCATGCTTAGATGTTTCCAAATCAGACAGAGTTCCATATTTACATGTCACCACGCACTGAAATTTCTCCACGTCTGTAAAGGAATGCACACTCACACCTGGTTTACGCAATTCTGGAGAGTATTAGGTGCAGGTTGATGAGAGCCAAGGCTTGAAGACCCCAGAGTGTGAGCTGAAGCACTGCTCAATTTAACCAGCTAAAACTGCATAGCTTGCTATTTTTGAGAGTACTGTTTGCCGAGTTTCCTGCTGCGTGTCCAGCTAGGACCCTACCTTTTAGGACTTTGGATTGCAGAGTTAACAAGAGCTGAAAGATTCTCTGCCCCCAGTAACTGGTCTGCCCCTCCAAGTCCTGCCACAATCTACTGTCTCTGTACTGTACTTGAAGTTAGGCAAGAATAAGAAAGGAGACTTTGGGGAGCAGCGATCACAGTAATATTGATAAAACAGGAGATAGTAGAGGACGGAGGCAAATTTCCACACTAACCAGACTGACACTGAATCAGAAACATTCTGTCATTTGAACTAACCACAATAGAACAAAAACTCCAGTCAGTCACTCACCAAGCCTGCCTGGCCAAAGAGCAACTGCACAGCAGTCTTGCAGGCACCTCGCCAAGTGGAGGGACAGACCTGATTGAGGATCTCAGTTGTTGGGGAATCATCTTGTGGAGCAATGCCATTCTGGCCGGCTGCCTCTTTGATTAGTTGCACCATCGCTTGCTGCAAAGGGTTAGAAACAAGGCCATCGATGGCTTTTCAGTTGCCAGTCATGTGTAACAAAAAAAGCTCTCATGTTCTGTACAGATCTTCACTTTAAGGAAAGAAACAGGATAGGCTTGTGGTATAAGACAGGCTGATCATGCCAGAGGTACAGAGAAGGACTGGACCATCACTTTCAGACAGCTAGCTTCATTTTATGTGTGTGTGTGTGTGTGTGTGTGTCGGTAGGGGGGGGGGGAGAGAGAGAATGACTCACTCTTGATTTTCTCTCTAATCTAGCCTTTTATGCTATGCACATCAGGCAGCAGAGATATGTAAAGAGTTTAAAATATGCCAACACAATGCAGGAAAGTGTGGACTTGGCTGATAGCAGCTAGAGTGATGGGGTAGTTACAGTCTGCCTCCAAACCCTGATGAGGAGCTGTGGAGTTGGGAGGGTAAATAAACAGTGAGGGTTATTATCTGATATTTAGCCAACGATCTTTGAGGAAGGCTTGGGTGCAGTATCTTCCAAATACACTGCTGATACTCAAACTGTCCATCTGGGTGAGGTAGCTCAGGAAACCATACCCTGAGTCAGAGTCACGGGGCAGAGGGAGAAACTAATATTTTGTAAATGAAAAGAATCAGAGCTAATCCTCAAGTTAATGTAAAATCAAACACAAATATAATGCAAACAGTGCTACTGTCACAAATCACATGGTGTTATCTCAAAACAGACAGTGCGATCAAGTTATGAGACCAATTATGCTTTTAATAGTTGTTAAAAGAAACAGCGGAGGTGAGAAGAAATGTTTTCACACAGCGAGTTGTTCAGATCTGGAATGCATTGCCATGAAAGGGGTGGTGGAAGCCGATTCAACAACAACTTTTAAGAGAGTAGATAATTGTTTGGGGAGAACAAGTTTGCAGACTCTGGGTAGAGAGTGAGGTTGAATTGGATAGCTCTTTTCAAAGCCGTCACAGACACGATGGGCCGAATGGCCTCCTTCTGTGCTGTATAATTCTATGATTCTATACTTCAAACCGATTCCTCAAACTGTATCATTGCTGTTGAGATCAGAATTAAAACTAGGTTACTCAGTAAAAGCCAGATTGTGTCACACATCTACTTTCAAGGATGCTTTGCACTGTCTGAGGCAATACGTCTCAAACTTCCTGATCTTACAATGACTTTGCCTGACAATCCCCAGCATTTGGTTGAGTGACAACAACAACAAGATAACATTTGTATAGCGCCTTTCATGTCGGGAGGATGCCCCAAGGTGCTGGACTGTGTACAGCACTTCAGACCCGAGCTGGGTGGGGGGGGAGAAGGGAGGTGACCGATGGCATGGTCGAAGAGGAGGGTTTTGAGGCGGGACTTGAAGGAGGCTAAGGAGGGGGTGAGGTGGAGTGACCCGCATTTAGTGTTTGGATGAAAGGCATCAGACACTTGAAACGGCACATTTTAAAAAAAGACCACTTGTGAGAGGTAAGAGGGAAAGTGGGGCTGCGAGGACAGGAAGGTAGACATTTAATAAATGTTAAACTGACCAATAATTACATAATTGATGCACTTCAGTGACCACAAATATTTCCACCTCGCTTTAACAAATGGTGATTTCCCACAAACTTACTGGGAGTCAGCACTCCCATTCCCTCATTTAGACTTCAATGTACCAGAAGCTTCCTTTGCCTTATCACCCCCTAGGGTTCAGTCCTTTTGCAGGTTTTATTTTCCTCACAGCTCCGTATGACATAACTTCACAGCTGCCTGGGCTGGGACTGCTCTGTCAATCATCAGCAGGCGCCTGTTCACAACAGGTCAGACCAACATATTCCAACAACAACAAAATTACATTTGTATAACGCCTTTCAAGTCGGGAGGATGTCCCAAGGCGCAGTGTTTCATACCTGAGTGTCCGGGGGGCAGAGTAATCAAAGGCACGGTCGAAGAGAAGGGTCTTGAAATGGGTTTTGAAGGAGGCAAGGGGGGGCGCGAGGCAGAGGGACTGTGGGATGGATTTCCAGAGTATGGGGGCAGAGTGGCTGAAGGCCCGCCTGCTAATGGTGGGGCGGGGGACGCGAAGCAGACCAGAGCACACTGAACTGAGGGAGCGGGCAGGTTGGTAGGGGGTTAGGCCGTTGCAGAGATAGGGGGGAGCAAGGCCACGGAGGGCTTTGAAGGTGAAGACCAGGATCTTAAACTGTATCCTCTGTGAGATGGGAAGCCATTGAAGACGGGCGATAATGGGGGTGATAGTCATGGAATCTGGTGCGGGAGAGGACACAGGCTGCAGAGTTCTGGATGATCTGCAGCCTATGGAGAGAAGAATGGGGGAGGTTGACAAGCAGGGAGCTATAGAGGAGAAACCGTTCGTGGAGATGATGTGGAAACGGTGTGAGAGATACGATCTGAACCAGTCAAGGACAGAACCATGAAGTTTGAGGTGAGAGGAGAGGCTGTGGAGGAGGACAGAGTGGTCAACGGTACCGAAGGCAGCAGAGAGATCAAGAAGGACAAAGAGGCAGAGGGAGCCCTGGTCACAGATGGACAAAATGTCACTTGTCACTTTGACCAAAGCTGTTTTTGTGCTGTGAGCAGCACGTAAACCCTTAGGAGGGGATCATGATGGGAGAGGAAAGAGTGAAGCTGGGAAGCAATGACTAGTTCCAGGACCATGGAAAGGAAAGGAAGTTTGGAGATGGGGTGGTAATTTGAGAGCAGGGATGGGTCCAGGGAGGATTTTTTTTAAGGATAGGAATAATGATGGCCATTACGGCTACTTCAAATAACAAAGGCGCATATTCTCATACCATAGTCTCATACCCATCCTCTCCTTTCACAGTCCCAGACATGACTAAAAAGCAACCTACTTCCCCCAAAAGGCTGTGAATAAAATGCTGGATCCATTAAAATTTTCAGACCGAGGTGATAAGATACTTGTTAGGTCAGGGTATCAAGAGGTATAGGGCAAGGGCGGGTAATTGGTGTTGAGGTACAGATCAACCATGATCTTATAGAATGGCAGAACAGGCTCGAGGTGCTGAATGGCCTATTGCTGTTCCCATGTTCAGCTCTTGCGCTGGATGATTAGGGACATGTTAGCAGTGCATATAGGCAATTACATGAACAGATCAAAGAGGTTTCCTAACATTTTACAGCAGTGTGTTCAAATTGCTAAGGTAGCACAACACACAATGTCAGGCTTTCTACAACAAAACTAAACCATGCAGTATGACATGGCAACATCTGAGGCAAGAGCTAGTTGCAAGACCTATAGATCATGTAGAAATGCTTTGTGACTTGAGATCAATAATAATAAAAAATGTTCTTTGAAACTGAAATGAAACACCATCCTCAAGACCAAGACTGACAAGCAAAAAAGTAACTTAAGAAGCAAATTCATTTGGTCGCCTACGATATTACAGAGTGTGGGAAACCAGATAGCTACAGTTCCAATCAGTCTGCTTCATGGAGACTCACAGACAAACACAGGAGCATCACATCAAGCGACAGCTTTAAAACCTCATAGCAAATAACTGGCTAAAAGGGGACATTGTTGTACTTTCAAAATGTCTATGCGTTGAGAGGCAGATTTCATATAATAAAAACCTTCTCACATCTGTGAACAGAATGAACTAAATACATTTATTAAACACACACCAGGAACAACAGCCCCAACAACCTGACCACTGGGGACTCGGTTCCCTTGCACAACAGAGATACACGAATTCCAGATATCCACAAACCGAATATTCACAGTACCACTCTCTCTTTCTAATATATATATATATTACATATATATCTTTCTCAATCAGCAGCGTGACTCACTATCTAGCAGTGGGAACGGCCGCTTTCCTGGCAGGGTGCTCAATATCTGGCAGCGCCAAGAGCCAGCGGTTGGGAGGAGACAGAGATACGCTTGCCTTCCCTCAGTTTGAGTGGGACTCCCTGACGGACTGCAGGTATCATTTCAGCTGATATTATTTCCACTCAAAGCAGCATTGAGTTCCTGCAATGAGAGGACAGTTCACCAGAGAGGGAACGGGTGGCCCAAAGTTCGAAATCGTTCACAGGGTGGATGAAATCATCTGCCGGGCCAGATGCGGCCCTTGGGCCGCCAGTTGAACTTTCCTGACTTAACACATTGGGCTCAGGGAGAGCAGATTCAGCTGTAAATTAAGATGCACTCTTCCCCAATTTAGACTGAATCCACTCAGGAGTTTGCTTAGCTAAGCGCTCCGAGACACTACTCCAAGTGAAGAGCGCTATATAAATGCAAGTTGTTGCTGTAGCCATTTGGATCTAGTAGTCGTACACAGAATATTTGTGAATTGTTAAGTACCGTTTTAAGCTTTAGATTTTCAGCTCCAGATTCGTTGAAGGAGATGCCCTTTAGGAAGTGGGGTCCTATCTGCACTGGGACTGTTGGCAGCTCACACTGCAGGGGCTGGGCTGGATATGGTCTTCTTCCTGCTTGCTGTGCTTCTGCCTCACTGCAGCAGCCCTGTAACATGCCAGAACCAGGTAAGAGTGCCACACAATGTTAAACAGTCACACTCATTTAGGATTGAAATGGAAATCCTTTGTTTCAACAGAACAGGCTGGATGGGCTGAATGACCTCCCCTTTGCTAGGTTACCAGACTATTACTATGTTAGCTCCAGTCTGCCAAGGTCAGACTTGCTGAGTGGGAAAATATGGACATGAGGCTATACCAAGCACACTTGTACTTTCACGTTGATTAATAAAAAGAAATGCAAGTGGCGCTCAGTATTACAGCAGCGATCAGAGAATCGCAAGTTCAGAACCGTAATCCCTTTCCATATTTGGATTGTCAGCTGCTCTGCTGTGGGGAGGCACCTTGCAGAGGCTCTGGCCTCCCCAACAGGAAATGTAGGGGGGTGGGGGGGGAAAAAAAAAATCAAAGGGAGAGTCACCATAAAGCATTTCCTACCAGCCGTCTACAGCCTGTTAGCAGAGACCTGGGAGCAGGTCACCTACCGTCTCCTTGGCCAGGGATTAAACAAATCACCGGGAACCCAGAGTGAGTGGGAAAATATTAAACCATAAAGAAAGCCACAAAGCTATTTTTCCATTATACCATCCATTTCAGTTGCCCATAAACATCTAGTCTTACCAAACATTTCACTTACAGCACAATGTGGTACAGAAGGCTGGAGAATGAGTCAATACAATATAGCCAAACTAAACTAAGGTAGATCAGATAACTACCCCTCTTCATTATAACATCAGCAACTCCATCATACTTGCTTTTCCTCCAGAAGGCAAGATGTTACCATATTGCCAAGTGGACCACAACCAATGGTAAGTACTGGTGATTAGTCAAAGGACCATTACCTACCTGTAAAGAGGCCTCAATAGATTTGGGGTTGAGGTGGAACCCAGCCTTCATTGCATATTCACAGTGACCCAAGCTTTCCAAAGCTAGTTTGTAAGCCTGTAAGATCATCAATGAAACAAAAAAAAATCTAAATCCCTAGAAGATACAAGCAAATACAGATACACAATGTTACATACAAATACAGTTGAGAGCATCACATGTGAATATTTCAGATGTGCTACAGTTTTCCACGTACAAGAAGCTGAGTACAGGGCTTGACTTGAGAACAGCCTCATCCCACAGCCAACAATTCTAATTTAGCTTCTGCTAATTTATTCATCACAAAGGTACATAAACCGAGGAAGTGGCCACCTCACCAATAAAATGGCTGAATTCCTGCAGAGGCATTTAGTGTGTGAGGACAGTGGGTACAGAGGCAGGTATGGCCAGGTAACCATCACCTGTCTGTAGGACTGCAATCACTTCACTAACGTCACACTTTTGAGTTTCACAGAACTTGATGGATGATTTCCCTTTTCACCTATTTTTAAAAAAAAACGTGTTCAGATCCATCCAATTCCTGCCGACATGCATGCCGAGACCACGGACAGCTCAAAACATGTCATTCTGAGAGAAACCTATTACAAGAGGTGGTTTTAAACTTGCCTGAAATATTTCAAGTCATTGAGGAGTTTGATGGAGAAACTCTGGTCAGATCTCTGATGCACTCACTACATGTGGTGAGGATAGTATGATACTCTCACAAGTCACTCACCTGCAAAGCACTATTTATCTTCACATTTAACTCTTTGAGCTGATGCTCTGGGATAGCCATGGCCTGAGAACAGAACAGTTGCTGTACTTCAATACCAGTCAGGCAGCCATCGCTTCTCCTCTCACGTAGCCGAGATGTAGCCTGTTTATAAAACAAATGCAATGGTCATAATTCACAAGGGAGGGAGGTTTGGATAAAGGTCTGTCAGCCCATTTGATCTCAGCCTTCCAGACTAACCTCCTTATTGGAGTATCACGTTGTTTCTTAACTGAACACACATAAACACACAAATTAAGTTTTTAAAGAACGACAGACAGACTATATTTCCATACTAAGCAGGAATGGTGCAAGAAAATTTGATCAACATGAGCTCTTGTAATTTGTCCTCTCCACTGAGATGATTGGCCAGGATTAGAATAAAAAATGGATATGAAAACTAAAAATATTGGTGTGCAAATGACCTGTGGGAGAAGCGGGGACGGGTAACCAGTAAGCCTCAGAGTTTCCCTGGAAGGAATCTTTTTGAGCAGGATGTCATTCCCTTTCTACTATTCCATCCAATAGTCTCAATTTGTTGCACCAATCTTAGATGAGGACAGAGGTAGACAAACACCTGTACTCTCCAGCTCTCCGGTGTGTGGAAGGTGAATTAAACACAGAATTTAAACTGCATGACCACTACCACTGACGTATTTGATGTAGAATCTGCTGTTGCTTTTTCACTTCCTAGCGTCAGTAAATCATTCCTGCCATTTATACACAAGGCTTAATCAATAATTCAGACAGAAACGCAATGGTTTGACTTTTAGTTTTTTCTGATCAGTTGGGTGTCTGAATGTGTGGAAACAAATCACCGTGCTTAAGTGTTTCTCACTTGTGCCTCGTGCATGGATATTTCCAAATCTCTCAAATGGAATGTTCACTCTCTTCCTGGAGGGACTCAATCTGCTTACCTAATTCCGGAAAGTGTTAGGCGCATGTTGGGGACTCTGGAGAGTGCACTGGGGTAACTCCTGGAGTCTAACCAGCTGAAACTGCAAAGCAAGCTATTGAAATCACTGTCTGGCAAGCTTCCTACTGCCTATTAGGCCCTCTACCTATTAGGACTTTGGCTTACCCAGGAGCTGAACGGGAAGAGTCACTGTCCCCAGTGACCAGTCTAACCCTCCAATCCTGTTGACGAGCCATTTGACATCCGACAAGGGTTGAGCCCTCACTTGGTGGAGAGCAGGGATTAGGAACTCTTTGATCTTGCTGATGAGCAGCACAGCTCAGCATAAAATGTGTGATGGTGCCTGGCCACTATCCTGCCGGCCACATTTTGATTTTTACAAGGACTTCTCTGCTACACAAGCACATTGACCAAATACCTAACACTAAAGCGTACTATACAGAAGAAACCAGAAACAGATGAGCAGTCTGAGATTAGCATTCTTGTTTAACATTCCCTCAGGAAGGGGAAACAAAGTGTTCACAATGAAAATGTGCAGAGCAGTGCGGCCGTCAGCACTCACAGCTAAGAAAAACACTCTGGCACAGGATATCCTGACACAGAGCCTTGCTCTTCCCCTCCACAGTGAGAACAGAAAAGCAATCAACAATCTACAATGTAATCCACAGCAAATAAAAGTTGGCATAAGATGCACAAAACTTTCATGTATTAAATGAACGCAGATCTGCACTGGAAAGTACAACCCACAACCCAAAAGTCAAGAGTTGAGAACCCACAGCATTAGCAATGCAAACCCACCCAACCCCAATCTATTTCCTGTCTAGAACTGCCAGACACTTTGATTTCATCAGGTTCACCATAAAATTTAAATACAATTGGTTAAAGTAGGTCAGGCATGGTCAGCCTTTGTAACTGCAACGGCAGATGAGCTAATGGATCAATATTTAAACAGACGTTTGTTGTCGTGAGATTAAGTTAAATCGATGGTGACATCTGCGCAGCAAGCATGTTTGTATCTTGACACTGCGTGCGTTTTACGCTGTGAATCTCTGCTCTGCAGTCTTAACCTGGGGAGCATAGTGGAAATGTTGCAATAAATCTCAAAAAAAAGGTACTTTTGAGAGGAAAATATGATGCTCTAACAGAAATCACCAACGCTTAATTTCCATGAAAAATAAGAGTGCAATCAAACTGCTTTCTGCTACTAGGTTAACAGATTTGAAACAAACCCACAAATGACAACTAGGATAAGTCAATGCAATCATTCTACAACCAAGCAACAGATCTCAAAATTGTAGACAATAACTACATATAATCCTTGGGCCTTCGTATAGATGGGTGGGAAGAGTTTAATATTGGACACATGATTTCTGTAAAAAATATCAGGGTACAGGCACAAGAGAAATGCCCAGAAGATAAGAGAAACACAACACTGAAAATGAAATCCATTTGGTATTGGTGCTCTCTTCGGTCTGATGACAGAGTTTCCTACATCTATTCTAGTTCTGAGTTTATACATTTCAGCTGCTGAATATTCAAGGTCCAATAGTAAAGAGACGAGGCAGCAGCAATGTAAAAACAAGGGCAGATTCGATCACCTCAGTCCAGCTGAGTTACAGATCTCAGCTAGGGAAGAATTTGTTTTAGTGCCTTGCCTGTAGAGAGGGAAAACAAGTAAAGGCTCCTCTGCTCATGATCACTACATGGCAACTCTTTTTGGAAACCTTTGACAACATCCAGGGAGGACAGATTGAATTGCTGAAAAGAAAAATGTCAGGCGTATAAGTGGCTGATAGAGGAGAAGAGAACATCCCAAAGAATGATCAGAAAGTCCAGCTGAGAATCCCAGCAGCTGAATAACTGAGTCAATTCAAAGGATTCTCACCACATCACACACCCATGCAGTGAGAAAACAGTCATCACATTGTTCTCAGGCCACCCATTGGACCGCAAAAACAAGCAAAAGAAGTTCTTACCTCTGCAGCACCTTGCCAAGATCTCATACTCTCTTCCAGCTCAGTCATGTGGCTTGTGTTCCTGGGTTCACTGGTCGCTGAATTCTTCCTCTCTTGAGCTTGGGCTTCTGCCAAGCAAGAGTGGGCTACTGGCTGGACACGGTGTAACGCCTGGGACAAGAATTGAAAGTGGACCTGAAGGACCGTGAGGAAACATCGGCCCAGCACCTGACAAAACAGAAGATGTTGTGGTTTTAGCTTGTTGGTCTGTGGATATCTAAAATAATAATAATAATTTGGTCACTCAATCCACAACCGTTTGTGGGACACTGCTGTGCAGATTTGGCTGCCGAATTTTGCCCACAGTCACTCCATTTTACAGTATATTCTGTGAAGCCCTTTGAGACGTCTCGAAGACGTGATAAGAGGCTATATCAAATGCAAGGATTATTATTAATTCAAGTAGGAAGCAGCCTTGCATGAACTCTGCCAACCTTGCTGGATAGAACCAATTTTCCTGTCCTCATTAGGTCATATTACAAGTAAAATATCAAAAACAATAAAACGTCTCGATAATTCAAATAATAAAGGTTAATCCTCTAACTGCGATCAAATTAACCCGTTTATAAACGCAATTAATGCAGTCTGAATTATCAGGAACGATTCAATCAGCATATTAAAATAGTGTTTCCAATTGCAAACACTCAACTATCTGATCCTCTGTAACCCAAGGCAGGCGATATATGGAAAGCAAGACCCGACAGTGAGTGCTGGTGGGCAAGGGGCAGAGAGCGAGCAAACATGGAACAGGCGAGATCTGAACACATTTCTTGAAGCCACTCTGCTCCATGTTCACCCCATTTCAATCCGCGGCTTCTCTCCCAGTTACTAAATCCATGCTCACGTGCTACTCTCGCTACTCACCGACAGTTTGTCAATACCACACGTGAAGAATGGTTAGAAACACAAGGTCCAACCCTGTAATATTTATATCTTCTGCTTCAAACTCGGAAAGTTATTTTCAAATTAGGATCTCAAAATTGGAGCAGACAGCACCACGCAATACAACAGCCAGTGTGTGTGATGCAGGGAGCTTAGAGCAGCCTATGACTAACCGGTCGAGGAACAGAGCCTGCCCAAAGACATCCCAATATAAATAAGACCAGAGCGGGTAAAATACCAGATCTGAATACTAACGACAGAAAATATGTTTGTGGCATAACAGGGGAAGCTCAGAGAACTGATACTTCCAACAAACAGTGATCAACAAAGGCACAATTCACTGCTATCAGGAACAGTGGGTTAGCGGGTCTCAGGTTATTTGGTCATAGCATTTTTTTTCACAAATTACTACTCAGTGACCTCGAACCCTTCCTGCATTCAATTAAGCTAAGAAAAATCCTGCAAACTTCCATATCATAAAACAGCTGTTTCCAGAGGAAGTCTGAACGAGCTGTGGGGAGTTACCAGAAACAGAATACCACAGGAACATTGGGCTCGTCTACACCAGCATTTCAATTCCAGCTTCACTACCAGATTCCTCACTCACAGCAGACATGTTTTTGAGTATTTAAAAACTGTGGATAATGCAAGTTTCTTTACTCCACACACTTCTGTTTACCTAGCACTAAGTAGAAATTTGGTTGTTAGTTGATTGGCGGATCGCTTTCCGGAGGTAATAAACTCTTCAAAAAAAATGTTTTCCACTCAACCCACCACCCTTTGTGGGACACTGCTTACGCAATTGACTGCCACGTTTCGCTTACAAAAATACAGTCACTTTACAGTATATTCTGTGAAGCGTTTTGAGACATCTCGAAGACATGATAAGGTACTGTAACAAATGCAAGGATTATTATCATCATCCAAAAACCTCGATACAGAGTTCATTCAAAATCGATTGCAAAAACTGAAATATAAAAATATTTTATTAAAATCCATCATTCTTGGCAGAAAATATATTTGTTGTAATAATTTAAATACAGTATAAAATATCTGTCCAAAACTGAGGCCAACTGTCAGCCCACTACTACAAGTTGTTCCTCAGATGGAAGCACAGATTTGAATGTTGGAATGTCTGATTGCCCCCACGACTGACAAGGCCTTGTTGTGTCAGCTCAACTCTCACTTAGGTCATACCCCAACTTCACCATAAACACAGCACCTCTTTGTTCCCTTTATTAGAATTTAACAAGGCATGCTCTGAACTTAGGATCACATTTCCTTCAAAACCCAAGTAGTCTGACATTCTGTTTTTTAAAAAAATCTTTAAAACTAGTAGTTCCTTTTAATTCCATTAACCAATTGAGGGCCGTACTAACCTTTTTGAACAGAGTTCTTCCTCACACACACAACAGTTCAGCTGCCACTTAGGGTAATGTGGAATACACTTACATTCTCCAGTAATATTACCTCAAAATAACTGTTTTTACATTTATTATACGATTATAAAACAGCAACCTAGTTTTGCATCTGGGAGTACTGCACACAGTTCTGGTCATTGGATGTAATGAGAGTTTCTGCTTTTCAGTGTTTATTAATTTAATTTTATCACGGTTTTTTTAGTAACTTGAGTTTGATGTAGATTTCCAAAAAATGGAGGTTTTCGGGGCTTTCGCTTTTTATATATGGTAATGAAAGAGTGTTTTCGGGTACGCTTCACCAGACCTGCCTGTGCAGATGGAGGGGAGAGAGGTGCCCTGGAACCGAGAACAATATGCTCAGATATGGTAAGTCAGTAGAAAACAAAGATATAAGTTCAGTGAAGAACTTTTTCCCAGGTTAGAGTAATAAACACCATTGTGGAAATAGCGGCAGTTGTTTAACAATAACTTGTTACCTCCAGTTCGATCAAACAGTGCAAAGCATTTCCAGTGTATTTCCCCAGATTCTGTTCTATAAATTTATGTAATTTATTCTGAAAAGCAAAATTCCATGGGTGGGCTGTTCAGCCCATTCACTCCACTCTATCAGAGAGCCCTGGACAAGCAGCACAGGCCAGCATTTGTGATCTCTACCCAATTGGTGCAACTGGTAAAGAACCAGTGACAAGAATTGCTAGAAAAAAAACCTTGATATGCCACTGACCACTGAAGGTAATCTCACGAAACTCAGCAGATCAACTCAGCTGCAATTTACAGTATTTGATCCTGAATGGCTGCATTCCACAGACATTCTTCTGTTCTCTGAAACTAGAGATCTACTTGAGCATATACTCAATGCTCCTTTTTCTATTCTATTGTGCGGGGTATGTGTAAATGTATTGTAACCTCTAGCTTCATATAATCCTTGCTAATTTTGTACCCGTAGCTCTGTTATCACATCTTAAATTAATGATTACTGGGATGTCCTTACCTCAGATTATCTAAAGCCTAATGTTTGGGACAGAACTAAAGTATAGGTTACTGAGTCACCAGACTGATTGGTAGCCAGAGACAGCCGAGATCCACAACGGTCACATTAAATGTCATATTTAAAAGTCCTGCAGAAGAGGTGATTCATATTCGAAAGACCTTAAACCGAACATTGAATATTTTAAATATATTAAGTGATAACAACAAACAGAATAGATCACGGTGTTTTATTCTGGCCAGCCGGGTATCTGACACATGAGGAAACCACACTTACCTGCACCAAAGGTTTCATATGTACCTACACATGGAAATGTCTCATGTCCAAAATGGAGTGCAATGGCCTTCTGTGGAGGGATGCACTCTGCTTATCTGATTCCAGAGAACAATAGGCACAGGTTGGCAAGAACCAAGGCTTGGGGACTCCAGAATGCACCTTAGGGGTACTGCTGGAGTTTAACCAGCTAAAACTGAATAGCTTGGAGTCCTGTAGCTCAGTGGTTAGAGCACTCACCTAGCAAGTGAGAGACCTGGGTTTGATCCCCAGCAGGGTGAAACCTTGGGCAAGTTTCCTTACTCCACACGCCTGATAATAAACTCTCAAGAAAAAAANCGATAATAATTTGGTCACTCAATCCACAATTGGTTGTGGAACACTGCTGCGCATAATTGGCTGCTGTGTTTCTACCACAAAAATACAGTCAATTTACAATATATTCTGTGAAGTGCTTTGAGACGCCTAGAAGTCGTGAAAAGCGCTATATCAAATGCAAGGATTATTATTATATTATAGCTTCCCATTGAAAGCTCTGGCTGGCAAGTTTTCTGCTGCCTGTCCAGCAAAGCCACTCTACTGTCAGTCTTTGTCTTACAGGATTAGTAAGTTTAAGCAGGGCAATAGAATCACTGGCCTGTGAGTAACTCAGTGAACATTATTCAACTGACAGCCAGAGCTTTCTCCGCTTGCTGCTAACTGTGCTGTCTAAACCATACTAGGCTCTTAATACATTAGTAAATGAAGGGTTACAAAACAAAGTTAATTCCATTACACCATTCGTACAATATCCTGTAGTTATTGGATATTAATCTGAGCATTTAATAAATGCAATTATCTCAATAAATTAAATAGTTTAATTTACCCACATTAAAAACCATCCAGAAATCCTTAACCCATTCATTTAATTTAATTTAATTAGAATGCACATACTCCAAACTTAACCACAATTTTTCCTGAATAGGAAACACTTTGCTACAACAGCATGCATGTATATAGATAGCATTCTTCTCGGAGGGTAGCGTCATAGAGCACTAAACAATGCCATGGTTTGTCACTGAGCTTGGGGAAAAAGAGGAGGTGACCGTAGGATACAAGCATGAAAGTGTTGGAAAAATCAAGTCAAATCTGCTGAATTACATAAAGGTTACATTAGCAATTCATGACTTGACCACCTCTTCAGAAGTTGATTAGTGCCATCAGAGGATGGAACAAATAGCGCACACATCCCACATGGGAGCTACTGAGATGTTTTGTTTACGATTCATTTCTGCAATGCTACTGCAGCTCAAAAACTTTCAGATAGCTGTACTCATGACAACAATAAGCCCCACTAATAGCACTGATAATGAAAACTTCTTTATTGGCATTATGGTAATATTGGCTGATTGTGTCAACCCAAAGTAATGTATAAATCCTCACTAGTACAAAGGAAGAATACCTACAGGAGAAACACTGAGTAAATAAATGGTTGTTGCAGACAGTCTAAGACTAAATGAATGCCAAAGGAAACATTTTATTTAAATTCTATTTATTATGCTCTGTTGGTTGCCTCAAAATTATGAATGACAATAGTTGGAATTTTAATAAAAATCTGTTTCATACAATTCCTTTGCCCCATTACTGCGTGGAGCTATATTTGATACTGTAATAGATGCACATGCTGGCAGCTGGGAGAGATTCATATCTAACTCATTATCAAAAAATTAAACCTAACGCACATTACCCTAATTTTAACAGCAAAACAAAAACATGTTTGAGTAACTTTACATAACTATGCACAGCCCAAAACCATCTCCAGATTCCTGAATAACTTGAAGGAAATGTGCATTTCAGAAATGAACACAAGTAAAAGTTCACAAATTACTGAGGCCAAATCTGACTTACCACCAATCATGTTCACTAACTGAATGACAGCACAATTGCACTGAAATCACTGGCTGCTCTGTACTGATGTTATAATACACCAGCATCTTCAACACCCACATACCTCAACTTATTTATATCCCATGCCCCAAATATAAATAAGCATTCTGTGAACTAAGCAGTAACTATTACAAAGCACAGAGATATGGGAAGAATATTCTGGCCTCAGGAATTAAAACACAATATCCTCTACACCCCCTGCCTTAGAGTTAGTTTAACAAGTAAGAAATACCTGGACTGATAGTCTCACACCACTGCAGCAGCAGGACAATCCATCTCCCCCTTACATACCCTGTACACACACACACTACACATACCCCATACACACATCCCCTAAACACAAAACCAAACGTTGGAAATCCAAACCCCATATGTGACTTTCAGAAAATGAGATAAAGGAGATAAGGTAATCTGTGAGTGGCATCAAGATTTGTGAAGCTGTATAGAATGAGACAAAGTGAAGACCTGCATACATATTTTTATAAAATATAAATATATGTGTGTGTATATATATATATATACACACACACTCCTTTTTGACATTTATAGGAGTTCCCAATGTCCCAAAAAACAACTGCGCAAGAACAGACAATTTTACGGTAACTACTGAACCCCATTACCGACACATTCAGGTTCTTTAGGAAAGTACCGTCAGCTGTGGGTATAACAGGGAAGAAATACAGAAAAGCACATTTTTATTTTCTCCAGAACTCGTGTACTTTAATCTGGAGGTTTTAAACAGTTGGAAAATCTCACTGCCATTTAAAATGCTGAAATCCTGTTTTAGGTTCCAAAGGCTATCCATGCTAAATAAGTAGCAAGCTTGACAGTATGCCAGATACAGGCTCATATCCTGCACAGGTCAAGGATCACACAACAGAAACCAGGCCAGACATGCAAGGCCATTAAGACTAAGGAACTAAATTTGGGGAGTGGGACAGAATCAACATGGTAAGGAACATTTCCTTGTCTTGGAAGTGGAGAGGATGGAGGCACATAAAAGCCACAGAAAATATTCTCTCCTCATTCTTTTAATTCTGTGTGGGTCTATCTGAGGTTACGTGAGAAATGCGCTTCACTAATCAACAGTGTTTAATCCCGGTACAACTGCAAAGCATCTAAAACCTGCAGAGCTGAGAGCAAACTCCAGATACTAACATATACAATCTATCAGTGGTTAAGGGTGCACAATCCGGCTTTCTTCCATCCCTAGAAACAACAGTGAATTTGGTGATAAAGACTAAGGTGTTCAATGCCAGTGTTGGGGAAATGCACAAATGTAACTGGTGTGATAATCCACATGTTTTATTCTGGTTCAGTCTTTCTATTTTAACTATGGATACTAGGTATTGCTCTGTGAGTAAAAATTAAGTAAATCTACATCTTAAAATTTTGAATGTCAATCAATAAAATTTGTTGGAGACAAGTTTAGTAGTTAAACCATAAGCAGTCAGACAAAAGCAGTCAGCATCAGACAAAACAAAATCAATAAGAAATTTTATACAATCTATAGCCAGGAGCTTACACAGCTTAAAGTATTGATTTAACCAAAAAGTACTACATTTTAATGATTTGACAAATTGTAAATTTAAATAACTTTCAACGATTCACAAAATCATCTCAAAATCATCAACTAGCTCTGGATTGAAAAAGGGTTAAGTGTTATTCAAATGTTACTGTAATGCTTAGAAGAGCATTTCCCAAAACAGCCAGAGCAGAGCTAATTTACATGAAAATGAAATGACAATTGGAACACTGAGGAGCAGTGCCGTGTGAGTGATGGGCAGCAGAAATCAGAAACTGCTACTTGCAACAGCTGGCTCGAGAGCACCCAAAGTCACCCCCCTGTCCATTCGCTGCCGGAACTTACAAAACAGAGATCAACTCCAAACTATTTTTTTTGCCAAAACCTGTGAATTTTCCATGGATGCGTTCAATGACGACTCATCTTTAAGTGTGAACATGTTTAAATGCTAAATATGATGTGAATGGGTTATATGACCATTTATAATTTCCCATTCTGTCTCAATTAAGCGCTCAGTCACTACCCGCATGAAGTGTGGTTGCCATATTGCAGGAAAAGGGTCTTGTAATAGTGTTCTGTTAATATTCTATATTCAAAAATAATTTTTAAAAATTGCTTTCTTTTGCTTTCTAAATTCTAGTAATCAGAAGCCTTTTTGAGCTACACAAACAGTGAATGACTGAGAAAACGGGCAGGAAAACCAAAACCAGCTCCCAAGCTACAAGTACAACTATGGGCAGAAAAAAAACTCAACATACAGAACAGCACTTCGCTGACAAAAATCCACAGTGACCCCAAGTGGGTTATGTGGTCTCAGTATTATTTGGTGGTTTCTTTAGTAACCACACTCACTGGTGAGCAGAGCAGGTTTGTGGTTCACAGCATTGAGCAGGATTGCTTTGAAACCATTACACCACTGAACTTCATTAAAGGAACATTACATCGCCAGGCGTTTGCTGCCCAAGTCTCAAATAATAATAATAATGAACAAAAAATAAATGGGATAAGTGTCCAAAATGATGATCAAAGCAGTTCAATTTAAACCAATTGACTAAACCACGAACTACAGAGTATGACCACGTATCAGTTACACAGGAAATTAAGAAATTGCCTTGCCAATTATGTTTTAGAAAAAAGAAAATCAGTCACAAATCACAGGAATTCATATTTTCCCAGCTTACCGCAGAACCCCGCCCCGTGAAACCGTATTTTTGCTTCCGTACCACCAAATCATCGAGCTTTGCTCATTGTCCCCTTTAGGGATGGGTTTTCGAAATGATAAGGTGAAGTTCCTACCAGCAGGTAAGTGTTGGTGGCCGCACCATTTGTTTGAGAACCACTGTTACAGTATCAGTGGTCATTACTGGCCCCTCCATAATTACATTCACAACTCGTAACCAATGTAAGAACTGGGTTTCACATGACACACCTACACATTACTTTAATTTTTTTTCAAGAATACATTTACCTTCATATTATTATCTGCTCCCCCAAACCCACACCCATATACATGGTTTTCATACTGAATGCCAAGAGTTCTGATCCTATGAAAAAGGATCATTTGGATTATTCCCTCCTCCACTGCCCGGCTCAGGCTGCCTCAGCAAATGTATTGTAAATTATGCTAGTTACCTCAGCTCCCTCATGCTATTTGGATTCAGTAATCCATCTGAAACAGTTCATCGGATGACCTATTCAAACCTTTTTAAAAATGCAAAAGAATGGTTTTAAAGTTTTAAATATCAGCTTTTGTACATTATTAAATATTGTTACTCCACTAAGTTCCTGTCAAAGTCAGAGAAGTTCAACTTATTTTCTTACCTCAATGTCTTGGAGACTGAAGTCATTCTGATCTTTAAAGTTTGCTGCCCCTGCACTCAGCTCCATCAGCATTTTCGCAATCTCTGGCTTTATTGCTGCTGTGAGTCTGCTTGCTGCCTCCATGACATGTTCCTGCACGTCTTTCAGTTGCAAAGCTGCTTTGGAATAATGCGAGTTTCGGAAAACGCTGCTGAACAGCTCTGTCAAGAGCGTGCTCGCTCGGCAAAACACATTCAACGCATCCAGGTATTTGGAGATGCCCTGTTGGATGTCGGCTATCTGTGTCGTGGGGGACACAGCATGGGGACAGCTGCCAGGAGCTGACGCAGCTGCATGGGCTAGACAAGATGCTGCAGTGGTGGATGCCATCGGTGCGCTCAGGGTCCTGCCTAGCTCAGGCATTGGATACTGCTGGTGTTGCTGCACTTTCTGCTTGGACCCGCCAAGCAAAAAGTGCCGCTTGTAGTCCATTTTACTTTCCTGTGCGCTGCAACAATACATAAGTAACAGTGTCCTCTTGTTTTGTGTCCTTTGTAAAAAGTCTAATCAAGTGTCAACTTTTTTTTCAGGTAAATAGTTTATATCATTTTAAACAAAAAGTTCTGCAAATGTCATCAACTATGTGCATAATTGTTGCTCCATAGCACGCCTGAGAGCAGACGTTTCCACCCAGCACTTGTCAGTGTAGGAGTTGGTAACTGAAAGGCCAACCACACTTGTGCCTTCAGCTTCTGAGCAGCCCTGCTGCAGTTCACGAATGCTCCAAGGTAACAAGGTAAAAGGAGCAAAGAAATGTTTTTGCTAGGTCTTGGGTTCCAATTTGCCACACCTTCATTAGTACCTCTTGCTTTTCCCAAATGAAAGTTGCACAGCAATGCATGAAAAGTTCTAAAAGAGCTTCACACTAACCCAATAGATAAAATAACGCCAGTAACAGGAACCGGTAGGAAGGAAGTGCCATGTCAACTCCCTGCAACTAGGAGAGAAACACAAAGGATATCTGCAAACCAATTCAATAGATTTCTTTCCATTCGTTCTAAAATGTGTAAATATTGATACAACTTCTACCAGTTGCAACACTTATACGATAGAATATTATTACAACGAAAACCAAATCAGCAAACCTTAGAAAGGGACAAGAACACTGATCAACAGCAGGAGTTAAGGATAATATTAGTTATTCAGTGCTTGGACTAGTATTCGGTAAGATTTCACCAAAGCTTCCGTTTTCCTTTAGTCAAGCGTTTGATACAAGATCTTCTTGAAAGAATTTTGACAGATCCAGTCGGTCAAACGTAGTTCACTTGAGGCATTTCAACCTGTATACTGAAAAACAGGCAGCCTATACTGTAACTGCAGGAGACTTCACTGGTTGCATCCTCCCTTCTTGCGGGCTGATCTTGTTCTCGCTGAGGTAGTTTCAGTTTGATAGAGGAAACAAGTGGTGCTTCCAGATTAATTACGCACTCAATTGTAGTCTGCAGCAGGAGAGCACTAATGTAATTCTAAGGCCTCTAGGTCATTTCCTGAAATAAAGAAAGAAAAATCAATCTAAACAATGTACTTGCTGCAAGGAAGTTAAATTCTCTTGAGATTTTCACCACACTATGTGAAGGTGGGGGGTGGGGGAGAGAAACGTTGTATGAATTCCTTCATAAAAAACTTTAACACTGTCCTTCATAAGTTTGTAGTGAGGCTGAGCAGATTTTTCCACCCAAAATATTCACACCTAAAATCCCATTGCTTAAAAATAAAATTTACACACACCCTCATGCACACGGACTAGAATCAAACCCCCAAATGGGTATGGAAGCCGAATTTCCATTCCTTACATAAATGCATTGGGATGTCTTCTCAACGTGAAAGGTGGAAATGTAATTCCACCTTCATCACGTCCTGAACACTTGGGTAATTGCAATTTTTTTTACGATTGATGGAAGCTCCACCACATTTTACTTCAATATAGGAACACAAGACAAAACAAGTCACCAGACAACTGAGTGAAATCAGGGGCTACTAAGACACAATTTGAGCACAATGACGTGCAGTTCTCGGTCCTCTCCTTCAACAGAAAAAGTTCCCAAACAAGCAGGCCTCCACTGAGCTATTATCTCACATTCAAACATCCCATGTTATCACAGGCTGTACCAGTTAGGCTTTGCTCTTAGCTCAACCATTTGAGGGCATGAGGTCATGCTTTTATATGGACGCCGGTTCATTTTTTTTAGCTGACACTTGGGTCCACACGAAGGTTAGGGCACGATGAAAAGAATTTATATTGTTACAAGTGTTGATTTGTGTTTTGGCTTTGCTCAGCATTTTTATAACAAGAATTGCAAGTCTGTCAAACAGCTAACTGTATTTTAGCAGATCTTTAAACAGCACATTACTATCTAAGGGAAGCAGGGAAACTTGATATTTAACACCATCTTAAACATACTCCTTGTGAAAGACTTTTTATAGTATAACAAACCAATACTGAGAGCGGGTTTATGTAGTGAAGGAAAACAGCAGCACATCTGCAAAGGTAAACGGGTTTATTTCCTTCTATTACACAATACACTAGCTAAATAATATAATTAACCTTACATTTAGTATAGTGCCTTTCACATCAGGAGGATGTCTCAAAGCAAATGACAGGATCACAGTTATAGATTGAAGCTCCTACACCAGACTAGAAAAAGACAGGCAGTTTAGGGTAATGTGAAAATCAGCCAACGGCAGAAACCCGCTGTATGTCCAAAGCAGGGACACTGTGGGCCTGAACTGGCAGTCAATATAACAAGGCCACCGTCAGGGGCTTGCATTGCAATCTGCATCCTCAAAGTAGAGTCACATTCAGGGATACCTTATAGAGCTCGCTCTAGTACCACACCATTTCAGCTAAAATAAGGATGTCACCAGGGAGTCTGAAATATCTGACTATTTTTAGTCTGATTTGCTGGCAACTGTCTCAATGCTTTAGACAAATTTAACTTCTAGAATTAGACAATTATTATAAAGTTTGAAGAATGAAGGAATCGCCTCAGACTGTGGCCTGCTAGCCGGCTGACCCTGATGAACTATTTTAACTAGCCTTTAAGCTGTTAAATTACAACTCTATATTTAGAGGATCTGAACTCACATGAAGGTAGAGTCACACACAACATAGTAGATCAATTAACCTATTTTTTTAAAGAAAGCGACATTTTCAAATCATGAAGGTTTCAACCCGAAATGAGCCGGAGGTAATCACTATTCTTACAATCTGTTACTAACAGCATAAACTGTTGTATAACCTTCATGTTAAAAGTTAAGTGCTGTAATTTCTGTAAAGAATCCTCCCAACTATCTTCATGGAAGTCTTTCTGAAACATGCCTGTCCACTCAATATCAGGCCCAGTGCAATTCTGGCTACAGCTAGCTGAGGACAAGACTATGTTATATTCAAAAAGCCTCCAAAGGGTCTAAACAATGCTGTGCAAACAGGAAAATACATGTTCCCAAATAAGGTTCTAATCTAAATTAGGTTCATCTGTTCCAACTATCCTCAATAGCCATCTATAGCAAGGATCACATAAGCTGCAAGTTCTGTAATGATTTCATGTGTTTCAAAATGACAAGAATGCAAGTGTGCAGAGATTGGTGCTCTGACATTTTGAGTGTAAATATGAAGGAAGTCTGCTTATATGGAAAGCAAGCTTGGGGATTTTCTGAAATGCATACATCACCCACACAGTCACCCATTCACTTACTGACAATCACCCACACCATCTGTAAAGAAACATTTGCAGTGTTACTTCTTTCGCCCATTGTATTTGTTGCATTAGTCATCACAACACACCACATTGGCTATTTGTCTACACTATACTTCACACAATACCAACAAATTACAATTCAATGCAGTTCAGAAGCTGCCTTTTGTGTCAGTCACATTTTTCAATAGTTAGCAAAAATCACTGATAGGCAAGATATGTCAGGAAACTTTTCTTGAAGAGTATTTAAAAAANTATTTACTTACCAAAAAAATTCAAAATGTACAGAAAGCCTGCCAGCTCACTTCACACTGCATAATAATAATCCTTGCATTTGATATACTCCTTATCACGTCTTCGCGATGTCTCCAAGCACTTCACAGAATATAACAAGCACTTATATAGCGCCCTCCACGCACGGTAGCATCTCAGAGCGCTTAGAACTGTAAAGTGAATTGACTGTGTGTGTGGGCGAAACATGGCAGCCAATTGCACATAACAGCGTCCCACAAACAGTCGTGGATTGAGTGACCAAATTATTAGTAATGCATCGCGTCACTTCAAACCTTGAGTGAAGTTGTCAGGGAGCCGATAGCCTAGAAACTGTCCAGTTTTAAGCACATAAGATGCCAATCAGTGTTTCGAAGCTAAACAATGCTATCTGAGGCTAGCTATCTGCTAGACAGTACAAGGCCATCTGCCTATCCATTCAGAACCACAAAGAACAATGCAGTAATAAAAATAACTCTTACATTTGATACAGCATCTTTCACATCAAGACGTCGTTCAAAATGCTTTGCAGGATTTTACTGTAAAGTGTAGTGACTGTATTTTGTAAGCAAATGTGCAGTCAATTTGCATGCAATAATCTTCCACTTGCCATGAAGTGAATGTCCACTTTGATATAAATTGTAAATCAAAATTGCAAGACCAATTTGGATGAAAAGCTATTTTTTTGTGTGGGGGTGGGGCGGTGAGGTGGCAGAGGGGATTCAGCCGGTTGTCTGACATATGTAGAAATGCATCACCATGCGTAAAAGTATCCAAACCAATCTGAGAATTCCATGCAGAAACCCATCACATTGTTAAAAAGTACCCAAACCAGAGTTCCATGGAAGTCACATATACGTTGAAATTCCAGAGTCTGGAATGGAATTCTTCCCAGAGGAGGACAAACTGTTTATCTAACATCTCTGCTACCTCCTGTCTACAAATTCATTCTGCCCATGAACAAGTTAAGTTGTTAAACAGGCACTATTTTCTTCTCCAGGTTAACAATGTTGTTTTGACAGTGCTGGTCTGCACAGATCACTGCCACAGATTGGGAGAGTTAACCCCTCAGAACATTTAAATTGAGATCTGAAAGAAATGCAAACGCACTTTCTATGTTACCACAAGTGCTTTGGCTAGTAAGCATTGTGCAAACCTAGCTTGAGGCTATTTCAGACTGCATGCATCTCTCTTGTAAGCTACAGAGCGCACTAGGATCGCTCGTGTCCAGCCTATTTGTATTAACTACTAAACACATCACCATTGGTAACAGAGTGAAATACCAGACAAATAAAACCAAAAATAAAGAAACTCTACAGACATTTTGCCTATTCGCTATAATTATGTTCAGGGATAAATCAAACCAGGTCATGGAGCCAATTTACACAGCCTGCACAAAGAACTTTGTGTTTTCCTTTTGTTTCAAAATGACAAATATTTCAGCCAGTAAGTTATTTTCTGAACACAAGCTGCCCACAAATAGGCTTTTAATGCTAAGTCCCAAGCAGGATTATTCACATAATAGTTAGATACAGTTGCATCAAAACTCTTACTGCTGTTGAGGTTTTAATACCCAAATCCCTCCCATCGTGTTTTACTTGAATGTGGAGGCCAATTTGCACCACAATCGTATCATATCCATCATATCCCACAAACAGCTTTGGAAAACAATGATGAAATGTAAGTACGGTATTTGTCTATATTAAAGTAGCATATTTTAGGAGGTAGAGGCTATTCTGGGCCTTATAATGAAACAAAGCAATTAAGGTAAGCCGAATCTGAGAATATTTAGGATCCACCATTGTATTAGATTTGAATTCTCTATTAGGATATATGGAATACAGAACAACTGAACTTTGAGTGTATGCTAAATGAGTTAAGGAATTCTGCAATGGAAAAGCTGGGACCCTCAGCCTCAACATCACACCATCTTCATTTGAAAACTACACTGACAAAACCATACCTTCAAAGGCATTCTGTTAGTTCTTCACCCCAGAGACAAACACGTGAAGTAGAGTTTACCATTAATCCAAGAAAATGGTAATGCAACTTCAAAATGTGTTTCTTTGTTGTATTTTTTGAAAGCAATGGATAATTAATTTAGTTTGTTTGTGTCCTGCACACAATCTGGCCCACCAACCAAGATGTTATCTTCACAGAGAGCAGAGTCAGCAGCTTTCACAGTCTGGTCACATTCCAGAACTCAGCAGGCCCACAATGAGATTTATACTGTGTTTAAGCTACAGAGCAGGACTGGAAAACAGCTCAAACCATTTTGAGCACGTCGTCTTTTACACTGCAAGATGTTTTCACCAAGAGGAGGGACAAAAACGTGACAGTTTATTTAGTGACCTCTGAAAAGGCCTGGGAGCACATCAACATGCAATCTTGGGTAGGAAGGTCTGAAGATGAAGGGAAGGATCGAGTGAATCTGCTCCATTAAAGTAATTTCTACTGCACTGAATCTGAACAAAAATAGGCTGTGACAAAATCCATTTCTGATACTGGTCACGTAAACAACTAAACTACCACCTATACAGACCCACTGAAGACTGTCTCACGGCAGGCTTTCCCTTTACCAATGACAGTAGCACCATTACATTGCTTGGGCTACCTTCAGCCAAGATGACATTGGATGAGTCATACTTGTCCCAGGGTCAGGTAACGGGACACCAGTGAACTCTGCTTGAACTAGTCTCTCTCAATACTATGTGGTGGACAGTCGTCACTTCTAAATACAGTTCTCAACAAGTTAATTAATTAACTTAAAACGTACCACTCTAAAGTAGATCAGGACTTAAATCCATTGTAACCCCACAAATCATGAAATTGTAGAGCACAGATTGGAGAATAATCAAAATCTACAGAATTTAAAGCACTAAGATTCTTACAAACAGAGCTAGTAATAATAATCTGCAACAAAAACAGAAGTTGCTGGGAACACTCAGCAGGTCAGGTAGCATCAATGGAGAAAGGAAAGTGAATCAATGTTTCGGGTCCACGACCCTTCATCAGAACAGACGAAGGATAATCATCCTTGCATTTGATACAGTGCTTTTCACGTCTTAATACATAATATCCAATTACGTATTTGACAGTATTTAATGAAAAACAGATTAGGTAACATGTTTTGAGCAAGAATTGAGAGTTGTTTCTTCTAATTCATACACTCTAATAGTTTGGGCTATTGAAAAAAACTACAGGTTTTGAGCGCAAAGCCCTGATGTAGAAACTTAATAATCCAGACCCAAATACCAGGCAATCAGCAGAGATACTGAGCTGCGCAGAGTCTCCAGCATTCCAGGAGCACACTCTTCAGTTAGGGCTTTGTTAATCTTTCTCAACGACCAGAAACACATCTCAAGATGCATTACTGGATCATGTCAAAGCAAACCTCCATTTCCAAAAATGAAAGAGGGGGTTTGGTACAGACTGTGTGTGTGTGTGCGTGTGTGTGGACACTTACCGGAATCTAGAAGATACCTTTCTAGACCAGTGTGAAGTTTAGTTAAAAAACATTCAAATAAAGTTGTTCCACTTAACTGGTTGCAGTGCGCGTTGCTCCCAAATAATGCTTTATCCCCTTTAGAGATCAGCCTTTGTAGCAGTTTAACAACTGTTAATGTAACCAGGTACAATAATGTTCATTTATTTTCTGTCAGTCATTTCAATACCCAGGTCAAGTAACCGGATAAAAGCACACTCTAACCTGAAGTGTTTTCAGTGTGTATTACTTACCCTCTATGTCTCCCATGGGCTAAACTCCAATTCCTGACTAACTACCAGCGCTTTAGCAGCCACAAGATCAACATTTCAAGGGAATGAACAAGCCCCTCACAGCATTGTGTTGATATATCTAGGTCAGTCAGGATGACTAATTTTACATCTTAAGTGACAATATGGATCTGCAATTCTCTTTCCAGAACAGAAAAGGCATTTTATTGCACTTAAAGCCAAAGCAATTCTGGCCCACACTGAATCATGGAATTATACAGCACAGAAGGAGGCCATTCGGCCCATCGTGTCTGTGACGGCTTTGAAAAGATCTATCCAATTCAACCCCACTCCCCCGCTCTCTACCCAGAATCTGCAAACTTGTCCTCCCCAAACAATTATCTACTTCTCTCTTAAAAGTTGTTATTGAATCAGCTACCACCACCCCTTTCAGGCAATGCACTCCAGATCCGAACAATTCGCTGTGTGAAAAAAATTCTCCTCACCCCCCCCCCCCCCCGTTTCTTTTAACAACTAATTTAAATTGGTGTCCCGGGTTACCGATCCACCCGCCAGCGGAAATAGTTTCTCCTTGTTCACCTTATCGAATCCGCTCATAATTTTGAAAACTTTTATTAAGTCTTCTCTTAACCTTACTCTGCTCCAAAGAGAATAATCCTAGCTTCTCTAGCCTCTCCTCGTAACTGAAGTCCCCCATTCCTGGTAATTCACCTTTGCACCTTCTCCAATGCTTTGACATCCTTACTAAAGTGTAGTTCACAGAATTGAACACAATCTCCAGCTACAGCCCAACGAGTGCCTAACCACTGGTCCAGAGAACACATTTTAGATTCCGGTTAGTATCCAAACGCTTCTTATAATGCTCTCTTGCTCTCAGTAGAAGCTCCACCAAATCAGGTAATGCCGGTTTAAGCAATATTCAGCTACATCACCTGAGCCAAGAGGGGAAAGCCCACAGTACTGAAAGAAGCAAAATCACTGTTGGATTAACAAGGAGTGGCATCAGCTTCCCTCAATGGTTCAGTGGATAAATATACTGAGCCACATTAGCGGTTCTCCATCACAACTTTGCTACAAGGAGCAGCAAAATCCCTTGGATTAAGGAGGAGGGGGGCTAAATCCAGGGTTTCTTCTCTCAATTGGTGACCCGTGGCCTCTGCTTGGAAATGCCAGGCAGATTAACTGCTGCCACATGGTTGACCAAAACATGAACATTCACTGCTTCAGCTCAGACCGATGCTCCAGATGGGTGTCCCCACAAACTATACAAATCAACTTCTTGACCACAATTTCCCACACATGCGATGGGGAAGAATGGGTGTCAGAATTATAAAAATAGCTGAAACAACTTGGGTTACATTTGCACATGTACTAGTGGAATCTTAGGGATCATTGTCACCGACCTTCGAGTCCATCATTTGCCCACTCAGCAAATGTAGTGGGCAGAGGATTTATACTCCATCTGAAAACCTCTAGCTCAGCAGGGCTCTACATTAATCCAGTTTACTGTACGGTTTTGTTTTTCTATTCAAGCCGGGATCTCTTTTTAACCAAACTTTCTAAACAGGGTTACTTTCAAACAGTTCAGATGAAACAGAATTACACAAACTAGCCATGTGATAAACAGATCTTGAAATGCCACCTCACACCAGTAATACTTTGGTCAGATATTTACCAGGGTTACTAAAAGGCAATCATCTATAAAGAGGGTCAAATGTCAATAATAACAGAGACCATTATAAAAAGATTTCCTTACAATGCAGTAGTTTTAAAAACCACAATGAAGACAAGAATTATCTAACTATTTTGGAATGCCTGGGCAACTGCCCAACATTACTGCAGTAAAGCTGTACAGCAGTTTTAGTCGACAAAAAAAGTCAAACTCCTAGACATAATCCAACCTTAAAGACGTATATTACAATAACCAGACACAACCGTCCCACAGCACAGTAAATAACAATCTGCAAAGCTGAAAAATATTACAGCCCACCAAAATGTGCTTAATCAGTTCTCTTGCTATAAGTATAAATAGTTACCAAATGCTTCATTCCTAGCAATTCTTCCCCTGGTCTCAATATTTTCAGGTTAACAGTGACCAGCGTTTTAAAAATGTCAAACAACCCGGTGAAACAAAGCTGATGAGCAAACAGCCCGTCACCCGCCTTGTGATTAAGGCATGTGCTGAGTGTATAATTTGGGTGAAATGATGCTACAAGGTCTATTTTTAGAACAAGGCATGCACAAGGAATTTGAATGTTGTACAACGACTATAGCGTTGTCAAGGCAGCAGCAGGTGACAACACCCCTTTTGCAAACCGCAACAGGAACATTCTTTAAGCTAAATGTTAGAATTGGATCCTCCTTAAAGCTGCTCTCCATCGTAAACCACAATTCTCTCTCTGCATTTGATTTACTAACCACAGCCATTGTGCAGTTCGCAATAAACCACCACAGGAATGTAAAGCCCGAACGCAGGTTTGTTTCATTCTAAGCCTGATGTTCCATTCTATTTGTGGCACCTTACAGCCTTTATAACAGCACTGTGCCACAACACCATGCGATTCATAACATTTGCTAGAATCTAGACTGACTACAGAAAAGGCCAGTCAAAACAATTAGACCCTCTCCATCAGATCCACGTTAGTTTCTGGCAGTTGGATTTTTGATGCATTGTGCAAAACACCAGGGAGTAGCTTTTGTAACCTGACTAACATGGTCACAGAAACAAGACCAGAAGTAAACTATGATCATTTTTACATAAGACAAGTTAATTCTGGAGAAACCCCTTGTGCATTTTCAATATGTTCTCATTCCAAGACAAACTTGTCAGTGTCAGATTTTTTTCTGCAACTAATGGCAGAGGCATCCTTTATTTGTGACACAATAATGTTACTTCTATTATTCTTGTGTAACTGGTGTTTTGTACTAATAAGCAGATGTACAGATAGAGCCAAATGTATACACAATGCACAATTTACATGGTCAGTAACATGAGAGAACAGCATCAGGGTATAACAAAAGGAGACATGGGGTGGACCTCATGCCCCACAGCTCGCTAGCATTGCTGAGCGGGCACAGCTGAACAGAAGTCAAATTCAGAACACAAAGTAATTGAATAAAATTAATTGGAAACATCAGCGAAAGAAGAGGCTAGCTGAAGGGCAGAGATCATTGAAGTCGAAAAGGAACAAAGTCAGAGAGTAAACCATAGAAATTTACAGCACAGAAAGAGATAATTCGACCCATCGTGTCAATGGTGGCTCTTTTAAGAGCAATCCTTTTAGTCCCATTTACCTGCTCTTTTCCCACTCAGATCTTGTGGGTTTCTGGTAGCTGCCCTGTACATTCCAGATACAGGAAAGCTCATACAGCTCGTATCAGTCGGGACCATAACATTTAATGACTTACGCAAAGTCCGAGTCGCAGGCATACTGAATAAGTCATATAAAATATGATTTAATCAATAACCTGCACTGCACATGTGTAACTCAATGCAGCCGGTTAAAAGTTTGCATATGGTAGTTCACCACTGCAGCCAGTAAGTGCATATGCACGCAGTGACAGCTCAAGACTATCTTTCCCGCGATTCAATGCGTCTTGACTCACCACCACATGATCACTTACTGATAAGCATTGGAATTTATCAAATGCAGGAAATTACGTTCTTCTGCGCATGGGTCAATGGATCAAATCTACATTTCCCGCGATTCAATGTAGCCAATTATGGGTGACAATTGGAATGTTTGCTTTGCCCACTGCTTTAACACCATCTGCCAGAGATTCACTTTATTTCTATATACCACGACATGCTGGTACATTTACAACCCATACTCGGATAGAATCAAGTCTTTTCTCTCCCACACATGGCGAGTCCATTTTATACACAATGAAATTGGATTTTTTTTTCAATTTCATTTGACCTCCCAGTCAGGCGTCTTGTGGATTTACTGCGGTTCTGCTTTTCTGCTGATACACTCACCCCAAAGTTGTAGATGTTAACCACAAGCCTTGACAAGCAGTTGTCAGTGGTACTGTAGTTCATACAATGTCAATGTTTGTTCGGCATTTTATGATGCATTTTAACTTATCTTTTGTAGATGGCGATCTGTATGAATGGGCCTCTATTTTGTTATTCACTAACTATTTGCGTTGTTTTTCACCTAAGTTTGTAGTCACATTTAATTCTGACAACAAATTGGTCAGCTATCTTTTTTATTCTTAAAATTAGGTTTACAGACGTTTGTTTCTCTTTGGCCTTCAAGTATTACATCAATTTATTTATCCATGATCAATTCTAACTATTTAATTTTAGAGAATTTTGCAGCAGAGGCAGAAGTCCAACTGGAATTCTGATTATAATAATAATACTTGCATTTGATATAACATAACATGTAGGAGCAGGAGTAGGCCATTCGGCCCTTCGAGCCTGCCACGCCATTCAATCATGGCTGATCTTTTCTAATCTAACTCCAGCTAATAACCTAACCCTGCCTTATCCCCATATCCCAATATAGCGTATTATCACGTCTCAAAGCACTTTTGTTCTTCAGTTCTCCTCCTATTAACCTCCAGTGAGATCTGAAGCTCTTCTTGACAGATGTTCTGCTATAAAGCTATCCAAACCACCCCAAGATCCTAGCTGAATGAATTTTAACAGTGGAGAAACCCTTACTGAAGTAAATGTAGCACAAATTGAGGTATAGATAATACAAACACAGCTGGCAACTAGACAACATGAAAGTTCATTAAGGTGGTGTGTAGCAATGGCAGAAAAAACATTTCTGTTTCCAGTATCATCTCCCCCACCCCATTGGTTTTCAACTCAAAAGGTAAATCAATTAGTGTAAAATGACGTTAACTATGGTTATCACCTCCCTGCTCATACCTCTGAAAGCATAATGTGAGTGCAACAAGATCAGGTTACATTTACAAGACTAACTATACGTACAGCATGCAAGATGATAAGTTCAGCTGCAAGACTATCACCAGCATGAGCACATTTAGTGGACGGAAGGGATATATATATATATATATACACACACACACACAAACACACAAGCTGACAGCAATACCTAAACCTCTGCACAGGATGCGACATTAGCAACAACAAGAACAACAAGATTACATTTGATAGAGCCTTTCATGTCAGGAGGACGTCCCAAGGCGTTGGACAGACAGAGTTAGCTGAGGGTCGGAGTGCGGGAGGGGGGAAGGCGGGTGGGGGGAAAAAGCAGGGCGATCGAAATCACTGTTGAAGAGGAGGGTTTTGAGGTGGGTCTTGAAGGTGGCAAGGGAGGGGGCGAGTTGGAGTTCCAGAGGGTGGGTGCAGATTGGCGGAAGGCCCGCACGCTGATAGTGGGGCGAGCGAGGCGGGGGACATGAAGCAGGCCGGAGCCCACTGAGCGGAGGGAGCAAACAGGATGGTAGGAGGATAGGAAGTCGGAGAGGTAGGTGGGAGCAAGATCATGGAGGGCTTTGAAGGTGATGACCAGGATCTTGAACCGTATACTCTGTGTGATGGGAAGCCAGTGGAGTTGGGTAAGGATGGGAGTGATAAGAGTCACAGAGCCTAGTAGGGGGGAGGACATGGGCTGCAGAGTTCTGGATGATCTGCAGCCTGTGGAGGGAGGAATTGGGGAGGCCGACAAGCAGGGAGTTTGCATAGTCTCGATGTAATGAAAGCATTTTTGAGGCTTTCGGTGGCCTGCGGTGCGACATGGTGGCGGAGCCGTTCGATGTTGCGGAGGTGGGGGAAGGCAGAACGGGTCATGGCGCAGATGTGGGGTAGAATGGATAGTTGAGGGTCAAACGAGACCCCAAGATTCCAGACTGGCTCAGTGAGGGGGAGTGTGCAACCATGGACGGTGATGCTGTCAGCGCCTGAGGTGAGGAGGCGCTGACGGGAGCCAATCAGGAGCCCCCGTCTTGTTGAAGTTCAACTGAAGAAAGTTAGCGCTCATCCAGGACTTGATGTCTGACAGACATTCTGTCAGGAGAGCAGTGGGACCTGGAGTCAAGGGTGGAGGCAGAGAGGTACCTCTACAGAGAGATAGAGTTGGGTGTCATCCACATACATGTGGAAGTTAACCCCATGTCTGCAGATGATGTCGCCAAGAGGGAGCACACAGATGTTGAAGAGGAGCTTCCAGGCATCGAACACGTGAACTGAAGTGCCAGCCAGCATTTGTCGTCAAACAAAGATATCAAAAGTTAAAAATGTCGATGTTATCCAACAAAAATGAGAAAATAAATAAATTCCAGCAATCCTAATGATCAATGATGATCGAGGAGGAGCACAAAAAGCAGTTAGAAACTGAAGGGAGTCCAAATAAGAACAATGGGTCAGCCGGGTCTGACACATGCGGAAACACATCACTATGCTTAAGAGTCTTCAAACCAACTGAGAATTCCATGCACGTCCCTCCTACATATGAAATCCCAAAGATAGAGGAGATATAGTTCACACACGTAGCAACCCCTTAGGTTTCCCATAATTTGCCCACAAAAGAGTCACCACACTGGACAGTAAATCCTGTGAACAGCATTGAGATGTCCTCCTGATGTGAAATAATCTATAACAAATGTAAGGGTTATTATTATTTTAGAATTTCCTTAGCAGCTTAAAGAACAAAAGATTTGCAGCTTTGCTGCACAAATAATTATGAAATCACTTTTACATTTAAACTCTGATCACACTCTCTAGAACAGTCTTGGCATATCTACACAAATAGTGACACACAAATACACATATATAAAATATATATTTCACCTCTGAATGCAGTCTACCTTGTACTACTGTGAAATGGGATCACCCCAAATATACCCAAACTAGTTTATGCAGCAGTTTGTGATAGCTCTTACACCTGATCACAACATAGATATAAACATTGGCATTAAATGGAAAGATCTACAAGTACAGTATAATGTGTTGAAAATGCAATAATGCAATAATCAAAATTTGTCATTCATCATGTAAAAGGCAGCATGTTCAGCACTCAACTCTGATGGATAAGTTGCTTTGTGCAGAAGTGCTGACACAGCATAAAGTTAACCAGCACAATACAGGAGAGAACCAAAAAGGCTTCCTGCAATTCGTATCAAATTTTAAATCAGACCTTCTTGAGGTCACAGAATAAGGTTGAAAAGGATCCCAACGC